GCTAACAATCGACGTTTGAAAGGAAGGCATGCTATTATTAGATATTATTTGTAACTTAGAGGTACATTATATAACTATATATCTGGGGTATCTGTACAGCATTAAATTTGAAATACTATACATTTCTACCCTTATCCCTGAACTATTAGACTATTCCTTTTTTTACACTACATAATTAATAATAACAGCATTATAGTGAGCTCATGTTAAATTAAAAGTGTTTGTGTTTTTGCTAAATATAAAATGAGACAAAAGTGGATGGATAGACAGACAGACAGTTAGACAAACAGACAGATAGATAGATAGATAGATAGATCGATTCATCTAATATAAGACACTGATGAGCTACTGGTGAAACGAGCTATCGTGTATATGTAAGTAAATATTACTGAAAACTAATATTCTATCTTTTTAATATATTTTGTAGTTGAATTTTTATGGTTTTCTGTCTTTTGACTTGGTTTAGAATATCGAGGTGGTAGTAATTGTGAAGATGATAATATAAAATAATATGATAATATTCCAGCCTTTCTCAGTGTCTAAACACACTAATATTTTATCTCCGAATCCAAAATTGATGGAGAATCCATCCCTTGGGCTGACATCTCGGATTGGGTTTCCCCATGTGACTGGGACACTCTCAAACCTTCAATGTCCACCTTTAGAGCGCAGTGCTGAAACATCAGAATCCTATATGGTAAGACATGCCAGAGGCTGGCTGGGCTGGGTGTCTAAAATACCATCCAGAGAGAAGATACTATGTCAAACAGGTAGCTGGATGCTCCACAAATGTCATTAGACTACCAAACTGTAATTACTGTGTGTTAGGCTAGGAAAGTGTACATAAGGCATCTGGTCTCCACTCATTAGTAGATATTTTAGCCCCGAGACCTGCTGATCTGAGAGCTTAGCTACCAGTAATGGTGGGTTCCTGTTTTTTAAAAGGGCCTGTTGAGTCTCTAATCTGCCTTAGGATAAATTAAATCACATTTCAAGACTACAGTTAATGGACCCAAAGTATCATTCTACAATATTGCTGGCATTAGTCAGTAAGTGCCAAGAACATGGACTATAGGAGTTAAAGGTGTATTGATCACCATTATGTATCACCTACTACCCATCAGAATTCCACAAAAGGTAGACATGTAGCCTATTCAATATACACAACTATTACAAGCGCCATATTAACTGTCCAGATACACTGCAGAACTTAATGTGGCATCATGTCAAGAACACAGTGTGTGCTCTGCTAAAAAAAAAAAAAAAGTACAATTTTTGAGATGAAGCAGATAATTTTGTTTATTTGATCATCACTCAATAATCTCAGAGCCCTGTATTTTGTAACATTGTTGCAATGTGATACTAGCAACAAAATCTTCCAACAACCCAAAGTGGTCGATTTACTAAGCAGCGAGTTATGCTGGGGACAGTTTTGCCAGGTTTAGACTATAGTTAGAGAATTTCTTAATAGACCATATTGGAGACTTGCTCTAAGAATGTGCCCTTAGTTTTGTAAATCGGTTCTGAAGTCATAGACACTGTCTGCTTTGACTCCAAAGGACATATATTAGCCATTGAGCAGTCATTGTGTTAGTGGATATTGACATAAGGTTTCATTGTAGAATATTTGTAAGTAAACTGGTTGCATCTACTTTGTATTAACCATGTCTTTGCTACTTAAAAAATCTATTTAAATTACAAAAAAGTGAAATATCGTGTAAAATAGTGTAGATTTGGTTAAGATCTGAATTAGTGCAACTGTTTATGAATATAATAAGAATAATGTACGTGAATCCGTATCTAATAATAATAATAATAATAGTAATAGACGTTTTGAGCCCCTATCCTTTTACAATGCCATATAATATTCAGAGAAACCTTGATAAGGAAACCATTAATTGTTGATACATTTATCTATGAGATCAAGGTAGAATATATCTATTAAATACCATATTATTTGCAAGGCACCCCTTAGAAACATTTCCCTACTCTTAGAAACATTTCCCAAGTCACCAGATATTTTTCAACTTGTTTTTCAACTTGTTTTTTTTTTTAGCAAGTCAGGTTTACACATCACATATTTGTATTTAGTAAATAGACCCCATTCAAGCAGAAGACTGATGTGGTTTCTAAATATGAAGATGTTTATAATCAAATAATGAAATTGCCCCTATCTAGCCATCACTGACATAGCTAGCTCTCTCTATATAGTCAGACTATCACTGATTAATCAGTAGGTCTTGTGCTCAGTACATTTTCTCCCACCTTTTGTTTTGGCAACAGGTTCCCAGCCTGAGTGGTCAGACATGGACCTACAGACCAGACAAGAGAGAAATAGGCTTTCATTACAATCAGCCCCAAACAGCAGAACTGGAAGTCTTTGAAGAAAACCGCCTTTAACATCCGCACCGTGGGCTAATTGTGTCTGTTAAACTTGAACTGTCAGACATCTGCACGTATGCACCCACTTCAGGGCAGACATAAAGGTCTACAGATTAGGGATAGATAGGTAGCTGAATAGGTAGGTAAATACATAGGTAGGCACAAAGAAAGAATGAAGGAAAGACAAAGAAAGAAAAGAGGTATATAATATAATGTAGACACATGTATTGGCCTGGGTATATGTTTAAAAGGAAAAAAAAACATGTTCTGAGAATTTGAATTTAATTACAGAGCACAAACTATCTACTGCAATCACAGAGCTAACAAACAATATTTATATACGTGATATGTGCGTGAAAGATGTACGTGATATGTACGTGAAAAATAAATATATATCTCTTATGTATAGGGAGAAAATGAAATCACGAACTATTTTTTTTAAGAATATTATGTATCATAGATATACAAAATTAAATTTTATTTTAGAGTCCTATGGAGATAAAAGCAGGAAAGTTATATTTTGACAAGTCACATCACCAGTCACAAATGAATGCACATATTTCTGTGTAACGCATTTACCTTTTGTGTTTTTTCCTCCTTAAAGTCAAAAGCAGGTACCAGACAGGACTCCAAGAGTAAAGTAGCAGTTCTGTGGTCAGCCTACAAAGTAGGATATATCTGAGAGTGTAGATCTTTGGTCTCAGGCTATTGGGAAGTGTCATACTGTTTAATTACCCTATGTGTAGACACCATTTGTACAAAACAAGGGCATTTTCCCCCTCATTCATTAATTATATGCTTTTTACTTAACCAATAACAAGGATTGTAAGCATTATGGAATTTCTTGTTTACCGACGGAAGTAATAAAAAAATGTTATGTAAAATGGCATCATGAAATATGTATTTAAATGAATTAGGCTGTCAGTAGAATATTATATACTGTAGCTGGTTCTATGATATTTAAGGTATGACTTGTAGTTTTGTATCAATAAAATGGGCTCGTTCTTGGAAAAAATCCTAGCCATGGAATCATAATTATTTTATATATTATAATATCTTAGAAAAAAAAAATAGTTTCAGTGCCTCATTAAACCCCTGTTACATTCTGCTTTTAATAGACGAAACGTCAACATAAAATTGTTTTGCAAAAAAACAGTTTTTTAAAGTTTTACATATGTGATGCGTTTAGAAAAAACAAATTTTCCCCTTACTTTGAATTAACCTTTTTATATTTCCCAGCGATTTATTGATCTATGTTACTATCAATTACGATCCATACTATCATTTTAAAATAATAAACAACATTTTAGATATATAGGAAAATAAGACCATCAATCTATGAACAGAGTGGGTGTTGTGGTAACTGGGAGGGGTATTCAGGATTATTTACCTTTAAACAATTTAAATTATGTTCTCAGTGAGTTCATGTTTAAAAAATAAACAAACCCTTCGTACTAATTACAGTTAAATTATTTCTGGAGCAATTTATATGAAATATTTGATCAAGTGATGATGCAAAAGAATAATAGTCTTTGATCTGAATTCTTTGTTTGGGGGAAGAGCTTTTGACAATAGGGAAATTTAAGTTTCAAATTAATTCTGATGACTTTTTTTCAGGTATAAAAACGCCTCAGGTATCTGAAAGTGTTAATGATGATAAAATATTCACAATATCTTGCAATAGTCCTATCCCCCATCATTGCATCAGGGAATAAAATGTTGCTTATTAGGCAATATTAAAAACAGTTCTTATAAAACATTCTCAGTACAATAGATATATTAAATAAATCACATCAAACAGACTTACGAATGTGCTAAATATATTCAGTAAGCTAAAGAATTTATTACATATAACTTATTCAATAAAACCACTTTCTACTGCAATAATAGAAAACAAAAGACTGGTGAAGCAGAGATGATGAACAAAGGAGAATTGCTGGACTCTCTTTTAAAAGAAAACGTGAAATAAAATTATTATAAATTTAAACATAGACATTACAGACAAGAGATCATCCCAAGCATATTTAATCAGCTAAATATAGTACTGTACAGTGATCCTAATTAATTAAGTAATTAATTAATTAGAGGATACAGGGTCCACATAAATTATGCATGGCTAATCAGATCTAGAAATCAGGAGACTCCAAACGTATATTAATAGCTGTACATAAAAAAAAACAATAAAAATACTAATTTGTTACAATATTTGAAAATGTTTCCAGTATGTTCATGTATTTTTTGTATTGCTGTAAATATTAACTGTACCTCCATCAGCGAGGACAAATGCGTTAGTTGAGAGATTAGCTGCAGATATGTAAAGTAGAGAGATCCAGCATGTCTTTCTAAACTGGCAAAATGGGTGACAAAAAGAGATTTAACCTTGACCGGATACCCCTCCCCCACTCTTTTAACAGTCTGTATAGAGGTTAAACCGAAATATTTGCAGAGTTACACAACAACAGACTTTAAAACAAGGGATAAGTCATCAAGCATTTACTTGTGGCATATAGCACTTCCAAATATTTTTTAAAGTTTTAAGAGGGGGGAATGAGAAGAAATGTAGATAGAATATCCCAGCCTGCTGTTTGTTCCCCACTTTCTTTCACTAAAAGACTAGAGAGCTTAATTGGCAGACCTCTCCTTGGCTAGACAGAGACTTTAAACTTGACCTTGGCCTGCAGCCTTGCACAGCCCTTATGTTAGCTGCTCTGCCCACTGCACTATAGAAAGTGCCTGAGCTCTCATACACACTGCCTGGCTCTGTACTTTTCCATTTCCCCCCTCAGCCTTTTTGCACATTACTGGCACTAGATACATTATTTACAGTTTGTATATGAATACTGCATTGCCCCCATCCAGGGAGATAGCACAGCCATGGTGTATTCTTATTGTAATGTTAAAATAAAGCAAAATTCACAAACATGGCACATTCTGAGGGATGATTTAACCCGAAACAATGTGGATCTGGAAAATAACAATTGGTTTAGCTGTCCTCACAAGCTTGGATTTCATTCCAATTATTTTTTTAAAGAGGATCCAATGGAAATTGGACGGATTTAAATGGTACATTGAAAGGTCCCTGTTAATCATCAAAAGCGGAACTCTATGATAGAAATATTAAGGTGTATATAGAAATCTATATATATCTACATAGCTCTATCAATCTATCTATCTATATCTTTTTTTGAACTGAACACATATATATATACATTTATACGTTATGTGATAGTATACGCAATTATGTAGTGTATATTTAAAGGAATATACGTGTTTTCTGATATTGCACTGTTAATTATCGTTTCTTGCTATATAATGTGTAATAAGTGTGTATTTGTGTGTGCCTGTGTGTGTAAATATATATGTATATATAATACTAATATATGTGTTTATATGTTAGTGTATACATATAAATGTGTATATATAAGTGTGTATATATATGTGTGTGTGTGTACTGATGTATATATATATATATATATATATATATATATATATATATATATATATATATATATATTTATAGCTAGATAGATAGACAAACACATATATACCATTATTACTCATTATAGAGCTCGAGACGATTAATTAACAGGTATATAACATTAAAATGGGCATATGTACATGTATTTTAAAAAAAACATATTTATATTCAAATACATACGTGTGTATAGAAATATGTGTATGCGTGTTCAATTCACAAGATATAGATAGATACATACATACATAAATACAAACAAACATACATATATAAAATATTTTTTCTATATTATATTTCAACAAAGGAACATTATACAAACTTATTTCTGGATGGTGTCATTACCTTTAACATGCCAAATAAAGAATATCACCCCCTTACTGCTGAAATATTTTAATAAATGGCCTGAACCCGCACCATACCGTTAAGTAAAATATTTGTGTGTTTTTGCAAATCACGAATTAAAATAAAAGTCTGACAATCTAATGGTATGTGAGGGGGGACGATATACCAATCCTACAATACCAGGGGCTAACGTCACCACCCCCCTCCTTCCTGTATACATTATAATATACAGCAAATATACCCCCCCCCCCAGTAATATTAGATAGATAATATCCCCCCTCCCCCACCTCCTCTGCACACTTTGGATACATATAATATCTAACATTAATGATAATGATAATAATAATGGCAGTGGGCCCTGGGTTAGGCTGTCTCTGATTTGTGAGTTTAGAATGGGGGGGGGGGAGGTGGGGGGAGAAGGAAGAAGGAGAAAGGGGGAGAATTATCTGCATTCTACTCCACTGAGGTTTCAGGAGCTGCTTTGCATATCACGTGCGCGGCGGCGTCCAATCAGCGCGCGCCCTGCGCGTCAGAACCCTGGTAAGTCTGAGAGAATTCGAATCTCTTTTTTCAGTCTTTGGGGCTTTTAAAAAAGAGCCACTTAGTCTGAATGCTGGCCGTGCTATGACAACCTCGGTGCTCCTCCATCCACGCTGGGCCGAGCCGGTGATGTTCCTCTACGACAACAGCTTGGATGAGATTAACAAGAACATGGAAGGCTTTGCAGGAAGCAATTTTGCAGCCAACCAGTGCAGGAACCTGATGGGGCACCCTGCACCCCTGGCCCCCAGCAGCGCTTACCCCACCAGTGAGGTGCCAGTGTCTGGCATTGCTGAACCTGTCAAACAGTGCAGCCCCTGCTCTGCAGTGCAGAGCTCTTCCAGTGCCAGTCTGCCCTATGGATATTTTAACACCCAGTATTACCCCTGCAGGATGAGCCACCACAACACCATCAAGTCCTGCTCACAGCCCTCCTCCTTTGCAGACAAATACATGGACACCTCGGGATCTGCAGGGGAAGAGTTCTCCTCCAGGGCCAAGGAGTTTGCTTTCTACCAGGGCTATGCCACAGGACCCTACCAGCCAGTCCCTGGCTATCTGGATGTGCCTGTGGTGTCCACTATTGGAGCTCCAGGAGAAGCCAGGCATGAGTCCTTACTGCCCATGGAAGGCTACCAGCCCTGGGCTATCACTAATGGCTGGAATGGGCAGGTCTACTGCTCTAAGGATCAGGGACAACCAACACACCTTTGGAAATCCACCCTGCCGGGTAAAAACCACCTGCTTTTCCACTGCTAAAAGATATCCCCCTTCGCCATATATCACATGACATGATGTAATATGATGGGATATAATAGCAGATATATGATGTGATCTATATAATAAATAGCAGGCAAATAGCTCATTGACTGCAGAGGATGGATATTTCTTTATACTCCAAATATATTTAGCATAAGAAGTATTCCTCTTTTCCTGTCAATTAACCACAGCCTTATTAAAACTGACTATCATTTTGAGTTAGAATTTACATTTTATTTTTTATTTTATTTTTTGTGCCTCTTTTTATGTCAACAATATGTGTTGTTTCGTTTTAAAGGCTGTAATTTATATAATGATGTCTTCATATTTATTTAGAAAAGTATGAATAAATATATTCATATATTCTGCTATAATATATTTATATCTAACTATGTGTGTGTATATATATATATATTCTTCTATACTATATTTACATGTGTGTGCATGTGTTAAGGAATGTTGCATGTATTATATATATATTATTCTCTATTTCCCTTTGTTTAATATTGCTGAGCTGATGTCCCTGTCTATACTTTCCCTTTTCCAGACGTGGTGTCCCATCCTCCTGACGCCAATTCCTATAGGCGAGGCAGAAAGAAACGTGTCCCCTACACCAAGGTACAACTTAAAGAGCTAGAAAGGGAATATGCTACAAATAAATTTATTACCAAGGACAAGAGAAGAAGAATATCTGCAACAACCAACCTCTCAGAGAGGCAGGTCACTATCTGGTTCCAAAACAGGAGGGTTAAAGAAAAAAAGGTAATTAATAAACTGAAGACCACGAGTTAATGGACAAAGAAGGAGAGAATTCTGGTTCTGGAACTCAGCCACCCTGGCAAAAGGTTAATCAAAGCTCATCTTCTGGACCTCACGAACAAGGTTTTGAGAAAAACACATTTTTGGGCGTGGGTGGGGGAGGGGGGGAGCAGCAGCAGAGAGAGAGACTTATTGCATTTTGTAATTATTTGAGAAGGCCAGAACTCACCTCTCTATGGGAAGGAGTGCTCAATCAAGCCATGGAGATATTTGTAAATTCTTAAAAAAAAAAAAAAAAACATTAAAAAATAAAATGTCGATGTGGCATAATAGGAATGATGATTTTTTTTTTTTAAAGAGACACATAGCATGTAATCAAGAAGCGATTTAAGTCGAGAATTTCAGTCTAATAATTTCGCTTTGCATCTTCAAACCAGACTGCATGTTGAGTGGCTGCTCAGGTAAATTATAGATGTAACATGTACTGTATGCTTAATCTATACATTCTGATATATTAAGGGTGTATTGTGAGTTGTTGTTTTCTAAATTGTACAGCTATGGCAAGCCATTTTATTCTGGGTGAAGTCGTGGGCGAGGGGGCAGTATACATTGAACGACTTACAAAATTTCCAACTTGAAAAAAATAATAATAATATTAATAATAATAATAGAAACACAAAGATAAATATTTGGCAATATTACCAATACTGGGCGTTTTTGCAACGATCATATTAATATTTCCTTTAAAATGGCTTCGTACATTAAAACATTATGAATTTCACCCCTTCAGGCAAAGGAAAATTTAAGCTACATAAGACAGGGAGATTCATTAAAATTCGATTGTGTACAAATGTAAAATTTGCTATGTTCGAACACACAACATAAAATACTGCTAGTCGCTAGACTGGGGATTTTTATAGGTTAATATAAAAAAAAAAGAACATCATTTTTTTATTTTATTTTTTTATTATTTTTAATTAGGCCCTGTTAGTGAATGGTAAACAATCGTTTTCAGCACTTTTAATCTAATCAATTATTTGAACAAAAAAATCATCATTTTCCCCCCCCCTTTCTACTCACTTTAAAATGTAATCATGTAAATAATAAATTAGCGCACTGTGAACTTTTATTTGTGCACCCTTAATTTTTATTTCGTCTTATAATGTATATAAATTGAATATTTAGTTTACTTGTCAAAGCTATAGACATGTCTTAATTGTGTTGTCTGAAGTAAAAAAAAAAAAAAAAATTACCGTTTATTCATATTAATTGAAGCTTGACAATCCATATTATTTAGAAAAATCTAATTCGTGTATTCCTTAAGCAATTCATATTATTGCTGTCAGTGGTATTATAGCGTGCCCGTTCTAAGCCCATAAATTTGTGTGTTTACTAAAAGTGTCTGCAAGATCAGGTGCAATGCAATAATCAAGGCATTATTTTTAACTCAGACATGCCTTTTCGGCAGAAATTTCTTTTTTTTTTTTAAATCCAAGTCTCTATACGACTGTTGAAATGACTGGATTGAAAGGGCTTGAAACCTTGACCTTGGAGAAAACAGACAAAAGTATGACCTTGACTTCTGACAGCTCATGAATAGCATCATAGTGATAAATAGATCAATTGCGCCATCTGGTGTTCAAACGTATTTCTGCAGCTGATGTTTAATACCAATACACAACTGATTTTTATTAGTATTTAAATATGTAACTAATTAAATAATTCTAATTACACGTGCTATCGAATATTATTTGACTTTTGTGATTTAATTTTACACTGTTTTTTATTTAGATGGTAAAGTGTTAAGTGGTATATGGCATTTTCTATTACAAAATTCTCAGAACAATCTATATATTTTGAGGACCATACGAAAATATGTTTTAGATCAAAATAATCAAACCAATTTCATTCTCAGGCCAACACTCACATTGCTATGTTGTTTCTCTGCTGTTCCTTGTTCAATTTAAATACTATTAATCGAGATTTCAGGCAAATTACACAACAGTTTTAAGATGTGCATATTGAAAATTATACCAAAAAAGTAAATGATTAAATAATCTGAAAGTAATATGCATTAAACATTATATTATTAAGGATACATGCATATTTATACAATCTGTGAAATATTTCTGTTTCCAAATAGAAAACACTTGGGAAAAGTTGGGGCTATTTTACTAATTTACTCACTAACTTTAAAATAAAAGCCATGCACTCTTATTTATATCTTCTAAATAGTATTGTATGTTATAATATATACTGTTTATCTATACACGTGTATATATTATGTAAATAAGTAATTAAATATTAATATTCATGTAGATATATACTATATTCTGCGTTCATATATATTATATATGTATGATATATATCAACATAGAATACACTATATATTTACAAGGGCATTCATTTATATATTTATATATATATATTTTAATTTTTATTTCAACGCTAAGTAAAGTATATATTTATGAGTGTATGTATAGATGGATGGATAGATAGATAGATAGATAGATAGATAGATAGAATTTATTTAAACGCATGTGTATACTATATTTATTTATTTATTTATTAAACATTTTACCAGGAAGGATACATTAAGATTTATCTCGTTTTAAGTATGGCTGGGTAGATTATTTTGGGTTATAACATGGATTGAAGGTATATAGACACACAAATACACACAATGTATACGTTGCGTTGTCTGTAAAAAAATTTTTAAATAATATTTTTCTCAATATTCATAATTAGAGGAGAGAATTAAGGAATAGGGGCATCTATCGTAAAAACAATATAACAATTGATATACAATTAAAATATAAATAAGTTGATTTAACGTGAAATGAAGTGATATATATATATATATATGTTACATGTATGTGTGGATCAATGTATAACTTGCTGAAGTAGTAATACAGTCTTTTTTATCGCCGGTGAAAAACAATATTGCACACTGTATAATGAGAAAGACAGAGACAGCGATTTGTGTTAAATGGGTGTGTTAAACTCCAGCTTGGAACACTTGGGCCAGCAGATCAGAGTAGATATAATATCGCCAATAATACTACATTATCAATCTTTCTTTTTCAATTCGGCTAATATATATATATACACTTTCCAAGTTCTCGCTACAGACTATTTACTAAACAGCGAGATGTGGTGATGAAAGAACTGCAGGTTAAACGAATAAATAGGAAGAATGTATCGTGTCCAGCTCAGTTGAGGGTTTTTTCACACTTTGGCTATTTTATTCTAATTATTATCATCTCACAATCAGTTGGGATTGTTTTTTTTTCTTCAAGAATTGGCCCACAGAACAATTCTTAATATTTATTAGTTAATTGAGAGAAATATTCCCCAGTAAACATTAAGTGTAACTTTTGAAACGTTCATTTAAATGAGATTGCTCAATTTAATTTGGTTTCTTAGATGTTGTGTTTCTGTTTATTTGTTTCTGATAAGCAATTAGAACCCCGAAAAAGTTACAAGTACATCATATATCTATCTAACTGCATCTAACTGCATGGATACTGGAATATCTGTCAATAGAAATATTAGTAAACTATTTAATAGTTTTTAAAAGTTATACATTTTCCCTGTGTGTTTTTTATAGCAGAACAAAGGCCTCTCTCTCTCTGTCTGTCTCTCTCTCTTTAAATATATATGTGTGTGTGTGTGTGTGTGTGTGTGTGTGTGTGTGTGTGTGTGTGTGTGTGGCATATCTATAAGATAGATAGATAGATAGATAGATAGATTTTTGCAAGTTATTTACTTGCTAGATAATATTTAAAAATATGTTTAATGATGTTGTGGCCTGCTCATTTAATAAGAATGGTTATACTATATTATAAAATATTATTATATTATATTATAAGTACTTGTAATTATGCATTTTATGATATCTGGTTCTCTAGAGAGCGTGCATGATTGATAATCTATGAGGAATCACGGTTTGCGTGTCTCCCATTGACTCATCTCAACACTTTGGAGTGCTCTAATGTGACAATCCCCTTTGTAAAATTTTATTCTCCAAATATATTTAAGAACGAGAGAAATGTGTCACTCAGCCCAAACCTCTGCTAGGAAAATTAATATTTCAACAGAGCATCCTTGGGACAGCATTAAAAGATTACTACAGGTCCAACTTTATTAGTTATAGAATGTCTTAATTTCCATAGAACTAAATACTAGACAACTGGTGACATTCTACATGTGCCAACGAGTTCATAAAAGTCCCTGCTCGCGATTAACAGGTTCTGAAAAGTCCACCAAGCTGTGGCCAGTTGTATTAATTCAGTAAAGTCTTGTGTTTTCTATGGGAACAAGAATTCTCCTAGTAGCATAGATGTGGAGGCTGAATGCAGCAATGGCGGTGGTTTTAAATGGCCATTATTTTCCATCTTGTCACATTGTGTCTGATTATCAAGTTGTCTTGGTTGCTATGTCTCCAGGTTGTATAAATACTGAGCAAGGTAATTAAATCACACCTGCAATATTAATGTACACCATAAACCATTCTAATTAATGATGACAACCCAGACCTGTGCATGCTGGAGCCATAATATCTAATGATTTCTCAACCCTACACTCCATTTAAATTCTGACTCCCCACCCCTCTCCTCCTCCTCCATTTCCCTCCTCTTTTACCCTTTTTCCTGTTTCAGGTTAACCTTGATCTTGCGCCTGTGGCCGAAACGTTAATTTTCTAATTTTTTTTTACAAATTGTATTATTTACTGTTTATGAATGTGTTTTGTCTACGTGCATAGGTAATACGATAGATAGATAGATAGATAGATAGATGGATATATAGATAGCATCGTTGCCCATTTGTTTGTGTTAAATATTATCCTTGCTTAGGGTTGATACATAGTGTATTGTAAGCTAATCTTTTGTTGTATTGAGTCCATGTGTATTCAACTCATGATATTATTTATTGAAGAGATCATGTCAGTATTGCATCAGTTTGATTCTAAATTTTGATTCTAAATTCTGACAGTTATTGCATGGCGTTTGAGTCTGGAGATGCCCAGAGTTGGGCGAGTGGCCTATTATCTGAGAGCCCTGGCTAGGGTGGCTTGGCTTCATCATTCAGAGCTCTGGCTTGCTGGCTTGAGATATATCACTGTGATTACTAAACTGATTGCCAGGCGACTAGAACAATACTGATCCATCATAACATCTGGGAATCTCAAGGTAAAGCGAAAACTACTAATGCTAGAACGATCATTATAATCCATTTACTGTGTCATAACATGGGTCGTCTTAATCTTCCTATCATGTAATAATGCTGGTCACAATAAAAAACAAACAAACCTTACAGTTGCAAAACACGTGCTTATGGTTTATATATTAAGATACTTATTGTTACATTATATACAATTATATGGCAAATGTAAACAAGAGTGTTATGTGCAATATCTATCTGTCTATCTATCTATCTATCTATCTATCTATCTATCTATCTATCTATCTATCTATCTATCTATCTATCTATCTTTCTATCTGTCTATCTATCTATCTATCTATCCGTTCTTTTGTTAACCCTTAATTTATTCCCAAACTATTTCATTGAATGTTATATATATATAATACTACATTAGATTAAATAGTTTCGGCATATTTAATCTTGCTTTTTAATCCTATTATTAATATGCCTGTAACATTACCAAACATATTGTTTATTTTGCACACGTGATTTATATTTCAAAATTGAACACAGATTATTTTTATACTATTTCCTTTTCTATAGTGCAGAGACATACATATTCAAAAACATAAAATTACACAGCACGCATATACAGGAGAGATAGACCTACAATAAATACATTTTAAAAAATGTAAAATTACTAGAAAATATAATTAAATACATTGGTAATTATCCACAACAAAAGGGACAAAATGCCCTTGTCGAAATGTAAACAATTGATGTGTAATGAAGTGGAAAAATGAAGCTCAGGCAAATTGTCAGTAAACATATTTTTAATTTTTTTCAAATGTTTTTAATACAATTTAAATCATATTGCAAATAGACATACCCCATGTTTTCTATACTGATTCCTAATTAGGCATTACAATCAATTATAAAAGAATTTGGTCTGGGATTTAGATTTGCATACTATTTAAGAAATGCCTTATTAAAGTAATTCCCATGTCAACAAGTTTGTCTGTGTCACTATAAAAACAAACACAAATAAACAATAATACCATGAGTGCTATGACCCCGAATTCCTTATATCTATTTTCTAATATAATTTAGATGGCCAGATTAATTTGGAAACCTTAAAAAAAAGATGCAAAATATAATATACAATGTTAAATGCTTCCCTTGTAAATTAACATTTTGTATATTACTCTTCGTGACCTCAAAATATCTGTCTAATGGGGAAGCCTAGGGTTGTTGTGCTAATGCAGAAACATTAATGTCACAATAGTATTTTAAATATCCTAATTAACACTAAAGGCAAACATTTTTAAAACATTTTTTGTTTATTTTTTGCTTGGCTCCTGAAGCCTCTAGTCCCTATTTACAAATACACACTATCACCCATACGAATTCAACTAAATTCATAAATAATTTTGCTACTCTCATTTTCGACACACCAGTGCTTGTTTTTGTGTGTTTATGCATGTATGTATGTATTTATTTATAATAAAAATACTGATCGTAGGTCAAGTTCAGTGTTGCATTGATGTTGTGATTATGTGTGCACTGATACATTGAAGCAACATTAGTTCGCTGGTTAGAACTGAGGTTACTTTGTGTTGTACTTAATATTGTAACACAAATCTAAATGTCCATTATTTTATTAAATTTTTTGGAAGTATTTTTATTATTATTTATTTTATTTAGGCACACTGAGATGCCTTTATGGCATTTGCCAGCATGGTGTCCCTGATGGAAATGTCCCCAGTCAGTGTTGTCCCATATAGGAGAACCTAGCTATGGCAGTAGTTACTGGTTGTTTAAGTGCTTCTATAAGGGACTGGTGTTGGATTTCAATGGCTGTGCCTACATTTGTTGAAGCAAGCTCTCCAGATCCTGCCAGACGGTCTAGACTGCACGTTTTCACAACACTGAAATTGCCTGCAATAAGCACAATGACTTGCACCTGTAAATGGGCCACTAAAATGAATACACTATATGGTTCTTTAATTATTGTATGACACCAAGTGCACAGCAGCCAGGACTTGTTCACTTAAGTTTGGAGGAAACAGCAAATATTGTGTGTTTTGAAATACATGCTCTGTCTTCAATGGGATTAGTTTCTAAACAAAATAAAAAAAATACAATTTTTAAAAATTGAAAAAAATGCATGATTCCTCAATATAAGAAAACTGCAATATTAATCTAGTGTCAAACTGCACTATAGGCGTTTAGAAGTGCATCATCAGACTAGTATAATATTTATTTATTTAAATGTATGCAATATCAATCCTATACTGCGTATTTCATGTATGTTTATATATTGTTATATCGAGATTTACAGCACTGTGTATCTGGTTATATAAACATAGTTATGTATAAGTGTGTGTGTGTGTGTGTGTGTGTGTGTGTGTGTTTAATGAAGGTATGTGTTCGTGATAATGTATGTTGTAGGTTGCAGCGAGAAATAAATAACATTTTATAAATAGATTTCAAAATAATATTGTATCGTTAACCATAGGTAGAGTCATTTTTAAATTGTTTGTGATATTTATTTATTTATTTGGGTGGTTACAAATGCAAAAAGAAAAAAGAAGAAGAAAAAAAAAACCTTAAAATTGGCTCCTGTTTTTTTCCTGTTTAATTTCTAACACTTTACATGTTGTTTATTGCACTCAGAAAATCCCAGATTAGTGCTATGCTGTTTTAAAGAAAATCATTTGCTGATTTTCGATATTTCTCAAGTCCCCCTCACGTAAAATAAATAAGGCCAGTTATTATTTGTAAATCATATATCTTAGAAATGTTTTATAAATCCAAATATAATTGTTAATGCTTTTCTAAAGAAGATTTGGGTGAAATTATTCATATTTTCATTCTGGAACTTTAAAAAGTTAATGAAAGAAATGAAAATGTGATCGATTAAACCCGCGGGTATAGGCAGAACTAGGGATATTTCATGAAACATAATGTAAAAACATGTCGACAATGGCTTAGCTGACAATTACTGTGTTGGGTATTGAAAGTAAAGTCAGTGTATGTATAAGGCAACTATGTATTTCTCGAATACACACAAGGAATAAGGATGGTGCGGAATAGAGACCAGACGCTACTCTAAGGGGGTTTATTTACTAACCAGCGACCTGTGATGAGCTGATTCAGACATGTCAATCAAGTGTAGAAGGCAGGCCAGAATCGATACATTGGAGAATTCTAGAACTCGGCTGATTTAGGACGATTTAAGGACAGTGTGGCCTACATTGGGTTAACAAGTCACAGTTTAGTGGATCCACCCCACATGCAAGTACTGCTGTCTGTGTTAAGGTCAATTACAAGTCCAGATAAAATGTTCCAGAAAGATGATTGCCAGACAAATTTTTTAGAAGTCTAGGCTCAGTGTGAAGTGCACATTCAGTCGGTGAAGCCCTGCAGACCCTTCTAGTGGCCCTTTGTCTGCTTGCTGCCTTGTGTGTGTGTGTAGGGTGAGCTGGCTCCCCACCCAGTCAGAGGATGTTAAATCCTGTAAATAAAATCCCTGCTTGCTCCCATACAAACCTGATTGGAAAGGTGCAAGTGATATCACAGAGGGAGAACATGTGCAGATGGCATGGAGGTGCTGTCTCCTGTGAGGCTGTGCTTGGGCCAGCCATGTCTGCTTGACACAGGCTGAAGTTGACTGCCAAATGTGCCATAAACCCGCAGGGTCAGGCTAGAGCTGCTCTCTGCATCTTGACGCGCCGACTTCAATTATAGCCCTAAAAGCCCAATACAACGAGAAGGTTTTGTTTTCCTTTGCAGAGGCGGAGCGAGCCTGGGCCATGGGGGAGCCTTTGTCTCATGGTCAAGAAATCTGTGTCCAGATGTCTATCCGTCTTCTCCTACTTTCCTATCTATCTATATATCTATTTATCTATCTATCTATATATCTATTTATCTATCTATCTATATATCTATTTATCTCTCTGTCTGTCAGTCTGTCTGTCTGTGTAACTGTCTGTATATAGCTAATTTGATATGAATCATTTAATATCTCTCTCTCTATCTATCTATCTATCTATCTATCTATCTGTCTGTCTGTCTGTCTATCTATCTATCTATCTATCCGTCTGTCTATCTATCTATCTATCCATCTATCTATCTCTCTGTCTGTCTGTCTGTCTGTCTGTCTGTCTGCCTGTGTAACTAACTGTCTGGCTATAGCTAATTTTATATGAATCATATATGAATAATTTAACATCTATCTATCTATCTATCTATCTACCTGTCTATCTACCTTTCTGTCTGTCTGTGTAACTTACTGTCTGTTGTATATGAATCTTTTAATATCTATCTATCGTGTGAATAATATATTGTATATCCAACAGTTAATCTAATATTAATCTTTGAATGTTCTATCCATATATCTATTCAACAGCCAATTTTATATAAACCATGTGATGTTCTATCTAGCTGTCTGTCGGTCCGCCTGCCTCTGTCTGTCTGTCTATCTGTCTATCTATTATTTTTTTCTGTCTTGTAGGTGTTTGTGCATGTTTGTCTTTCTTACTGTTTTCCATTCATTTGATTTTGTAGAATATATTGTTTAAGTACATCTATATCCCGAGCAAAATATTTAGGCCCTTGATGTGAATGCCTTATCACCAGTAGCACTATGTGCCTAATTAATTACTTAATTGAAAATAAAAATAATAACATTAAGAATGTCACTTCCACGCGCTTCTGCTGGATTGTGTGTGTCTGTGTGTCTATATTTTGAGCAGCAGAATTATTCTAGAGATTGCTGATGCATGTGATACATAAACATGCCCACAACAAACACACACACACACACACACACACACACAAACACACACATGCACATAACAGGAGAGCAGAAATTAACAAATACACACATAAAATATGCCTATGTGTTTTTGTTTGTTTGTTTTTCAGAATATGTATGAGTTTGTTACTTTGCATTTGTAATTGTGCTTGTCTGTTTATCATAAGTGTGTGATTCTTAATATAAAAATTAAGAATCATATACGTTTTGATTACAAAAAAACAAACCAACAGAGTGTATTTATTTCATTTCATCTGTATTGTTATAAGATTGTATATCTGTGTGTGTGTCTCTCTCTGCCTATCTGTCTCTGTCTCTCTCTGTCTCTCTCTCTCTCTCTCTGTCTTTCTCGTTCATGTATAAATAATCATCACGTTTACATTAAATGTTTTGGAAATAACTCATTTTTCACACTTCTACACTGTCTCGCTTTTCATTTTTATTCTTAAATACAGCATACTAGCAGAACACAGTGCATGTGACAAGAAGATTGCACAAAGGTCTGTGAGAGAATATCTTACATTTCAAGGAATTTTAAATCAGGAGTTATATAATGAACACATTCCAACCTATACCAAGAGAAAACACAATCCATTTACAGTTTTATTGAAAGGATTATCTGCTAGGCACTATCTTACATTCTCTCTCAGCTCTGCAGAGAAAACAGTGATCTAAGCATTTTGTTCGGTTAGGAAGGGAGTGGGTACACTGAGCCTTGTGATCCAATGCTACAACATATCCCCTGTCCCCACCCTACAAGCCTCTGCTCCTAGAACAAGCAGACAGAGGGAACACATGGCATTGTGTTTTCTGTGATTTTTGTTTGTGCAGCAATGAAGTTGAACCCTATAGCCGTCTGATTCCATGCATTCCTTTGCACTTCACTGAGACATCTTCTCCCTAGAGGTTTTCCAAGAAAGGTAAAGTGTCAGGGGGAGAGGGGGGAGAAATTGGAAGGGGGGGTGGAGAGGGGGTTGTTGGCCAGGGAGCAAAGACTTTATTTTACACCAAATGCTGCAGAATCTTCAGAAGCAATAAAATGAGATACAACCGGGAGTCCCTTCTCTGCAAGACTGAGGGAGTCCCCTAGGCACGCTGCGCGTAACCACATTCTTCACCAAGGTTCTAAATAGAACGTTGCCTTCACCAAGGTTCTCTCCCCCTCCAGGAGACCAAGAAAAGGCATGAGTTACATTGCAGATTACATGCTTCTATGAAACTTGCAAGTGACGATCTGTTGCTTCCCTTGAGATGCCTACAAAGAGAAGGGACCTATACTTGCAGCTTGTCAATTTCAACATCTGATCACATGATCAGCACCTCCCTGCTAAGGACGGGGTTAGATTTCCACGTCAGCTTACGTCTTCCAATTTCTACTTCACGGATCTGCTTCAAAGAGGCAGCTGCATTAGAGAATCATGTTAAGCTCAGCTAATGCGGACAGCCCGAGGTAGCCCCCAATGATGGATTTTGATGAACGTGTTCCTTGCTCCTCTAACATGTACTTGCCAAGTTGCACTTACTACGTTTCGGCTCCTGATTTTTCCAGCCTTCCTTCATTCTTACCCCAGACCCCATCCTCTCGTAACATGACCTATCCTTATTCTTCAAACCTACCCCAGGTCCAGCCAGTGAGGGAGGTAACTTTCAGGGAATATGCCATAGACACCTCCAGTAAGTGGCATCACCCCAGGAGCAATCTGCCCCATTGCTATTCAGCAGAGGAGATCATGCACAGGGACTGCCTTCCTGCCTCCAACCCTGCTGGCATGGGGGAAATGTTTGGAAAAAATGCTTCTAATGTCTACCACCCCAATGCCAACGTTTCCACCAATTTCTATAGCACAGTGGGCAGGAATGGGGTCCTTCCTCAAGCCTTTGACCAGTTCTTTGAGACTGCCTATGGCAACATTGAGAATCAAAGCTCTGACTATTCTGTGGAGAAGAACTGCGACAAGGTATCAGGGAGTGCAGCCAGCACTCTGAGTGCGGAGCCGGCCTGCAGCAGGGACCCAGAGGAGAAGGACAGGCCAGCAGACAGCAGCAGAAGTAGCAGCTCCCACTCATCTTCCGGTAACAATGAGGACAAAGCCAGCAGCTCCAGTATGTATGACTGCTCCTGCCCCAATGAAAGCCTCTGCAATCTAGCGCACTGCTGTTAAAATTTTATATGCTGTTTTATAAGCATATAAGGTTTATAGAGGGCCTTTTAGATTTCCCCCCAACAAAACTTTGTTATAAAAGGCGAGATCACGTGTTTAGCACTGAAATTGGCCGTGAAACACAGGGACCAATGGATGCATTAAGACAATCCTTCCCCCCACTCTCTTTTCCCCTTTTTTTTCCTCTAAAAAACTCTGGGGTCGGTTTTTGTAGAGAATAGAGTAAGGAAGAATTTAAACCAATAAACTAACACACAAAAGCAAGCTGCATGCTTTGATATCAGTGTGATGTGTGCATGCCTCAGACAGCAGGAACTTTTCTGACACTTGTAGTTTTTTAATTTGGGGGTTTTTTTTGTGTGTGTGGGCTAAACAAGGAAATATTTTAAATTCCACTTGGATATTTTATATACAATGCAAGGTATGGTCAACAGTTATTTAAATTCTGTCTGATGACGCCAAATGCCTTGCATTGTTTAGAGTGAGGTTTTTAAAAAAAATATATATATATATTTTTAATTTTTTAGCATTATTATATTCTTTTTAACCAATATTGTGCATGCTAGAGAAAACCTAGAGAACTGTGTGTTTTTAATTAAATTCAATGATAGCATGGCAGAGAGGCTAAGGTCATTACGTGTCAAAATAATTAAAATCTTAATATAAAATATGTATTCTTTTAATGTAGTCAAAGTGATTTTCCCAGTGCTAGGGGTATATGGATTCTATGCATACAATGTATAGTGTAATTACAAAAGTAATAGAATCTGCTTCTCCAGGGGATTTTTATAATGCAAGGCAAAGAGTTGCTGATTTAATAGCAATTATAAAAATGATATCATAAAAGGGCTTGCTTTAAAATGAATGCACACAGCCCATTCAGTTTACAGGTTATCCTATTGGTAATAAGGTATGTGCTTCCTTTATAAGTAGAAAATCCTTTAAAGTAAAAAGAGGTTATTCATTAAACATCTAATTATTGAGAGCTGAACACCGAATTGCAAAATGCAGGCAATATAGCCACATTTTGACTATATTTGTCATGTAAAATCCATCCATATTGGTGATCTGTGCTCACATTTTGCAATTCAGTTTTGAATTCCTTACAATCTGGTGCTAAGTGACTTATAACCAATGTTTTTGATCAGCCATCAGTAGGGTAAATTCGCTTGCGAATGTTCGGGTTTCTCTGGAGATAGTGAACTATGGCCCTTGTTACAATATAACATATTTGTTATAATTCCACAGGTGGACAGCGTACACGTAAAAAGAGATGTCCTTACACAAAGTATCAAATTAGAGAACTAGAAAGGGAGTTTTTCTTCAGTGTTTACATCAACAAAGAGAAGCGCCTCCAACTATCACGGATGCTCAACTTAACCGACAGACAAGTCAAAATTTGGTTCCAAAACAGAAGAATGAAAGAAAAAAAAATTAACAGGGACAGACTTCAGTATTATAGCGCTAACCCTCTGCTATGAGACTGACTGTTTACTCTGGACCAGACCCACATCATGCCTGATCATGACAAGGTCATGTCACAAGGTTATATATATGTGCCAATGTGTTGCTCAGTTGGAACATTCGGGAGAATAATTTAATACAAAAACACTTTTCTTTTTTTTTGTTTGGACCTTTAAATGTTGGTATTAACTGGAAATGGGCGATTATGATGTAAGGAGTCTTTACACCTTGCATTACCTAAGCTGTATTTCATACCAATTCCTACCAATTACCTGCAGACATTCTGATTTTGTCAACTTAGAAAGACGCAAAAAAAAAAAAAAATTCAAAACAGAGAGAGAGAGACGCAAACTGTGGCGCAAATTCAGAGGACCAATGGGAAAATGCATTGAAAAAAAAAATTGATTTGTGATGACGTTACTCGGATTTTGGGATTGTACAAAAATAATATTTCCGTTTTGGTTTCTTCATTTAAAAACACTTTAGCGTTTGCACCTATGCCAAGTACTGCTTTAACAGGTTTATTACGGTGTTTTTTCAAAGTACAGGGTTCAAGTAAAGGGAGAGGCTGTTGGTTAAGTTAATCTTCAACTCTCCTTGAAAGATATTCCAAGCTTCAATCTATCAGTATTTACAAATATCTGTTTCAGTGGAGCTTCTGATATAATGCACTTTGTTTGCTAGTACAATTCCCTGTCTGTGGCATTTAGCTAAGAGTCTCAGCTTAAAGGAAAAAGAAAAAAAAAAAAGACAAAATACATCACCATTTGTGACCAGCTTGAGTCAACAAGACAACCAGACGGTGATAAATAAAAGAAACTTAAAAGAAAATAATCAACATATTATATATCTTTTTCATACCAAAGGGCATCAGATAGTTTAATATCTGTATCTACATGCCCAGAATTTATCTTATGTTTAGATTTATTATCATATAAGTATGTGTGTGTATATGTGTTTGTATGTGTGTGTTTTCTGTGTGTGTGCTTGTGTGTGTGTCTGTGTGTGTGTGTGTGTGTGTGTGTCTGTGTGTCTGCGTGTGTGTGTGTCTATATATATGCTGTTTGTCCAAGAAAGAACCAAAGTTAATAAATGCAATTATTAAAACAAATGCAAACTATTTCAAATTATATATGAGTTTACGGGATTGAAGATCCTATTTGTAATAATTGCGTTTGAATGTATATTTCATACGATGTTTTACTACGCTTGTAAATAGACGTCATTTCGTATTTCTTTTGAATACCTTTTTAAACATCTAGTGAGATAAATTTTAGAAAAAATTATAAAGGTGCTTGGTTTTAATTATCCAATTTTTCCAAAGGTTAGAGTTTTTCATGGATTGGTGTTTTTTGGCTCAGTTCACAATATAAAGCATCACATGTCACTGTATATCTACAGATCCATACTTTATATATGTATATATGGTTTGTTTCATACAAATGAGTTGCATGTACAACAAGACTGCGCACAAGAAGACGAATAAACAAGGCTCAAACTACATAATTGTCACATTGTGGTGCTTTCTGGAAAAGAAATAAAATGGGTACATACACACTCTATACACACACACACACACACACACATATTTATGTATGTATGTATGTATTTATGTCATTGTTTATTATTCATATGGATTATATATGTCTTTGTATATATATATATATATATATTGATATATATATATATATAAATACTAGACTACATATACTACACGTCTATAATATGTATATATATATATATGATTGTATAGTCTACACATATGTTTGTGTGTGTGTGTATGTATGTGTGTGTGTGTGTATATATATAAATATGTATATGTAATTGTTAAGTCTGCATGTGGACTACATTTGTCTATGTGTGTGTGTGTGTGTGTGTAATTAATTATATTAGACATGTATATATTAGACATGTGTGGTATTGTGGTATGTTTATAAGATATAGTATATATAATATCTACACACAACCAGAAGAACACACACCATTTAATTGCTCTCACTTCATTGATTGTGTAAGATTGCTGAGGTACTGAGCTGCTTGTTCTTTGAAATGGAATGGCTTTTACGACAGTCAAATATTGATTGTGACCCGAATGGCCATTCTGTGGCCTCAAACAAATATCCTAATATATTATTCCTTCAAGGCACAGTTACAGGAAACGTAGGTGTCACACAGCAACCAGGATGGATTGTTGCTACAGAAGTGTGTCTTGTGTGTACAGTTAAAGATTTGTCCTTTGCAGTGTCTGTATGAAGCCAGTAACATATTACAGGATGGGATCTGTTTCACCCTTTGAAGCATTTCTAATATCAAAAAAAAAGTTCTGTTTATCCTATTTCTTAATAGGGGGCTAGCTGGCTTTGAACTTCTCTGGAGCTTTTTGTTCTTCGACACACATAACCTTGAAAGGATCTCAATACATTATCTAGTCTGCCTATTATTTATATTGTTTATTAGCTGTAATATCTATTCTCTTGCTCTAGAAATGTCAAACTCTGTGTAGGCCGACATGTATCCCCACTTAGATAAATATTTACATCTCACATTAATTAAAAATAGGAATTACTGATTCTAAAAGCTCTCCCAGAATTCTAGAGACACAGGGAAAAAAAACTTGGGAGATTTCAAAAGGATGGTTTTAGACTGGGGGGGAGGGGGGAGAGAATTTTACAAGGATATTTCCTTTTTGGGTTAACTATTAACTGGTTTCCCTTACAAATGCTGTAGACCCTAGAGGCCTGCAGTTTAGCTTTGGTCTTCTGACCCAATAAAAAAGCACATACTCTTTGTTGCTAAGGCAATTTGGTTATAAAACGTGTCTGTGAGTTGCAATTTGCATATTTGGAATGCAGGGCTATAAACTAAATACAGGGTAGGCAGCCATTTCTGAGAAGGTACAATCAGTGTTATCCAACAGTTGTCTGAATGAACATTCAAGCATCTCTCGGTTGACAACAAAAACGTTAAAAAAAATATCTAGCATCATTTTCAAAGGAACTGAACTACCACAAGGTGGCGTTGTTCAGATCAATGTCAAAGCCGAGACTATAGGCGAATCTATCTCCAAGATCTTGGCCTTTGTTCTGTTATCATATACAAGAAGGACTTACAAAGAAAATAACTTATTTTGTTTTATCGATGATACTTAAAAAAAAAATGACTAATTAATTATTTAAAAGAAACTGGATAAAGCTCTCTCCCTCTCTAAAAACCCAATCTCTGAAAAGAATATCTTTGATGGATGTTGCAGATTTATTAAGGTAGGTACTTGAATATACAGTCTAATATGTTAAAAGTGGGGCGCATAATTAAATATTGACGATAGCTGTGATGTACAAAGGAAGCGTATAGTGCTTACGTTAATTTTTATTTCTGATGATCTTAAAAAATTGAATGGCAATGTAGCAAACTCAAAATGTATAAAGATAGGGCAGGAAAATAAAAATGGCTAAAATGTAACTTCTCAAGAAATAATGACCATAGAGTTAATTACTAAATGTAAGAGAGAGAGAGAGAGAAATACGAAAATCAAAATTGAAGTGTAGAAGTGTAATAGCTCAAATACAAATGCAGCCGTATCCCTGTAATCACTTATCTGAATTATAATATAGCTGGGATTTTTATCTTTATATCTCATTATGTTATAGAAAAACAAAGGGTAAATAGGCCCCAAACCCCTAGTACTTCGGTTATCTATGTGTATGAATTATGATAATTATTTAAATCCACATAAATGATGTCTGAAGAAAAAATTAAAGCACTGCAGTAAACAGGGACTGGGGGTCTGTTCACTAAACTGTGATTCGTCAGGAGTTAAAACAGGTAAATGGTGTCTAAAATAAAAAGCTGACAAGACTATTTGAAGATGCAGATTTTCTTTTCCATTGTAGGTGTGTTTTTTTCTACTTCATAGTAAATCTGACTCAAATCACTGTTTAGCGAGCAAACCCACATTTCTCAGATGCAATTTATCATAATTATCAAGATTAAGACGAAACTAATCGAAATTGTAGCATGTCCAATGATTTCACAGTAAAACATTTTATGCAAGTATATTCTGTTTCTTTGGAAAAAAAACAAATAATAAACATGGCGGACGTTTTACGTTTCGACATAGTATGCGTGTAATCCGCTTGCAGACAGAAAGACCCCCCCAGGGAATCTCAGTCTAGAAGTCTAGATACAGGTTTTACTTAAATAGATCTGGGAGTTAAAGAGTTAACACGTGTGTTTGGGCTGCTGTGCATGTTTACAGAGTAACTAGTTAAACAATTGGAAAATAATTGCTACTAATGTAACAATGAACACAAATGTGCGTTTATTTCAAGGCCTGTAGTCTTATAACAATAAAAATAAAGTATTAATTGTTTGATAGTGGTTGGTTTTTAAACATGCAAAATCCAATATAGATTTGAACTGTCTTTTAAGTTGGTCCAAAGAATGTAGAACTTCTACACTGGTGCCAGTAAGCACAGGGCCAAAAATAATGTATGACTCTCTATGAAATATTGAAAACAAATGTAACAGTATAATTAATAGCTAATATTAAACTAACTGAGCAACAAAATGTATGCTGTTAACATTTTAACTGCCCTCTGAGGCGACATTGAATTAGGTTGCTGGGTATTTGATGTGACTATAAAGTTACCACTTGAAATTGATAAATACTCGGGTTTTCAAAACTTGGTATATGTTTTAAAACTTGGTTTCTAAGAATCACTGAATAGGCTTAAGGAAGACAAAATGTTACTTAAACGAAGTTCCATGAACGTGGTAATCCTGCTATTTTTCAAATATGACTCATTTTACTGTCTGCCACAATCTGACTATTTCACAATTGAAAACCACATTGTTATGCAACCTAGGATTGTGTGTGTGTGTGTGTATGTGTTTGTGTGTGTGTGTGTGTGTGTGCGTCTATATAATTCTACTTATGTGTTTCTTAATACAGCCATCTTGGGTCTTATATATGTACCAAATATTCTGATTGTGATTGGACCTGTTATTTATATGTTGAGCCTATCTGGTTTCAATAAGCTTTCTATTACTTTAGGAAAATCCTTTTTTTGTGTGTGTTAATTTTTTATGTCTGATATGTTGCAATATTTCTATTTCAGAATCATTTTTCATACTATATTATTTGGGGTTGTTGAATACAATTTTATTTTCAATTATCAAGTAAAATGTATGTAGCTAGTTATTAAACTATATTTGTTATGGTTTATGCCCACCATCACACTTATAAAAGGTATATATAGTACAGTGTGACATGTAAATCTTTTTGTTTCTTTATTTACATATACTGCCTTTCAGTAGAGAATTAAGAGAGTCCAGTTACACTGATTTCTGTGTATAGGAAGTTATACAATAAAACCTCTACCGGTGACGAATCCTGTAAAATTGATATATCCCAGATGCATGGGCCTTAAAATACATATTCCTTTATTCATCCATAATAATTGTTACACTTTCTAGGTCTGTGAGTATTTTTGTGATGTAAAAGGCATTTGTCACCAGCCTTGGCACTGAATAGTTTTCTGAAGCCCTCCATCTGATTCAAAGCACCATTTTGGATCAAGTCCAAAGAAAAAACAAAGTATTTGGCAAACCACACACATTCTTGACCATTTACAGTTGTCAAGAAAGAAAATCAGAACAAAATTAATTTCTAAACCACCACCTTTGAATATCTCTAGGGCTTGCTGTATGGTTCTATATCTGTATGTTTGTATCTATCTATCTATCTATCTATCTATCTATCTATCTATCTATCTATCTATCTATTTATCTATCTATCTATCTATCTATCTATCTATCTATCTATCTACAACCTTCGTTTATTTTTACTCTAATTTATTCCTATAACATTTGGATAGTGAAAATATTAAATCTCTCTCTCTCTCTCTCTTTCTGAGCACACCCACATAAGGAAGGTAGAAGATATTTTTGGTGAGCTTAAAAAAAAAATAGTATGATCTCAAAATTCTACAATAACTGCCTGTTTAGTATACAGTATACATAGTTTTCATGACTTGTTGAATTACGGATAGATACAGAAAAAATGGTAAATGTAGACAAGACTATTGCAAAATGGAAAAAAAAATCCAATTCAATCAGATCATTTTGGCCTGGAAATGAATAGGGGGTAGTAAGCCCCCCACAAATCGTATAGTGAATGCAAACACAACCTTTTCTTTTGGTGGATAGAAAGACGTATCTTAGCAATAGGTGTATAGTGGTAATTGGGGATAATTTACTAAATAGTGAGTTAGGGTTGAAGTCAGACTAAATTAGCCAAGCTGGATAAAATCTCACTTTCAACGAAAATTGAGATTTATAGCTAGTTCTATTATGACTTTTTTTTGCTATGAGAGAGATATCTGATTTATATTTACAATTAAAATGTTCACAATTCTTAATGTTTATATTGTTATTTACCCTAGCCAATTATAATATAGTGTATTTCTTTTATATTAAGTTTTACGTGAAATCATACAGAATAAATAATTATATATTTTAAAAATATCCAAATGATGGAATAAGGGCATTATCAATTAAATAGCACCTTCTGCTGGGTCAATGACAGACAGACAGCATACAGTGTCCAAAACCTGTTTATATCCAGTTTATCTGAGCTAAGTTATTTGTTTGTCGTTGTTTGTTTTTTTACTATGCTAGTTTAGGTTAAAATGTTCATGTCGTTGCTTAGATCACTCAAACTCGCCACTTAGTAAATAGGCCCCTGCCTATATATTTCTTCACATTTATGGGTTTGAGTTGTGTTTTATTGTTGTCGTTTGGTGTTTTTTTTCTTGGCCTGACATGGATGGGAAAATGTCCTTCATTTGAAAGATTTTCTAGGTTTTAAACTTCACGTTGAATTCCTTCCACACCTCCCCCCTTGCTCTAACAGAACGAGAGTGCAATTTCTATTCAAAATAAGCCCCATTTGTCATTGAAAAGAGATTTAATTCGGTATTTAAAAAGTAGTTTGGCACAATGCACCCCTCTTCTCTCGCTGGGTTCCCCCTCTAAGCTTCCAACTGACCATTTATCGTTTATAGTTAAGATTTAAATGTTCTGTATTAGTCTTACTTGAATAGATTTGATGGTACTAGTTTACTATTCACATTAGCCTTATTAGTGGCTAAACAAAGCACAGATCATGCACACCACTGAGCTCTTAAACTGCATGATCAAGAAGTGTGCCTGACTATAAAAGGATTCGATATTTCTTTGTGTAAACACATCTGCACAGATTCACTTTTTCAAATCTACACTAAGTATGACTGGGTGATGATATTCCATTATCTGACAAATTATTCATGCAAAGATCAAATTTGAAAGATGCAAGTCAGCTTTATAGATGTTCCCAGATGCAAAACTTAACACAATCCTGCATTCATTTAATGCCCTTTCATTTTTTTAAATTAAATTTCCTTCTATGAATAATATACATAATAAAATCTCAGTATTTTTCTTTTTAATATCTTGTAATTTTATTTTGATGGTATACGTGGTTGTTGTTTTTTAATGTGTAAACAAATAAATCTGGTAGAAATGTTTAATACTGCCCAAGTCTTTCATCAATGTCTCTCCTCTGCAAGAGTTAACTGTAACTGTGGGAGGGATTGTATTATCTTGGCTTTGTTTATTAAACGTGCAATCAGAGCTGCCTTATTACATATTTAAAGATGTTTAGATCTGCAAGAAAAAAAGTGTCACAATTAAATTTGCTGTTGTCTTTTTTTTTTTTTTTCAAAACAAAGAATTGTGAAAAATGTATGTGAGATTCATTGTCCCAAATATGGCAATCATTTTATTAGGGCGGTGCTATGGATAGAGGAAGACAGACACTGGGAACTCCTGTTAGACCTACTATGTTAAATTCAGTTTATAAAACACAAATAGCATTTCTGGGAATAAAAAAATGCTTAAATGTGCACAAAGTCCCCCCCTCCTCTTCTCCCTCCCAACAACTGTGGCTATCTGTTAAAATAGTTTCCCTGCTAGTACATTGAAGTGTAATGCTCTTATTGCACTTGTGAAAAAGAAATGGCTTTTACAAGTTTGATAAAAGTAGAAAGGAAGGTTTTCTGTAAATATTTTACTGGGGTGCAGGAAGCAGGAAGGATTCTTGTATAATACAACTAGCCCAGCTCTCACAAACCTTGCAAAGGGGCCCCTAGGCTTTTTTTCCCTTTTATTCTTAAAGAAACATCTGAACTCTTCTTGTTTCATATGCCCTTCCCAGAAAAAAAAAATTCCAGAAGTAGAGGCTAATAAAATGTAGAGTTTAAAAAGCAGATATGTCCCTGCAGTTTCCAAAGGCAGACTTGCTTGTTGTAGTCTACAGAACGTCTAGAAGCCAAGGGTAAGTGCTTTGTGACTGCGTGGTTTAAACGGTGCTCTGATTTACTTACTAAATCACTAATAAAACCCCTCTGATTCATTTCTGACATTTCACACCACATCCGAAATGCAGAGTGTGGTTTAGAAATAGTTACATCTTTATTAAATAGCTTGTGGAGTTCAAACTCAACATATGCCACAAACAAACATCTGCAAATAAATAAACCAAACTAAAAACTCAACACACTGTGTTGTAAACAACAGTCAGTGGGTTATAATTCCTCCAACACAAGAACTGAACTTAATAATTACCTTAAATACAGAGGAACAATGAAGGTTGTATAACAAACAATACACTAGACACTAGGTAGAACCATAAACATAGGAAAACAAATAAATTGTGTCTTTTTTGGGCGCTTTATAAAAATAACAGTATTTTCCACACCCAGTGCTTAATATTGCTGTTTTCCATTATTTACTTGACACACAATTTTGGTTGAAATAGTGCTAATAATTACTCTCTTTCTGTTTATTGCAAATCCATCATATATTGCATTTTTGAAAATCTACCTAATAAATGTGTTTTATTCAAAGTCTTAACCTGCAAACAAGTTTTTAGAATGTTCATTGCTCTGGAATTCTAAACAATGGGGGAGCTATTCTGGAAAAAAAAAAATTAAAAATGGGAATAAAAGCATGCTAGACCTCTCTGTGAATAGATCTATTTAAGGATAGGCATCGATGATTGTGTATAATAGTATTGGCAATGGCCTAGATGAAATTTTACATGTATTCAAAATAAGACAGGAAAATATTGCACGACTTTATGACTTAATTATTAACCATCACTCCTATTTTATTCTATTTTTTTAACTGGTCTGTGAGCATATTTTTATTTGGAATTCATACACATGTGTTAGGTGATAATGTGCATATTTGTATTCATATATATGTATATACAAGAATCAATGCTTACACACACACACACATACAATCTCTACTCGAATACATACATACATATATATATATATATATATATATATATATATATATATCGAACACTATATATATATATATATATATATATATATATTGAGGTCGAGCTAAGATGAACCTCTGCATACGAAACTGGACTGGGAGGGGTTGGTTGTAGGAGTGAGCTTCCATTGGTTGCGTGCTTTTGCCGTGGTGCAGGGGTAACTCTAATCATATTCAGCATGTTTTGCACAAGAAATGTCAGCCAGAAAGGAATATCTGCTCTCCTCGCCAAATTATTCCACAACAATGTCATGCTCGGAGAGTGCAGCAGCAAACTCTTTCCTTGTGGACTCTCTGATCAGTGGAGGTGGCAGAGGGGAATCTGGGGCTTATTACCAAGCCAGTGGGGTCTACCTGCCCCAAGCCTCCGAGGTGTCCTATGGACTGCAGAGCTGTGGACTTTTTCCAGTTTTGAGCAAACGCAATGAAGGTCTCCCCCAGAGTAACACAGCCCCAGCCACTCAGAGCTATGCTCCGGGGATGGAGGTCTGGCTGGAGAACCCAAGGTCCTGCAGAGTGGACCCATCTGAGAGTCCAGCAGATAACTCCTGCTCATTCACACAGAGTATTAAGGAGGAAAGCTCCTACTGCTTGTATGACTCAGACAAATGCTCCAAGACTCCTTCTGCAACTGACCTGTCCACTTTCCCAAGGGTTAACAGTGAGTCCAGCCCTGGACACAGTATCAGCTCTGTCCCAGTACCTGGCTACTTCCGCCTATCCCAGGCATATGGTACCTCCAAGGCTTATGGACCTGTTCAGATTGGGGCTCCCCAGTTTACACAACAGTCCCAAAATCGTTTTGACTCTCCTCTGTCCTCAGTTCCAGCCCACCCTGCACGAAAAGACAGCGAGCCATCGCCCAACAGCAACAAACTGGCCCCGGGATCCCACCAGAGGGAGGAGGACACATCTTCTGGAGCTGAGGAGTCATCACCAGCCCCTTCAGACAGCAGCAAACACTCTCCTGAGAAGGATTCTGTAGGTGAGCAACTATTAAAAAAAAGAACAAAAAATCAATGATGAACATGAAATTGCCTCTCAAACTAAGGGGGAATTTGCCTAGAGATCAGAGGAAACCTTCCTTTTACTATGATCCTTTGAACTATTTGATAATTGGGCGTGAGTATGTCATAAAATCCTCTCCATCCTAAAACTTTACACCACATGCTTAACTGTGGCTTCGCTTTGTCCTACAGGAAGCTAGTATGCACTATAAAATAGCACGCTAATTTATAGGTCCTTAATCGAGCAGCATTGCAGGCGCCATTACATGCAACGTATCCAAAATATGACAGTAAAATATCAGCCCTACATGTGCTGTAAACTCGATAGGATCCACTCCGAACCTTCTATGGAGCGTTCTAAACAATGTATCCAGATCACAGGCCCAAATAGACAGCATGTTACACGTACATACATACATACATACAGTCTTACATACATGACAACATAGAAACATGGAAAACCTGTGTAAACATGTAGAATATATATCTATATGTACCTGTATATATATAATCTAAAAGTATGTTTCTAGAATAAAGCTCTCATTTAGCTATTTAATACCTTTATATAATTAATCTGCTTTAATACTATTTTAATAATTATTTAATTAAAAGATTTAAAACGACACAAATCCCATGCAGTTAACTGTGTATTAAGGGCAAAACGCTTCCTAATATTAATTTATTTTTTTTATTAGTATTAGTATTTAATTTTGTATTTTAACTTACAGAATATGAATGTTCTGACATTTACTAAGAACTAATATGTGTTCTGATATTTACTAAGCACTGAAGTGTTAAATTCTACATGTAGAATACTCAGAAAATAATTCCCTGTACACATATCTGTATCTGTACACACAAAAGCACGTACCGACATACTCATATATATACATTCCTTCTTTGTGAATGTCAATCTATCCATTTAGTTATATAATGTGACATTATATATATATATATATATATATATATATATATATATATACACACACACACAAGGTACACACACATGGATGTTTTTTAAAAAACATATACTCCAATATCCACCCAAAATGTTCAATTATTGATATAGATATAACAAGGACTTTTATTCTGAAAAAAAAACAATGCCCTAGGAAAAAAATTACATTTAAATTTGATATCAAACCAATGAATGAAGTGAAATTGAATGTTTAAATGTCAGAAAGCTACTTATTAATTAAATATAGCATAATGTATAAAAAATATTCTAAATTAATTGAATATATTGAATATATATTCAGGTTTAGATTTTATATGTGTTTACCAAGCCTATATATTTCTGTAGATTTGTATATAAAACCCATGCAAGGATAAAGATTATTTTTTTTGCATGCCTGCACCCACAAAGGAGTGTATGTGTTGGATACTGATATGAGATATATTTTTATCTCCATAAGTCTAGATGTGTCTAAAACTCTCCGTTATGTATTTTTCGTGTGTTGACTCTCTCAGGGAATGCGAAAAGTGAAAACGCTGCGAACTGGTTGACTGCAAAAAGCGGTAGGAAGAAACGTTGTCCTTACACCAAGCACCAAACTCTGGAGCTGGAGAAGGAATTTCTGTTCAACATGTACCTGACTCGCGAGCGGCGCCTAGAGATCAGCCGCAGTGTTCACCTCTCAGACAGACAAGTGAAAATCTGGTTCCAGAACCGCAGGATGAAACTCAAGAAAATGAATCGAGAAAACCGAATTAGGGAGCTCACAGCCAATTTCAACTTCTCTTGATGACCCTGTAACATCTTTCAGTCCTGTATGAAAGAGCCAGTAACCTTCCACAAATGGTTTAATTTATCCTAACCTATATGGATGGACACTTCTGTACTTTATCAGTATGCCCAAATTGCCACCCAGTCTTTCTCATCTGGGTTTTAAAGCCATAGTTGCACACATTTGTTAAGAACGATTCATTCAAATTTTTTTTTGTAATTATTTTTTTTTCCTTCTTTCTTAGACTAAGAATAATGTTATGAAATCCAGTCGCAGTGAATAGTTTTCATAGGAAAAAAAAGTCATATATATATATATAATTTGTATTTTATTTAATTTTTTATTTTTTTTTATTTTGGAATGCTTCTTTTAACTTTAAGTCTATATTGCTTTTTTTGTATTTTTTTTAAATCAAATTCTGTTATTTTTTATCTTTTTTTTTTTATAAGAAATGCTTAAGCGTGGACAGGTTAAAGAAAATCTCCATAGGACATTTTATTGGGTTGAAATTAAGAGTCTTAATTTGTCCAGGGGGGGAAATAATGAACTGTTTTATTCTTCAAGAAAGGATAAACTTGTCGCTAAACGGACTATATGAATTATCTCACTTCTGTATTTTGCTGGGATTAGAGAATTTACCGAGGCAGACATGTCTATGTGTTAAATGTCGTTGACTTTATTTGGTTACTTTTAGTAACCACTGAAAAGCACACCGTACAGATTTTGATGTTTACTTTTTTTGCTGTTTCAATGCATTGCATTTTTTGGTTTGTTGTTTTTTTATTTTCGTTGTCATTTTTTTATATATATATTTTTTTAAAAGCTGGTATACAACATTGAAACAAGGGGAGAGGTCAGCATTCCCAAAATACTGTGAATTTAAAATGCTTTAATTTTCACGTTCTAAGTACAGAAAGTACAGAAAAATTGAACTTTATAGATACAAATATGTGTAAATGTTTATTATAAAAAAAAAATGCCATTGATTCTAAGGGCGAATGCATTTTACGTTTAATATTAATGCTAGTTTTTAGTTTCAGTGACTTCTTACCCTTATCCAGATAAATTAATATTGCAATGTTGCTGCTGTGGGTGATCAGACCAAGTTTATGTTCTCAATGAAGAATAATAAAAAAAATGCAATGAATTCTTCCTCTCTCCACTCCTTTGTGACTGTTTATCTTTAAGTCTTACTCTATCTCCTCTAGAACTTTTACAACAGGAGAAGTTGTCCAAACCCCCCATGCAATTACTATAGGAATCTATTTAAATATTACCTAGACAGTCGTAATTTGTCTAGGCTATAAGGCTGCAGTGCTGTAAGCTTTGCAAGCTTTTGTTCACTTTTATGACTTGCTAGTATATCTGGATAGTTACAGAGCTAGACGAGAGCTTTCAGTTGTGTAAGGAGCTGCTTAGGCAGAGGAAGCAAATACCATGGGAAGAAGGAATTTACTTGCTTTATAAAAAAAAAAATCTACATTGCAAGAAACCGTTTCACTTCCAAACAGGAATACCTACTGATATTACCGATATATTGATGACATACACGCTATCCTCAAGGTAAGATCATCGGATCTGAGTCTTTCTATCCTTAATCAGGTCTGTCCTTCCCTCTAATTTGTTCCATTTTACTGATATAACTAAATGGATTTGTGTAATGACTGTATAGTGACACGGAATGTTCTGTGAATGTGTGCTAACAGATCAGGTATGCTCAGTGTGTAACGAGTGTCCGTTAGATTTATTTGTGCAATGGTTTGATTTCTGGGATACAATGTTTCTACATGTTTGGCTCGCGATGAGACCAGGACTATATGCACGTTTCTCAGACCGAGGGCTATGCAAACTGTTTCCTCTGGGATTTATTTTCTTTATAGCGGATTCTCTTCTAGGAAACTGGAGATCGCCAATCCCAAAGTATTAGGAGAGAGAGAGAACTGGCCTGTGGTTTAGGTAGTTTCATGTTGTTGGGGCTTAAGCGTTCTCTACAACACGAAACTGCCTTAATCACATCAGTGAAATACATCTTTAAAAGAAATCTTGTGTTTTTAACGATCTATGTGTGCGTTTTTTTCTGTGTAAGTATGTCTGTGTGAGTATAGCTGTGTATATATATATATATATATATTATATATTACATATATTACATATATATATTTATTACATACATGCATTTATAGCTGTGTGTTTGTGTTATACATATTTATATTTATACAGATAGATAGTTGTGTGGTTGAGAGTGTGAATAATAAATAAATCAGTGTGCTTATAGTGTATTATTAATCATATAAATCACATCAGACTATCACTTTTACATATGCAGCTGTACTCAAGGTCACGTGTATAAAAATAATGTTCTATCTATCTATATGTGATCCCAAAGTCAGAATGCTCACAAATCCTTTGTCTGCATTGACTTTGCCTCACCCCTTTCCCATTCCGGAAGTGCTGCTCAAGCCATTTCCATTTAGTGTGCTTTTCTAAAGCACACACCGTTCTAGGATAGATGTCTGCTCGGTTTACTGGAATATTACTTGCAGCATGGGTTTCAGCATAATGGCTTCCTGATTACAAGGCCTCGGTTATGATCATTATTACAATGTGCCCACAGAGGCTTGCATTCCTAAGAGCTGTACCACCAACAGAGACTTTGGCTGTGGGAGAAGCTAGACTGCTGTCCAAATAAACATACACTGCAGAAACACAATATGGACCCCTTTACTCTGACCCTTCCAACCTAATCTCCCACCCCATACCATAACCATCTCAGAAGACCGACATAAGTCCCTCCATTTTATTAAAACTAGCTTACCATCTAAGGAGAAAATGTGGGTTTTGGAGCAAAAAAAAAGAAAGAAAAAGAAGACCTACAAAATACACAAACACACATATAAACATATATACACACACACACACACAAACATACACACACAAACACATACAGTTAAAGGGGATTTTCTATTTATTTATTTTTTTTCCTTAAACAAAATGGCAAATGGAGTTGAAATAAAACCATGCAACTCAACCAAGGTGTGTAGTATTAAAAATAATAATAAGCAGCTGCTTAATTTCAAAAAATGATATAGAAAAGAGATAGATGAATAGTTTCAAAGTGGGAGGGGTTAGATATTTAATCAATGGGACATTCTTGCGCCAACGTGTGAAAATAATGCAAATATTTTTACAAGTTTCGAAGTTTTTATTAAAAAAGTAAAATGTCTAATTATTACAATAAATGTGAACTCTATATCAATAATAATAATAATAATAATAGTTTTTTTTTAAAAAACTATAGGAACAACAGAGTCATTTTATATTCCTACCACTCTACATGTTAAGATTGACAAGTTTATTAGTCACAATAAATCCACATATATAGGGATTTATAACAACATGCACATACATTAGAAAAACAACAACAACATGTAAACAGCACACACATTTATGATATCATAGAAATTTCACATCTGAAAATACCTATATAAACAAAGCAGACTTGATATTGAATTCACTGTGCAGTGCTTGAATAGTCTTTATTTCTATGTATGCATGCCGAGGTAACGTTTTAACTTGATATATAATATTTGATATATGTAAAGTCTAGAAAATGCCTCTTCCACCTAGTTATTATAAACCGGATTATTTTACCTTTAGGGCAGTTTACTGATTTGTTGTGGCATATTTCTTAGCTCATGACAGTAAAATGTTTTCTTAAAGCGAAAATAATACTCAAGGTGGAAATAATACACACAGCTGTATGGGAGAGGAGTTAGGAAAATGTTAAGAAACATTTAAAAGATAATGTTTTATCTATAGACTTCAGAGAACAATATAGAACGTGGACAAGAAAAGGTCTGCATCGCACAAGCACACACACACACACAAAATACATGGATTTGTACCAAACGATTAGTGTGTAAATATAAATTCACACACAATCATTATCATATTGATAATCATAATAATACATATATGTATTTCTTTATCGTATGTTACAGACACACACATCGCATATGTACGTAAATATACACACATATGTATCTAGAATATCCATTCATTTGAAATTGTGCAAACTGCACACACACGTACATGCACAGACACAGAAACATAATTTTATAAAAAGACAGAGCCTTGCATAAACATCTTTGCGTTTGTGAGTTGTATAAAACAAATACAAAGCCACACACACATGCAGGTCAATATTATTGCATATATATGTGTATATACACATGTGTGTGTGTTTGTGAAGTATATCTAGAAAATATGGGTGCATAATAGGAACAAATAATATTTTTATGTATTTTTGCCTGTCTAAAAAAAAAAAAATGATGTCCTAAGTTTGCTATCACTTGGGAATAGTTCGTAGAATTTCCTTTACTAATTCTAGCTTAGGCTGCTTAACCCCTAACAATGGACTTGATCTAATTACTTGCCCTGTTCCATCCAATGCAATCACCCTCCTATACATATTTATTTGTATAAACCGTGCTGATATACCAGGTGTAACACTAAGGCTGCTGTTGTGTGTATGAACTAATTGTACCGTTCCTTATATTCATCTATGATATCTGCTAACTGGGGTGAGCTATAAACAGTGTTACATGGTGGGCATTTTATTTATCTCTCTGTACTAGTCCACGCCCTTATTGCCCCACACTTAGATTAGCTAGCCCCCATTCTGATATGTTTATCTGACTTCTTTTTATTACCTTGGATTGCACCTATTTTATAATGAAATCTTATTTATTTCTCACAATTTAATTTAAAAATAATGTAATAAATAACATTTATGATATATATATATATGTGTGTGTGTGTGTGTGTGTATATATATATGCATACACAAATACATACACAAAATAATAATATATAGATAGATAGAGAGATAAATAGATAGACAGATAATTGCTAATTATTGAAAACAAATATATAAATTCTCAATCAGTTGTATTTTTTTTTTTAGCCAAATATATTTCAATATCTTAATATACTCTATATCTGCATACACACAAACGAACACATATACGCCAATAATTTTAAAACGCACATATAGTTCTAGATATTTAATTAAATTAATTTTCTGTTCTGCACATAAGTACTCATTTTTGTATTTATACTTGTTTGTCTCTTTCTTTTATTCTTATTTATTTGTATTTTTATTTTCATTTAGGCATGGTAATAACTAGATAGATATTTACATAGAGGTGACTTTCTCTATGCCGACGAGAAGAATATATATATATATAATTTTTTTCTATAAGGTTTGAATGCTAAGTACATTTATGTCTTCATTTAATAGCAAAGCATCCTTTTTAAAAACTGAAATACTTTTGTTGTGTGTATAGCTCTGGATCTGGCTGGTAGAGGGATATAAAATGTTCTTATTTCCATATTGATTTGATGCCTGTCTTGTCGTTAGATCTCCTTGTGCAGAATTTGAGTGCAGAACAGCTCCAGAGCCATTTACACTAAAATTTGCATTTAAAGTGCATTGCAGGCTGTGAGCTATAGAAGTTGGCGTTACATGCCTTTAAGAAAATCCCAACAGCACAATTGCAAAATATAACTATTTAAAACACGTACCTGTCACAGTCCTAGCTATTTGTGCATAAATTTTTTTTATTTACCCCAAGCACCTCACCCCTGTATGTAACATAGGAGGGGTCACAATATTAATAATTATTAACTGTATTATACTGGGACTTTTTTTTGAGGGTCGTGTTTGTATTTTCCTCCTTTTTTATCCTTTTTAAACGTGAAACAAGCATGAAGAGTGAATTTATATCAGAGAGTTCCAAAGGAGAATTTATCTGCATCCTACTGTGTGATTAATAATGATGTAAAATAGTCCCTATGATGGTAGCAAAGCAAGATTTGATCTTTTAATCTTACTTGGACACTATTAAAGGCAACTATATAGTGTAACTCAAAGATCCCTTTACATAAAAACATATGGCTTTGCTATAAAAAATTATGACTGGAAAACACTGACCCATTAATAGCCTGCGGACTGATTTATACCTTATTGTTCTGCTGCTCGGTCACATGGCCCTGGCAGCCAATAGGAAGGCAGAATGCCTGCAACTTATTAGCAGACTGTAGTTCTTTGTGGGACTAAGTTGTTACATGAATTCTGCAGTTTCATAATTTCAGGAGGTCCTTCTGTGTTGAATAGCAATGTCGACTTCTGGGACTCTCAGCAATTATTATGTGGACTCTTTCATAATTCACGAGGGTGACGATCTAGTGCAGTCAAGATACGCCACTGGCTCCCTGACTCAGCCTTCAAGGCAAGCAGCAATTGGGGAGCACTCAGAATACACTCCATGCAGCTTTCAATCAAAAACTTCAGTGTTTGGGAGCCCTTGGAACCCAGTGCACCCACAGACTGCAAACAATGTATCCAGTGTGTACCACCCTTATGTGCATCATCAGGCACCAATAACAGCCTCTGATGGCAGGTACATGCGATCCTGGTTGGAGCCCATGTCTGGATCCTTGTCCTTTTCTGGCTTACCTACAAGCAGGCATTATGGTATTAAACCTGAACCACTTTCAAGCAGGAGGGGGGACTGCACCACCACTTTTGAAACCCACACTCTGTCTTTGTCTGATTATACATGTCCCTCTCCTGTTGAGAGGGAAAAGCCAAACAACGAGCCTGCATTTGCCACCAGTAATGGAGATCCTGTAACAACCGCTGAAAAGCCTCCTGCTGACCCAAGTAAGTAGCTCCCATCTTACTGGGGTCCCAGTGATTTGACTGTTTACTGCATTTATGGGGTTAAATATTGACTATAACATTCCAATTCTACATACTGCTTGCCTAGACCCTATAGAACCATATAGCACCACAAAGACTGCAGTTAGTTTAGAATTCCCATTTATTAACTATTAATGGTGAAGGGGAGATTGCATGGGTTTTTTTTTTGTCTTAAAAAAATGATATTCTTGTATCCATCCATTCCATTGATATGCAAATTCAACCCTGCTGTGCACAACATACAGGTAATCATGTCTACTAGTGACTACCCCTTTAAATCAGGTTCAATGTATTAGTCTTAAAATCAAAGACCAGGTAGTGAAATAGATATGGAGGAGGCGTGAGCTTGTGTGCAGTAGCCATAGCAGGGATCAGTGAGCTTTTATCCTGACTTGTAGAGTTTGCATCCCAGCATGTTAATAGATTGGTCCATTGCCTTTATGGTAAATTTGAAAGTAACTTCAAATGTTTTATTTTTCTCTCTCTCTCTTATCTTTAGACAACCCATCTGCTAACTGGTTACACGCAAGATCAACTAGGAAAAAACGCTGCCCTTATACCAAACACCAAACACTGGAATTGGAAAAGGAGTTTTTATTTAATATGTACCTCACAAGGGACAGGAGATATGAAGTGGCCAGATTGCTTAATTTAACAGAAAGACAAGTCAAAATTTGGTTCCAAAACAGAAGAATGAAAATGAAAAAAATTAATAAAGATCGCTCCAAGGATGAATAATTGTGGCCCCTTGTTTAAACGCATCATCTCAGACAAGCGATACTACTATATCAAGGCCTCATTTTTTTATTTCCCTGAAACAAATATCTATTATTGTAACAAATCCCAGTATCAGCACATAGCTGGTTTGCCTGTGCTATCAAAGAGGTACTGTATTACATCAATTCTCTGTAAGACAAACAAAAAGGGGCATTAGGGGTGGGCTGGCATTGAAAAAGCTACCTGTTCTCTTCTACAAAAAAAAACTACCTTTTACATTGTGCACAAACATTTATTGACTGTATATTCTATCTGAGACTTAGATAATATTATTTTGCTGTTTGGTGGAGCAGGATTGCCTGCTGGTATACTTGAATAATGTGTTTTATTGTAGTAAATCTATTTGTGACTCGGTTTGTGTGCTTGTTCAAATTCTGATTGTTTAAGCTAGTATTGAAATGATCTCAGGTTGTTTAAATAGGAAAGAATATAGACGTAGGCTGCATACTTGCAATGTTTATCGTTGTTTCAGTATATAGACACTTATTATTGTCGATAGTAGTGTCCTATTAAGCTGTAAAAAAAGATACCCAAGATTGTTTGGCAATCAGAGGGTTTCAGTAAGTTAGAATTAAAATTGATAGTATACAGAATGTTGTATACTGTGATCGTCAGTTGTAAATACAATCTTTAGGGGAAAGACAGAAATTTAGAAGGAAAAAAAAATACTTAAAAAAAAAATAGATAAAATAAAGTTTGGAAAATGGGATTGCACCAGTGAGCCAGTCTGGTTTTAGACTATGTAGAAGAGAAATAATTGTTCAACTACCTATGGTTTATGTTATGAACTAGTTAAATAAAATATGGCGCTCATTGTATTGAACTTAAATTTATTAAGAATAAATTATAAACAATAAAAGTAAATTGGGTGATAGTATATTTCTATCGCGTTACACAGTTGAAAAATAAATAAATAAATGAAAAATAATTTATGCAGAACATATCCTTTATATTTTACAATAGTTACCTCATGGCTTGTTGACCAAATTGTTGTGTTTGAATTCTATTTATGTTTTATTTGAATTTTTTTGGTCTCTGTTTTTGTTTTTTTGTTTTTTTTCAAAAAAATAATAAAATATATCTTTTTTTGTTATTTGTGATTTTTAATTTTCATTTATCTTTTATTGATTATAGATAATACAGTTCACAGTGTATTTTGGATTTGTCTTCTTGTACACTAGAATGCAGCTGGGAGAGTGATATGAAGAAGGGACTTCATTACAAATTGGATCTTAGAAAAAAAAGCATGTATACAAAAGCAATGATGTGAAGAGGATATACATTCTAGGCTTAAACTGGTGTTCTAAATATTTTCTTTTCTGTAAACAAAAAACCGCAAAACCAGCAAAAAAACCTACCTTTTTCTAATGACCTACAGCATAACATTCTATCATGTTTTTTAAAAGTTAGGTTATGCAAAGCATTTTATTATTAACAGGCAAACTATAAATCTATAGATTTGCTATACATTGTGTAAAATTGGCCTCTAGTTACTCACAGTCCATCGTGTCTCTCAATATGAATTTCAGTTTCCAATTTCCTCTAAGACGCCCAGGATTGCATTTAACAAAAGCAGTGAAAATTCATAGTTAGAAAAGAAGAGGGGGGGAAAAAAAACAAGTTAAGTCAGCTAAGACTCATGTCCTGGCAGAGGATGTTGTTAGTAAAATTCTGGGCCATATAGGGCAATAAAAGAAAATTACTGCTCTAACCGTTTATAGTGTTTGAAATGCTGCAGGCTTTTCCAGAGAGTGAACGTGCAGAACTTGTACGAATTTGAATTTTTGCAAAAAAATTATGGTGGAACTTTGAACTAAAAAAAAAAAACCAAACCTTAGTTAGAACTTGACTTGTATTTGATAAAATGAAAATCTAAAGTGACAAAACAAACAAACTAATAAAAAAAAAAACAATAGTAGATATTTTTGTTCTCTTTTTTCTTTGCAATTGCACTTAAAAAAAAATAAAAAGAATTTAATTGCAGTTTTTTTTCCTGTTCCGGGGACCGGACTGTTTAAACGCCCTCTGTTGTTGCAGACAGAAGGAAACTTCAAAGAATGGACACACTAAAGTGTGTAATAAATGGCTGGTCTGCAAACTGTCTGGAATTTGACTTTTAATGAGTTTATAGCTGCCCAGCCACAATTAAGATTTTCTACAGAAGCCTTTTCATTTGTTTTGTCTGGCGGATCCTGATAATGTAGTGAACGGAAATAAGTAGATTTTATTGGTTTTCATCACTGAAATCTCATGTTTGCTGAGGATTTTCTAAGTGAAAACTGTAATTCTACTGGTGGAGGTTGCTATTTATTTGCAATGAGCTTAATTAATTAATGGAAACATTGTGGGATTTCTCTAAAACAAAGACTCAAAGCAGCAAATTATTTTATGGCGAAAGAGCTGCAGTTGATATGTTTTGCCAGCAGATGGCAGCATTAAACCATTAAATAGCTAACTGCTGGGTTTTTGGAAAAATCAAAGGACCACATTGTTTATGTGAATAAGAATATAAGAATATACTTGGGAAATGTTTTATTTATCTACATGAATTCAGATTTGAAAACACAATTACATCAAGGTGGGGAAACAATCTAAATTATGCCATGTCAGAGATATCCATTTTTAAATGTAGCTACTGCATTTTTCTTTGAATTTCAATAATACATAGTGAGCAAAAATAGTGGTCATATTGTCAAAATAATGGCGACAAACGCTATCTGGAAACACACACACACACACACACATGTTTCATTTTACAGCTTTGACACTTAATTCCCTAATAAACAATATCCCCCTTCATAATTTCGTGAGGATATTTATTTAAGTGTTTGGACACTGCACAGCCAGCCTCACCCAAATGAATATGTAAAACCTTTTGGGATTGCATCCATTTTCTTAAATTGCAGGCACACAATAAAAGTTTGCAGCCATGTGTAATATAATCAAAATAGGTGCAGAATTATGTTTAGTAATTTAATATTTTTTATTTGCTAATATATAAAAACTCCTAAACCATTTTCATTTATAAAGTGCCAGTATTGTCTGTAGCCCCACATAGTGTAATACACTATTTATATTGCCCACGGGTACTTAGAAGACAGTTGTGTACACAATCCAAAACAACATGTATAATAAACTATAAAGCAGATGGAGTGCTAAGCCCTTTAAGGTTTCTAGCTGCCTTCCATTCTTTGTTTAGGCATGCCTCACTTCCATATTTGTCTGGCTTTATTTCCCCAAGCTTTCTTTCTTTCCTAGTTCTGTGTATATATATATATCACATTTTTCGCTAACATAAAGGTTTATTTTAACTTCTTTGTAGTATGCATTTCCAGAAATATGTAACACTTTATTGAGCCCTATTACTCTCCAATTCTTGTATTTATGCATTTCTTATTAATTTATTTCTGTTATATACTAAAAATGCGTTCATTGGCCTGTTCATTTTTATTTAACCTTTTTAATGTAAAATCTGATATTTAAATTACACAGCATTTGTCAGAATATTTGAATTTAATATTATTATTTTTTTTATGTTAACCGTGTACGTTTGTATGTGTCTATCTATCTATCTAATCATTAAGCTGATTAATTTATAAAAAAGTATTAATTATGTTTTGTCTTTATTTTATATATATATATATATATATATATATATATATATATATATATATATATAATGCATATATAAATGCATATACACACAGATTAAAAATATAACTATGTATTTTAATTAAAACATATACAACTTAAAATAAATATATATATGTGTGTGTGTGTGTATATATATATATATATATACATATTATATATATATATACACATTATATATATATATATATATATATATATACACACACACATATATATGTAAATTAATATATATATATATTTATTTAAAGTTGTCATTCATTATACATGGGGCAAATATTTGAGAGCAGTGAAAGATATTTTTTAATTTTATTTTTATTTCTTCTTTTCCTGTAATAAGTATTGATACATAGATGGAATTTACAAGACAAGCTAGAGTATTTAAATATTTTCCCGATATGCATTAATAACGTTAATTTCATTGCCCATTAAATCAGTTCTGAAATAAAATAAAAATGTGGGTCACAACCAATGTCATATATTCGTTTTATGGTTTAAGGTTTATTAAAGGATTTCAGACCTAGAAAGATCTCGTAAACCAAGCCCCTCCTTCTTCTGTTTATATATTTATTGGCTTTGTGTGTGGGCCCCCTAACCTTATACACTTCCACTGATGGCATTTATTGATATTATTTTATTAAACGTTCCTTGCTTCCTTAACCCCAGCCAGGCCTGCTCTGAAGGATCATGTAATAAAATGACACCAACAATTTCAAAAAAATAAAATTCTCGCTTGCTCTGTATTTTTTTCCCCCAATCAAATAATTGTCATAAGCATTTTAAGAAAATCTAATTTCAAGGCTACATCCTTTAACTCGTATACTATATAATGGAATCTTAACGTTAATCATGAAATATTGTTGTTAATATAAAGTAATGTGAAGGACATAGCAAAAATACATAGAACTAAAATCAATGTCATATATAGTAAAAATATATTATTGTGCACAAAACACTATGTTTTACCCCACAATCCTGGAAGATATGGTAAAAACCTCCAGATTATCTTGTGGGAAGTTCTTTGTACAATAGATGAACAGACTATATAATTTAAGGTAGTGTTTCCGGAGTAACCCCATTCAGTGTTTCAAGTTTATGGTGTGCAATATAGCAGGGCTGTAAAGCCTATCTCACCACCCCAGTCTGTTGTCTAGTAGATGGGGGTTATTTTACCAGACGTTTGATGAGAGAACTGTGCTGTTTTCAACAGAAACCCCATTTATTGCTGTAAGCAGATAGAATCTTTCATTTGATGCTCTAAGAATCTTATGCTTCCTGTGATAATCATTTCACAACTACACGGATTTGGAGGTAGGTGACTGGTGATGCGAAATTACCAGCAACTGAAGGGTTAAATTATTTGAAAACGTTCTAATTCTGAAATAAATTTTTTTTTTAAACTGCATTAAAAAAAAATCAGATAGGCATATTTTTTTTTATCTACTCACTACTGATGCAAATAGCATATATATTTATATTTATGGTGGCTCTATGTGTGGTTTTTTTTTCTTTATTTTTCCAGGTAAAATAATATTTAAAATGAATGATATTTCACAGATAAAAATTGATCCTTGTCCATATCTGCCTTTTTTTTAATTCAATTTAAAAAATTAAATTCAAACTTAAAAAAATATATATATTGTATGAAATAACTCCAATGCAGTATGAGACAATATTATTTATTATGACCCCCATCTTTTAATGGGCTCATTCAATAATTAAATATTTTCTACGCTTGTAGAAACTATTATGGGTATTACTATTATTATTAGTATTATTATTTTATTATTACTACTGTTATTTTATTATTACTACTCGTATTATTATTACTATTATTATTATTACTATTATTATTTGCATTTGTTTTATTTATTCTCTATTTAAATAAAAAAAATATTATTTCTTAGTCTATATTTTTTTTATACAGTAAATTTAAAATAAGATTTTTTTTAATGAATTCTCCATGAAAAAAAAAATAATGTCCTAGAAAGGAATATTTAAATAATCAATAAAAGCTCAACCAATGGCTGCAAGGATCCTCTCTTCTTGTTGCTATGTGAGGTTTGAATCATTTGCAGATGTTGACGCTGAGCCTCTAGCTGCCCAACATTCTACACATTGTATCCAGTGAAGGCTACGTTCTACATTGTAGCAATAGATGTTTATAAATACAGATATCAGAGCCAGTAGCAGAGAATGTGGATCCATTGCTGCAGTCCTCTGTCCCACCTGTGATGCAGGAGCAGATTGGATGGGCTGGTCATATGGTTGCTGATCACGTGCAGTAGGCAGCTCAGTGCAAAAGAAAATGGGGTTTTGTGTAAATCTAAGGTTTTAATGTTATCATATATCAAGCTACCTCGTAAAAACCGACACTGAAGCCTGCCGGACAACAAATCATAGGTCAAAAATATGAGTTCTTCATATTATGTGAATGCTCTTTTCAGCAAATATACAGCTGGTTCTTCTCTGTTCCAAAACACAGACTCAGGCTCCTGTTCATTTCCTACAAACTCTCAGAGAAGCAGCTATGGAGCCAGTGCCGGGGCTTTTGCATCTTCAATGCCTGGTCTTTACAATGTGAACAGCACTTTGTATCAAAGCCCTTTCGGTGGTTATAGTCTGGGCTCAGAAGCTTACAATCTACACTGCTCCACGTTTGATCAGAACATCCCTCTGCTTTGCAATGACCTGGCCAAGGCAGCCTGTGACAAGGTGGAGGAATCAGCCCTGCACTCCCAGGCAGACAGCAATTTTCGCATTTATCCCTGGATGAGATCTTCAGGTACGGGTAAGCTGCTGGGAAGGGGGTACTGAGGAAGGCCAGCTATGCACACAGCCAGCAAACAGAGCAGGCTTTATGGATTTAATTAGGGACCAGGCGCCGGGATTCACAAAGCCTATGGCACACTGTGGAAATGAGCAGAACACACATTTTATGGCTCTCTTAATGGATTCAGGGCTGGCCATTTATTGCATTTCCTTTCTAAACTAAGGGGCTATTCGATTGTTTTGTATTTTCTAACTACATACAGAAAAAAAAGCACAGGCTAGTCTGCATTCATTACCCTTTATAATGGTGTGATTTAAATCCAAATGTAGATAGGCATAGTTCATAAAATAATGTAAAATAAAGCATGTAAGAAATCAAATGTTACAAAGCAGACAGTTTATTTTCTCAAGACATTTTATTAAATAAATAATTATAGTTATGACATATTTAAATACTTGTATACACAAGACATATCCATATATAAAGTGCAAAATATACGTGTGTGTATATACATGTGTATGTGTGTTTGGATTAATATATTTAATATGTATGCTATGTGTTTATGGCTGTGTTTATTTGTGTAATATATATATATATATATATATATATGTGTGTGTGTGTGTGTGTGTGTGTGTGTGAAATATACGTGTGTGTGTATGTGTAAAATAATATAATGTCTGTCGATTGGTATTATTTATTTATGTATGTGTATGCCTGTATGTGTTTGTTTGTTTGTGTGTGTGTGTGTGTGTGTGCGTCTGTTTTTATACACACACTCGAGTATATGAAATACGAAAATGTATATATATACATATAGATTACACAATTTTATTTGGTGTTTTATTTCAAAGTATCAGCACATGTATTGCATCTTTTCAATGTATATTATTACAGAAAAATGTTGAGAGTGACATAGTCCCCCTGAAGTTGGATAATAATCTACACACAGCTGTAAATAGCTGTGTTAAATTGGGGGCAAGATATGATCTGTGTCAGTACAGGCCTTGTGATCACCATCTAGGATATAGAAGTCTTTGTTGTGTAATGCACATTGAAATGTAGACCTGGAACTAATACAATGTATAACTTTTGCAATATTTCCAGGACCCGACAGGAAGAGGGGTCGCCAGACCTATACCCGTTACCAAACCCTAGAATTGGAGAAGGAATTTCACTTCAATCGCTATTTAACGAGAAGAAGAAGGATAGAGATTGCCCATGCCTTGTGTTTGACAGAGAGACAAATAAAAATCTGGTTTCAAAACAGGAGGATGAAATGGAAGAAGGAACATAAAGACGACAACAGCAACACTACCGACACCGGGGAGGAGACCACAGCATCCACTACAACTGCTGAAGAGAAAGTGAAAGAGGACGATTAAGCCCTCATTGTCTGGAGCACTTAGTGCTCTTCGCATTTGCACGTGACTGTGAAAGCTATTTTGAAAATGTTTGTTTAAACATGTGTTTTTTTTTGTTTGTTTGTTTGTTTGTTTGTTTTTTAAAGTTGTTCTTGAAGATTTTGGTAGTAACACAAACCAGGCCGTAGACAGTCGTTCAGGGAGCAGTTTAATCTTTTATCTGGGAATCTGAAAAGAATAAAAAGAAAAAGAAATCTAAGTATTATTTGACAGTATATGCAGAGGCAGTGTTTTTGTAAAAAATCTTTTATTTATTTTTTTTCAAAATACCCAGGGGAAGAACATAAATTTTTAAATGTAACTACCTAAATTCATATATTGTACATATAGAAGTGCATTATTCTTAAACTACCTACTAATTTAAACAATATCTTGCGCTTTATTCACATTTTCAAAATAAGACTTGTTGGCATAAAACAACATTTAAAAATAACAAATAACTATCCAAAACTACCGCTGTTTAATGACATTATACTACCTATTAAAACTACCTATTTTGTGTTTCACTGAGATGCTATGGTATTAGATAGAATTGTATTTAAATTGTGAAAAAAAATGCATACAAATGTGAAAAATTGATTGTGTGTTTTTTGCTATTTTTTTTTTTTTTTTTTAGAACTGTACTGAAAAAAACAAATTAAAAAGCACCGGTGTTGTGAGACTGAAATGTTAAATCATTTGTGAACAAAATGTTTTTTTTTTCTTTCCTATGTTACCCCATGATGTCTGATTATTTTTAATGAATTTAAAGTGATATTTGAACGGTGACGTGACCACATCCTTTGTATTTCACAATAATGTATTTGTATACACTCATTAAGGTTATATTGTACTGAGAATCTTAATCATTTGATACATGCGCCATATTTTTTCATATTTGGAACTTCATAGCATGAGATATTTATGTAAATAAAATAAATAAAAAAAGAAAATTATAAAAAGTACCGGTTGGCTGCCTTGTGACATTATTTGTTATATTGTGATGTTTCGTTTTTCTTTATATGTTTAATAATACCTCCGGGCACTATAAAATGTGTATCAAATAAATATTAAAGTTAACTCTGTCCTCGTATCTTGCAAAATACAAATAAATATTTTTTCTTACAATTAATATCATCCATGCTTGGTCAAAGAGTTCGCATCTGCATTATATAATTGGAATTGCAATTAAGACATCAAATAAAAAAAATATATATATAATTTAAAAAAATAATAATAAATATAAACCCATAATAAACTATTAAAGCTTTTTGGTGAAAAAGGTTTCTGATCAAATAACAGAAATCATATTTAAAAAAAAAAAAAAAAAACTACACAAGAAAAATAAATGTAAAACATTATTATAATATAAAAAAATCCAGTAAATATTATAAATATTTTACAATACCTATATTTACAATACCTCCTAAAGAAATGAAAAAAATTCAGTGATTAAAGAAATATATATTTAATAATGTGTAAGTATTAAAAAAAAAAAAAAAACAGAGCTGATGGATAACATGCAGGGTGTGCTATATGAAAGTAAGGTATTATTAAGAGGTTGGAACCCAACAACAAATTTGCATCTACATTAACAGATATATTTCTAATTGGATTACTGTGTTAAGATTTAATTGTTTGAGCAATAACAGCGATCAGAGAGAAGGCTGGGGTTGTTTTGAGAGTTAAGATGGCGGCGTGGTTAAGTCCTGCCTCTTCTTGGTGATGAGGCAATGCCCATAAATCGGTTGTTGTTTATGAAAATTTACAACTTTGCTATACAAGTTTATGAGTTGCTCGGTTTTTCCATTGGCCGTTGCTGGTCATGTGGCTAGTAACCGTGAACATGAAGTTTTTTTTTTTTTTTTATAATTTCCCTTGCAAGAATAGAGCTGCATTCTTAAGCTGTGCTCAGTGCTGCTTCGGATCTCTGGGGCTCCAAACCACAGGCATCATTTGTTCTATGGAACGCAATGGCAACAGTATCTCTAATAATGAAGGTTCTACAGGAGCAGAGTCCTATAGAGGACCATGGCAGCAAGATCCAGTCCTTCCCTTGGAAGGTGTGGCATTTTGGATTCACAGCACTGGAGTGGCAGATTTTCAAATCGCAGCCTGGCTAATTTCCTGCTACTCCTGGCACCAAACGGAGCTCGGTTCCTCTCCTGTGTAGCCAAAGCGACAGCTGTCAGTGGCAAGGATTTCAATGAACCCCTACATAAAGAAGGTGAGAGATCAGTAACCCTCACATCTTGAAAGGAAATCTAGTTCTCAAAAAAATATATCAATTCAACATGTATTTATTATGTGACCACTAGCCAAGTCAATATGAAATGTCCTTAATTGGGATTTTTAAATATTATTATTATTATTATTTTGTGCATTTTTTTTATTACTCTTATTTATCATGTGTTAATGGTTTATTTCAACTTGTGCTTACATATGGCCTTATGGTGTTTCTAAATACGAGCAAGATTTTAAATTGCAGGTAGATCCAAAACACTTAATTCACTGATAAATACACTTAGTAAAACACACATTCTAATCACACACACAAAGTCTAACATACACATGCACGCCTGGACACATATTTAAAGGAAATAAACATTATAGTAGAAATTATTAAGTGAAAATATTTATTTTATTTTACAAATAAGTGCAACACATCATGGGTTATTTTTTTTTCTAACATATAATGTGATTAAAGTTGTCACCTGTTAATGTCACCTGTTAGAAAGAAAATATACAAAAACAGATCAGTGGATCTCACTTGTATAATTCCTCAAATGGCTATTTAAGAACAATAATTATTGGCGATTAATGTGTTCCTTTACACTATGATAGTAAAATGAGCAGTTCATATAGTAATTGCTAGTATCTATCTATCTATCTATCTATCTATCTATCTATCTATCTATCTATCTATCTACCTATCTATCTATCTATCTATCTATCTCTATCTCTATCCAGCTATCTGTTTATATTACTGTATTTTCAGACTGTTGTCTGTATTTGTTTGCGTTGTATGTTGTCATTTTTTTTTTTTGCCCTCGGAAAACGTGTAAAAAAACAGCGCAATCAGTGTTTTGAATATTTGCTAATCATGAATGATAATTAAGACGGATACTTGAATTATTTTGAAGTTACACTAGTGTTGTTTCTGCTGTGCTATTTGATGAAGTGTTGCACTTCCATTGCATTGCAGTACTATACTCTATCTGCCTGGCAGGGTTGTGTACGATTTATTGTGGAAAGTGGATTTCAGTGCTGCCACTGTGTGGTGAAAAGTGGTAATGACCAGAGTCTTATAGAAAGGCTTCCTACATTGGGATTTATTATGTGCAATGCAAAATATGGCTATCACAGTAAATAAAAATAATATTAAATGCATGATCATTTACTGACCTAGTTTTCAGCTGTACGTCTTTAACTCGAAGCGATTTTTTCCTCATGAAATATGTATGGAATAATAATATTCTAATATATAATATTTGTCAATATTAAGCCTCTGTAGGAAATGTGCATATTTGAACTATAGGCAGCTACACCGCCCCTTCACGTTTTGGATAATAGAATTTTAAAATGTTATGAATTATTATTCAACTGCTGTATAAACTATTTTGTATACATTTGACGCACCTTTGAAGAAAAAAAGCAATAAATTGGATATTGTTTAGAATGTAATTCTTCGCAACATTTACTTGATTTAGATGCTACACTTGAATATTTTATCACGATTTATTGGGGGGGGAGGGGGGGGGAGTAAATGTATGCTGTCAGGTTTAAGCAATGCATTCATAGAATTCGTTCCATTGTTGCTGAGGAAATATTGTCTGACATTTTTTTTTTACTTTCTATTCAAAATGGCTGCCGACCCCAAGCTTTAATGAGTTAAGCAGATTTTATGACTAGGAAGTGGGAGTTAAAGGCACAGAAACAACAGAGTGTATTTAGTTCATTGATCTGTCTTGGAATCTTTGCTAAATTTCACAAACCTCCAGTTAACTGCTTGGCCAAAATAAACACCAAACACTATTTGTCTATTTTTAACCTTCCTTTGTGTAAAATGCACACTTAGAAAAATCCCACACCCACACACAGTCAATATTTTTATATATATTTTTTGTTCAGATTTTTGAGGTTTTATACGTATTTTTAATTTACTATCTTTCTGGCATTTTGTTTTTTAAAGAAAATATGACTTATTAGGCAGATTCTAGATAAAACATGCCAGACACATTGATGAACAATAATACTTGTAATAATATATATTTACCTATATGTTATAACAATGTTAATGAAATATTTTTATTTTAAAATTTCAAATAGAACCAATTACTGGGAATGACATTTTTTTTTTCCTTAATTTTTTTTAAAGCTATATTTACATTTTTGATGGCAGGAAATTCCAAAGGTGTGATCGCCCCTTTCCTGTATTTTAGAACATTAAATTCTTGTCATAAAGCTGTAAAGAAATGTCTATTATGTAGCTTGATTGAACTTCCCTGTATCCAAACAGGCAGTCTTTTAGTGTAATCCAATCAGTATCCTGTTAAAAGGGGGACAGAGAATTAAAAAAGTAATGTATATGACTAGTCACACGCTTAATTCCTAGACTGCTTTTATTTTCTAAATCAAGTTACACTTTGTCGTTTCAGAAACCTATTAAAGGCTTTGCAGCCCTGATTGTTTAAATTTTTCAAAAGCACACATTTTTTCCTCTTTTTTTTCTTTCTATCTTTCTTCTCCTGTTTTTTTTTTTCTTCATCTATAAAGCCATGGAGACATTATGCCTGGATTCCTGAGAATGGGCCATAAAACAGTAAATAACTGTGAGATAAGAGAAGGCTTTTTAAGTTCAGACTTGGGGTATGTGTCTGGGGTGAAGACTTATGGATGTGAAGACTTTAACGGTCATTTAGAGAGAGACAGTGGGATCTATTCACTAAACAGTGAGTTATGCCTCGTTGAAAACCGATTTAACAAAACATAGATAAAAACAGCCGAATAAAAATAAAAAATACACTAATTCAACCGAATTGAGAGAATTGATTTCGAGCTCAGCAATTCGGGCCCTATAATTGGTGAACTGAGGGTGTTCTCTCCATAACCCCTGTGTTTTGATATGGTCCAAATAGGGTTCTATATGAGATGTACTAAGCTGATGACATACCAGTAACATTTAAATTACTTCTCTTAAGGGGATTATTTACTAAACAGTGAGATATGGTTCACTGAAAATCTACTTGGAAAAAACAAAATAGGCTAAAAATTGTGTTGGGGGATAAATATAAGCAATCAAGCTAATTTGGCCTGCAGATTTCAAGCAGATTATTCAACTCTCACACGTTACTGTTTAGTGAATAAACCCTCCAAATACTTTAGTATCAAAATGCATATGTGTAAATAACAGTTGCTTGTTTTATGTGTCTGTTGAGAGTCGTGGGTCCTATTCATGCATCTAGAAAGTACTTTAATGAAGTCCATTGAAATAAAGTCTATTCCTCTTATGTTGGATAAAATAGATGGATTTGACTTGGCTTACAGTGTGTTACCTTAAGTTGTGGCTATTTGAGGTTTAGGCATTCACATTATTTAGATGCAATTAAGAGATTTTATTAACCAGGATGGGAGATCTTACGTTAAACAGAATATTTTGCTATAATAATCAAATAGAATCCTGAAAACTGTTTGCTTTTCATCAAAACAAAAAAATATTCAATGCATTTTTGTGTATGTTTTGTTTTATGTCTCGATTTTGTTGTTCTTTATGTGTTTTCAAATCGTTTTGCTTGGTAGAATTTACAGACATTTATCTCAGATCTGTAATTATCATCATAATATTCGTCACATGTGTGTTTGGGTGTTAGATAGGGAAGGAGAGATACTGTGAAAAGGGGCGTTAAAGAAAGCTGTGAGATACACTATAAGATTATTTGTGTTCCCTTGAAGTAGAACACTTTATTGTCTTTGTTCGCTGAAAAAAAAATGTGTGGTGAACATATGAGGTCATTATGTTGAATTCGTTTAATTTAAAGCTGATGTGTGCTCTTTCCCAGGGCAGAAAATATCTAAAATATTGGGTAATTAGGTTGTAGGTTATATTATTACAACATGTGTTATATATGGATGCTCTCTCTGTGTCTCTGTGTTTATATATAAATGCGTTTATTTTTATTTATATATACATATGTGTGTGTGTGTGTATAAACATGTTTGTGTGTATATATATAAATATATACACACACACACACACATATATATATAAATTGTAGGTTATATTAGTACAATATGTGTTATAAATGGATGCTAGTGCCTTTGTGTTTACATATAACTACATTAAAAAAAAACACACACACACACACATTAATGTGTGTGTTATTTTTTTATGTATATATATATAAATATATAGATTTACTATATTTATATAAATACATAGAAACATAGAAACACGAGCATTCATAAAAAAAACACATATTGTAACAATAATATAAGCTACAATATATATAGAGAGAGAGACACACACACACACACAGACAGATACCTGTACACAAGCATAAATATGACATATCGAGTTAATTTAAAATGGGAGATCTGGGGGATAATAGTTGATGATTTGAGAAAGTAAACAGCCTGTGTACAGGGGATGTCCCCTGTTATGTGGAGTGTATATTATTGGTGTATATGTGCTGCTTGGGAAGCTGTGTCTTATTTGGAAGTTTGCTGGCTCAGTCCCCAGTCCCAGGGGAACACCATCAGAACGCAATCCTATTGGCCACTCAGCCATCAGCTGCTTATATTTGCCTGTGTCGCTTTTGGCGCTCGGCCATCCAGAAACAAACCAGTTCGATGACTACTAATAGTTATAGCCAGATGTACTAATACACAACAAATCACAGTTCTAGAGAGTGCGGAGCAAATGAGTTCTTACTTTGTGAATAGCACTTTTGCTGGGAGCCTGCCCAATGGCCAGGATTCGTTTGTGGGTCAGATCCCCCTCTACTCATCTAGTTATGAAGCTTTGAGACATTTTCCAGGTTCTTATGGGACATCTTCCCTGCAGGATAAAGCCTACCCCTCACCTTGCTTTTATCAGCAATCTAGCACAGTCATTGCCTGCAATGGAAACTCCTATGACTATGGAACCTCTTCTTTCTATACGGACAAGGAGAGCTCTGACAGCCCTAACCCCTATGGGGCCAAGCAGAGGGCTCATGCTGGGGAATTTCTCCATTTTTCTGCAGATCAGCAGTACAAATGCGCCAATGTACAAAGCAAGATGCTCCATGAGGATGCCAGTGACCGGAAGTATAGTAGCCCTGTGTACCCCTGGATGCAGAGAGTGAACTCCTGTGCAGGTAAGTGTTCGTGGCTCTGCCCTGCATGTGGAATGCACACAGTAACTAGCAGACTATGGGGATGGAATGTTGGTAAATGTCCACCAGAACATTCCACTAGTAAAATGTGTACTAGAATGCTGTGCTTCACATAGGGTGCCACACTACACTAACTGTTACAATTAAATGTCTTTTCATTCCAAATAACATGCATTCTTCATTTTGTAAACAAAGTACCTTGTGATTGCTAGGGCTATACAGCAGAGGCTCAATAATAAATATTTATTTTTAAATCTCACATGACACATATGGTTCTAAATCAAAAACAAAACAAAAACAATTGTGTGCACGACTGAAAAATACAAAGTATATTTATGAGCCAAGAATACATATTGAGGTATGATACAGCAACCTATAAACCTAATGACTTTTTTATTCTGTGCTATATCCAATGGCTAAAAATGATTTAAGTCTAGAATTAACTATTGCTCCCATACACCAAGGAACTTAGTACACCAAGATTAACACTCAATATACGTGTGCAGTGTTTTGTATTGATCTAAACTAAAGCTTGCACGTTTCAAACGTTTCTGGAGCACAGTAATAAACTATACAGAGAGACAGAAACTGTCTGGATAACACTGATTTTTTTGACAGCTATTTAGTGTGGAATACTTTATTTTTAAACTAGAAATATATTGCATGATCATTAAAATATATTTAACTTTACTTAAGTGTTTATGATGCTGTCTGCAGGCGGTGTAAAAATATATGTTTTAGCAATGCTGCTAGAAAATGATCCAGAAAGGTAAATGTTCGTTTGTTGTTGTGTTTCAGGAACTATGTATGGGAACCACGGCAGGAGAGGAAGACAGACTTATACAAGATATCAAACTCTAGAATTGGAAAAAGAATTTCATTTTAATAGGTACCTGACTAGGAGAAGGAGGATTGAGATTGCAAATGCACTCTGCTTAACAGAACGACAGATTAAAATATGGTTTCAAAACAGGAGAATGAAATGGAAAAAAGAAAGTAAACTTATAAATTCAACAGAACCCAACAACGACACAGGAGAGGACAAACCTGGAGAGCACAGTAACACTTAATATCAGCCAGCAGGCCTCCCAGTATTTGATCTAAATGCTGTACCCTGATGTTCTGTGTACCCCCCCCCCACCCCCCCCATCTTGTATATTAAAACCACAAAGAATAAGACTCACCTTATTTCACACCCAGCTGTAAATGTAGGACTCCTCTGGTAGCTTAAGCATGTATATGATTTTAATTTAAATTGTATAAAGTAAAAAAAAAAAAAAGCAGCTGGCCATGTGGATATGCAAAAATAATGCACTGTAAGTCTGGGTTGTGTTTTATTTTATTTTATTATATTATATTTTATTTCCTATGTGATGATTACCAATGGCTGCACTATAGTGAACCCAAGAGCAGGGACAATACAAAGATTTTCTGCAAATTGCACTGTGTCCTGCAAGGTATATGCAGAAACTGGATTGGCATTAAATAAGGATTTACCGTTTAAACGTTATACAATACAGTATCTCTTTTTTTTATTGCACTCTCTGCAAAGAAATTTACATGGTGATAGGAAAAAAACTCCCTTAATTTTTTATTTTTTTTTACAAAAATCCCTAAAATTTTTTTGCCTAAAACGGAAGTCTGAGCCATCCTGTTATTCCCAGACTCTGGACAAAATGTGAATGTCAACTCTGACCATTCTTGATTTACAATAGAGTTTGAAAGGCAGTGAATATTTCTAACGGTATCTGAAAAGCAACAATTTCCATGTGAGATTTAATACGAGAAATGCACATTGTGTGACTGCTTGTTTCTATTTAATATATGGACATATAGGTGCACCTTGCAAACTACAACATTTACAGGTTTTGTTAGGTAGATATCCATTTGAGTTGAATTCTGTTGATTTTAATGTCGAAACAAATATTTTTAGTTCCTGCAAATATCCTTTCCCAAAATAAAAGGTTCGGTGCTATTTCCTGCTATTTTAAATATATACATATATATAAAACATATAAGGAAATGCACCCACCCTAATGTAATATTTATTGGGAACAGTGGCCTTTTATACGATGTTTTATTTAAAAGGGGGGTTATTTTAAAAATCTGTTCGAATACAAAATAACCCCAAAGTCGTGTTGACATATATAGCGATCTCTTACAATGGCTCTGACATAATTAGCGCTGACAGTATCGCCTCTTCCTATGGATATCGACCGCTGACAATGCAAATGTGTGGACAGTTGTGCCAGATTTAGAGGAAATGCATTAGTGAATACAAACATCGCGGATAAAATAGAGTGAAATATAAATATATATATATATATATTGATGGAAACATTTGTTTTTTGAAAGACAATGTTAAAGCTGCACCCTTTTTGTCCAATATTTCGGTATTAATGTGCTAGTTTGTGAACTGTGAGCTGTCTGAGAGCCGGTACATTTGGTATTCACTAATGGGAGCTGTGAGAGAGAGAGAGTGGGGGGGGGGATGCAATAATTTACTGTAATGGGATGTAACCTCAATTCGACCCCAGTCCTGCCAAACTCAGTCCCAATGCTGGCTGCAAAAGGCTTGCAGTACCACGCGGCTGTCCAGGTGGTGGCGCTCGAGTCTGCGCGAAGTTCTCCTGCGAGAGGCGGGCTCGCGCCCACACGCTCGCTCCCACGTTGCAGCCTCCCAGCTCCCTCTTCACCAGTACACCAGTTTACCTCTAGAGGTCATCATGGAAGGATTTACGACTGGACAACAAAAGCACGTGATGCCAAGTCGTACCCCATATTTGGGTGCCTACGTAGGAGGGAACCAAGTACATGTCCCAGTCATTTCCATAATTCATCATAAATTGTGCAAAGGGTGCTATAGACGCACAAAACGACCAAGAACCACAAATCAAGCACACACATCAAAAAACAAATGAGCTCTTATTTTGTAAACTCATTTTGCGGTCGCTATCCAAATGGCCCGGACTACCAGTTACATAATTATGGAGATCACAGCTCGGTGAGCGAGCAATACAGGGATTCGGCGACCATGCATTCCAGCAGGTACGGATACGGCTACAATGGCATGGACCTTAGCGTGGGGAGATCAGCTAACAACCACTTTAGTGCCAATGACAGAGCAAGGAGTTACCCACCCAATGCTGCCTCCACCACTGAGGCGAGGTACAACCAACCTGCAACCTCCTCACACTCTCCTCCACCTGACCCAATCCCTTGCACTGCTGTGGCCAATTCGGCTGTCAGCGAGAGTCACCCAGGAGTCAAAAACTCTATAACAAACTCAAACGGCAACAGTGGCAGCAACAACAGCAACAACAGCAACAATTCGAACACTGTCAGCAGCAATATCAGCAATAGCAACAACACTCACATAAACAGAGAAGGGCTGGGGGCTTCTTCATCTGGTGCTGAAGATGACACACCAGCCAGCAGCGACCAGACAAGTTCACAGAATGGCCAAAGCCCAGCTACATCAGTCCAGCCCCAGATCTACCCTTGGATGAGAAAACTGCACATAAGCCATGGTAAATAATACTAAAAAATAGATAAATATTTTTTGTTTATGCTTTTATTCCCCCCCCCTCCCCCTCCACCTTCCCCTATTTTTTGTGATTAATAAATATTGAATAAGGCTATAAGTGTATGTATTGATAGGGTGAGGAGGAGGTGTCAAAGTTGTTCTTGAATTTTCTATGTTTAGATATTTTATTTGGGAGTGGGGGGGACTTCACAATGTGTAAAGAAACAAGTTGAAGGGGGTATTTGGCAAATGTTAAATATATCAGGTTTAATAGGAAATGTAAATTTATTTTTTTAAATAAAAGGAAATGTTGGGAGGAGGATGTGTGACTGTCAGTAATTTTAGTAAAATACTTCAATGAGATACTTTCTAATTAAAGTCTGATTTACGACATTGATAATGCATAATTTAAGATAGCACTAAAATTAGAAGCCAAAACAGTGTCAACTCAACATAGCCTGTTTAAATATCTTCATGAAAAATGTATATCGTTTTAGCTACATCATTGGGGTGTTTATATAGTACTGCCAAACACAGGCATAGTAAAGAATAAAAAACACTGTTACCCCCTAAAAAATTGGACATGTATAACTCTTATCATGGGGTGTCAGAAATGTTTAAAAATATGAATTTTGCCTTAACTTTGTCCCCTATTTTCCTTTTATATCTCTCCTCAAATCTTTCCTGGTTTTGGGCTTCTTATTTATGATTTATTTTTTTCCAGATAACATAGGGGGTCCAGAGGGAAAAAGAGCCAGAACAGCTTATACTCGCTATCAAACTCTGGAGTTGGAGAAAGAATTTCACTTCAATAGGTACCTGACACGCAGAAGGAGAATTGAAATAGCACATGCTCTTTGCCTCTCTGAGAGACAAATTAAAATCTGGTTTCAGAACAGAAGGATGAAGTGGAAAAAGGACAACAAATTGAAAAGTATGAGCATGGCTGCTGCTGGGGGGGCTTTTCGCCCCTAAAAATCAAATCAATGAAAAGTACTGATTTAGTATTAGCTAAACATGTATATTGTTAACACGACTTTCTAGAACTCTTCCTTGTGACTTCTGTGAAGCACCCCCCCTTTACTCATGTTTTTGTCCCCCAACCCCAATTCTAGCCATGAGCTTTTTATCTGGGTGAAATAGCTAAGGATCAGAAGAAAAAAAAAATAACAAAAAAAAAAATGCTTTATGTAAATGTTTTTGGTTGTTTTTTTTTTTTGCCATGTCTTGAAATGTAAATGTTTTAAATTATTTGAGTATGTAAAGCGCTCTCTGTTACTTGAAGTAACTGTAAAAAAAAATGTTTAATATTACAATTGTTCAGTGTTGCATTGGATTTGCAAAATCGGTATATGTTCGTACAGTGTGAATACGTCTGAATGCCTATTAAAAAAATGTCTAGCCAAAATTTCATGAAACTACCTATAATTCCAGTGAAAATAACTATGTTGTAGAGGTGACTTGTTCAATCCAATTTATCTTGTGATCGTGTGGTGAGTAGTTAAAAATGATGTTTCAGAAACTGTTACCACAAGCAGTCTGTCCTATCTGTGCCTTTGTATACAGTGAATCTCTGCACGACCCCTTAAAGTGGCTGTGGTCGCAGCTTAATGTATGTTAATATGTGTTTTGTTCATAAAGCTAATGATTTAGTCCTAGCTTGGCTGTTTGAGCAGTTGTTAAAACTTTTTTTGTACTTGTTTTAATTCCTTTTTTAAAAAAAATAAAAATAAAAATGAAGGAAAAAAATACACATGACTGGAAACAAGTAAAAAAACAAAACAATAAAAAAAAACATTAAATAAAATAAATGAAAAAATAAACTTTCTAATGATCCTTTTTGTTTTGCTTATCTGAGAAGAATGGGATTAGAACCTGTTTTTATTGTGTGCATGTTGATTGATGGATAACTGTATTGCTTTGTAAAAGTTAGATAGAAGGCCAATGGCACGATTAGTATTCAGTATTTAAAATGTATATATTATATAGGTGTTATAGAAGCCTAATGTCTCATATGGGGGAAGAATTAGGGTTACTTTGCCAAGTGTAATTGTAAAATAACTTATAATATAATTGGGGACTCTGCTTAATTGTATTATTATAACCCAGAGGCTTTGTTTTAATACACTTCTGTAATGATCAGAAATTTCACCAATGATGCCAAAATTTCACCAGCACACCTAACCCTCCCAAGCCTTTTAAAATATGCACTTACCTTGGACGTGTAACTCCTCAGCCTGTATGTAATGCAAGTGAAAGGAAACCCTTTGCTAAGTGCTTACATTCTTGCCTGGCCTAAGTTATATGACAGTAAACTTTATAAGCCCTAGTTCCGGCTATGTGACATTTGGATGCCAAATGAATAGGGTTTTGTCTATGAATTAGGATCGTAAAATCGTCCATAGCACAGACAGATAGGCTCACTGGCTATAAAAAAGTCACGTGGTGCTATTAAACTAAGTTTTATGGTTTTGGGGAGTAGACATCCACGATTATATACCACATATCATATAATCTCACTGATCCTGGACATCATTTGGATTTTAGCAGGACACGTAAGGCTGGCAGACAGCACCTATTAAATATTAGAATAGTATTTCCACTTCAGATATTCTAAACCTGGTATCTGTCACACTACAAAGAAAGGTAAGTTTTCTTCATGTCCTTATATTTAATTTGTTTTTGTATTTGCTGTGTGTATGTGTATGTGTTTATATATGTATATCTGTGTGTAAGTATATATGTATTTATTTATTTGTGTTTATGCATGTATTTAGTAAGTTAACAATTAGCACTGCAAGTTAATTGGAGAAATAAATATTAACAATAAGGCCCATTCTTAATTACTTTTACTGGCCTTACTTGTACAAAATGAAATTAGCAATAATGCCCAGTTGGGCTCTATACTAAATTATCCAATTAGTAGTTTTTTTGCTTTTTTTAATTTATTGTTTTAATTGTGGACAGTTTAAAAGTCTTTTGGTCCAGTCCCATCAAGGCACATGGTTTGTCCTAAGTGACTTTGTTCTTAATGCACGATTTGAGATGAATCTGAAGAGATGTTTATGGCAAACAGATTAGCAGGTTTCCTGAAGTGCTTCATAAGATCAGTATTTACCTTACAATATACGTAGTCAGTACAACAAGATTCTTATCTGCCCCCCCAAAAAACGAAAGTGGGTCATTTGAAAGGCAGCTGTTCCAAGCAGCAAATGATATTGAAAAAAACAAACACGTCCAAATATCCTAAAGATATGCTCAGAGTTTTCCCATTTCTGGCTTAGAATGGAATCTGGATAGGCCCCAGCTGTGTTTAACTAAACACTGTGTTTCAGTCCATAGCTGAGTTCACACTGCAGTGTGATTAGTCAGCAATGAACTTTCTGACCGGATTTTAGTTTAGCCTAAAATAAGTGCTAAAATAAGGGGGTGAAGGGGGGTCTATTGGGGGCAAAAGGGGGTCCTTAGTTTCCTTAGTTTCATTTGCCTGACTTGGGAAGAAATTATTTGGAAACATGGTTTATTGAAGCTACATTTTCATTCTTGTGATTTGCCATAATATCTAACAATATTCTTTAACTTTTCTTAAGCCCAGGTAGAATAACCATTTGAGCCATACATCCTAATTATTCCAGCAAGCTGTTTGTATCCTCACGGGCTGTTTGTACTGGTGGTGTGAGGACAAGAGTTCAAACAAGCTGTGAACCTTTATAGGTGACAGAGGGAAACATTTGGTTCATTGAAGGCTTCCTGCCCAAGTCTTGGTTCTCTTTGTGATCAAACATCCAAAATTAACATAAAATATGACCCACAATATAACTGACCAAGTGGCATTGTGCTTTTTCCCTTTTCAAAGACCAATATGGTTCCACCAGGGTCATCCACTTGCATTTGCCTTAACCAAAAACCTGTGTAAACCCCCAGATTACCTCTCTTAGCTCAGGCAATGGGGTCTGTTTTCAATAAATATGATAATATAAGTTCTTTATAGCAATTTCACTGCATACAAAGATCTAGAAAGACCCTAAACATCTCTAACGTGTATTGCAGAAAATGTTGTGAATTTTTTTAAAATTCTTTGTGTTTTCATTTTTGATTTTCTAACAATACAAAGCTTATATCTCACATCAGGATTTGTCTGTAAGCAAAGCACATGTCTATTGTACAGCTGTAATCTAAAAGGTCACGTTTGTGTAAGGAAATACTTTTTTTTTTCACGTATAATACAATTCATTGTTTTATTTTATTTATATAACATCCAGGTGTGCATACGTCATATTTAAAATGTAGTTCAGGAACGCCACCAATTGTTCTGGGGTTCTAAAATATTTATTTTTAGTATTTAAGCATTGCAAAACAAACATTTCTATTAGTTATCTCAATCTCGCTTCGTATTTATTTTAAAATATATAGTTTACATGATGAATTTTGTAAAAAGTCCATTATATAAAGAACGCTATAATGGTATCCGAACAGACGAAATTCGTGCGAATTGGAGATTGTTTTGCAATTCGGTTATTGTGGCCTATATGTCTTAATTCATTTATCAACGAACTACAATTCTCTGTTTAGTTAGCAGACCCTATATGAATAAATCTCTGTGCTATTTTCAATTGTATAATACGCAGACTTATGTGTACTATATATATTGAAGTACCTCAGACAGCAAATGCATATTTACATTTAAATATACTCATTGATCCAAAATAGGGAGCTGTCCTCTAAACAGTGAATTATCATGATTTAAGAACCGGTTTGTAATATTTAGAACGCACTAGAGAGCTGGGAACAACCTACAGTTACAAATGTAACTTAGAGTATTAAGCCTAATTAGCTTAAATCACCACACCACAACTCTGCCCCATCATCTATGAAAACTACATAAAACAATGAATTAAATAAACTCTGTTAATGTGAATGAAATTCTAGGTATGACATTAATACACTCTCAGGGAACTCTTATACTATGTTACTTTATTTCCACAGCACTTCTTAAAATGTAACTGTGACAAAAACATCCCAAAAGTCAACTTGTTATCATTTCCTATACATCACTAAGCACTATCATATTTCATGTCCTGTCTTTTTAAGAATGGCGTGTGACCACTTTTAACCCATCTGAGTGCCAGAACAATGTGTTACATACAGGTTTGGCTGTAATCAGGGTTAAACTTGGCATAAACTTCTTTATTAAATACTGTCTAAAAATAATGAATTAAAAATAGAGAAAGAGAGAGTGAGAGAGAGAGAGAGAGAGAGAGAGAGAGAGAGAGAGAAAGAAAAAAGAATATAAGTAAGAAAAATCAATCTGTAAACATTGCTAATCAGCCGGATATTTATATATTGCTAATAGTCTATTTATTAATTTTTTTTAATACACTTTTCCTGTTACATTGTTTATTGCTGTCTGGCAGTTTTTAATGCACATTAATGTATCAATTATATGAAAAACATGTATCTATCTATCTATATATCTATCTATCTATTATCATATTGCATGCTTTAAGTTGCTTTTGTGTAACGTTTTCAGCTTTTTTGCCCTTTGAAAATAATATTTACTCAACGTTGCTGTTCAAACAATTGCGATTCTGTGAGACAGCCCTGCTTAAGGTGAAGACTGTCAAGGCTTAACAAATCGCAGCTCCCCCAGTTCACTGCCAGGTTAAGTAAATGCAGAAAAGATAAATCTGCAAACCCTACAACTCACCAGCAGAGCTCGCTTTAGACCAAGTTCATCGACAACACAGTTGCCTATGCAAGCTTTTTTTTTTTTTTTTTTTTATTATTTTAACAAAAGTACTGCCTTTTACCATGCAAGTATATTAAAGTAAATGAAATGCAGGAATAATCAGCTAAGATTGGTTTACCATTTGAATGTTTATGCCTGGGCTCAGTTTACAGATTTCATGTTGATTAGGGGAAGCAGATACATCCAAGAAGGTTATTGTTCCTTTTTTTTATATTTTTTTGTTTAAAAGTCATTGTTTATAGGCAGCTTGTGAATGTCTGTGTATGCTCGATGGTAATTTTGTAACAGTGTAAAGATAGATTTTTCAGGGATGGAGATCTGTGTTTGATCAAACAGAAAGAGTGGTAAACAGGTAAAAAAAAAAAATCTCTTTAAACTGAAGGGTTTTGTATGTTCATGGATTCAATGGTACAACTGCAAGTCAAAAAGTTAAAGGTCAAAAGTTTACACTTTGCGCTAGTCTAAGTCATCTATTCAGCCTAAGTTTGATGTCAATGTTATAGTGGAGATTTTGGTCATCAGTACAATAGATAAAACGTGCTTTAGGTACACTAGCAACCAGGATTGTACTCCTGGTGAACTCCAGCGGTTGTGTGACCTTAATTACTAATGCAAGGCTAGAAAAATGAGTCTTTTCAATAGCTTCAATCGTATTTCAACATGAGCTATCAGCTACATGGTTTGAATGAAATTGTTCTATTTGTAGAAGGTAGACATAAAACTTGTTTTCTAAAATAAGAGATCACAGGCTTTCCAGTAATATAGCCCCATTTTCGTTTGCAGATGGAATGGAATTGATCAATATGAGCAAGTTTATTCTTTATTTAACTCTATATAGTGAAATTTCAATTTAAAAAAATAAAAATAAAATTCGATTTTTAAATCGAACATAAATCTGAGTCAGGAATGGAGTTTTTGTTAACGGTGTCATTTCTGGGAATATTAATATAATATTCAATTTCAAACATGCCATGAATTATGATAAAATAATTTATTGAGGTCTATTTGCTAAAACAAGTAAAAAAAATATATATTCATATTTAGAGATCATAGATTTACGTTTCACCAAACAGAATTTTATTTGCAAATATTTTTTTTTCTCCAAATGTAAGATATAAACCAGCCTGTGGGTTAAAGAAAGAGAAAAGATGGTAAATATCACCTTTATTAAGACAAAACATATATGTTCTAAAAGAAAAGTCATGTAATAATCATATTCACGAAATGTAAAGAATTAAAATATATTGTCCCAAGAAAAAATTATATTTTCAACTGAAATAAACATTACATTTTAAAAGCAATCCTAAATCGATCATTTATTTTTTTTTGTTGTTGTATATGTAACGTAAAAATGTTTGAGTACTTTTTGTATTTTGTTGTGGGTTTTTTTTTTTTGTTTGTTTTGAAGATAAATTACTTGTTTTATTCCCTGGCCTCTGCAGATGTCCATTAATCACGAAATAAATGCTTCCAGATTTTCTATAATGAAGGGAATTCGAGGCATTTTTGAGTAGCCTGGATGGTGAATTTTAATGAAAAGCCCTTGTACCGTGCTTAATATTGCAATAGTGTAACAAACTAAACACTTACAGGGTCTGGTCCATGCCCCCCTACCAGCTATCTTCCTCAATGAGGTCACTTGGGCTTGCATGGGCTTCCAATCACCAAGAGTGATACATTTCATAACCTTTCTAATGTGTACTTTTTATATTGTTTATTCTTAATTTTCTGTCAGGAGAGGTGACATGGCAGAAACACCCTGCTGTCTTAAAAACACTTGGTGGACCTTTCAGAAAAAAGTTAAGTCCAAGGCTGAGGTGAACTTCAGGTCATCGAGTCTAACTAATATGAAAATGTCGCCTGGTGAACTGCAATCCTCCTTACTTAACAAAGACTGTCAATGGGGAAGATTAATACGAAATAAAAATGCACACGGTGTCACTTCTCGGTCACTTGAACGAGCTGTGGGTTCCTTGATGCAAGAAATGTGCACGATGTATGTGGATAACAGAAATAACAGAACGAAAAATATACAGAAATATAGAATATTTTAAACGATTGACAAACACCAGCGATCAGAACCATCGATTGTATTTAATTGTAAGCACAGGCATTGTTTTATTTTCAATTTTAGTTTACATTGTATTTATTATTATTTTTTTACAGATAAAAATCAAATGTCTAACAAAGGCGGACATGCACGAGAAGTCTGGATATGGGGATCTTCCTGGCATATAGGTAAGATCTTTGCTTAAATTCACTTTTCTTCTTGTTGCAATAATTTTAGAGGGTAGAGAAACACAGATGCCGCAATAAACTAAAAGTTTAAATGTCAATAATAAAACAACAGTTAAAATACAAATGATTTATTTATTTATTTTTATTAAAGGGGATCTGGTTTCTGTAAAAATCAAGATATCGATGTTTTCTGAAGGTCTGATCTCGTTGTTTAATAAAATCTGAGATAACAACAAATCTTGCAGTGCAATGTTTAGATGTTGGTCTGCAAGATACATTTTTGGCGAAGCAAGATAAACCGCACAAAGGCCTTCTGAAACTGTATTTTGTAATAGAGAGATAACACCCCACAAGAAGGGCAGGATCACCCCAGTTTTGTGAAATCGTGACCTCTGTGTGTTTTTAAGGCAGCGCCAAAACGAGAACCATCACTGTCAAGGTGTAAAAAAATAAATAAATAAAGAATTAATCACAAATGGTTAAAAGAAGCAAATATTTTGCAATAGAACATTGGAGTAAACAGGCATTTATTTATGATGTAAATGTGTCTTGTGTTTACACAAACATATTAAAAGGAAATATATATCGTATAGCCCAGAGTTTTGCTTTCCAGAGTATACTGCCCTGTGTGGCCATGTAAGGTTCTTTATAATCCCCCACAGTTATTTTACTGTTTGCTGGTTTTATTGCCCAAAATAATCCAATTTCTAACCTCAGAGTCCTCACAGTCTCACACACTCTCTCTTCTTGTTAACCTTAATAATATTTTATTTAATACAGCTGCAAATGCCATTTCTAAATGGTTCAGCATGTTAAAGTCTCCCAGAAAACACGTGCTCTTCACAGAAAGAGATTTTATGCAAAATTTAAGGTGTATTACTTTCAGTTATTAACACCCAAACTTCGCTGTCTCTTTAAATATATTCATTAGTGCATTCTGTTATTTATTTAAAAAAACAAAATATATATGTACTTATATTTTGTCTCAGTTATTTCATCAACATCGAAGAACAGCAGATAGCAAAAATAATTGATTTTTAATAAAATACTGTCTTCACAGTAGAATGTAAATTAATATTACTTAAATATAATGCAACATCTGTGGCATCTATGCTTCACATAGCAAGATCAATATACATTCTATATCTATCTATCTCTCTCTCTATCTATCTATCTATCTATCTAATTCTCTCTCTCTCTCTCTCTCTCTCTCTCTCTCTCTCTATCTATCTATCTATCTATCTATCTGTCTGTCATATAAATTAATGTAAATAATATACCTCATAAATTATTACACACCGAAATCCAGGGTTTTCCTTAACACAAAAGTGGCCTGTAGTGGCTTTACCATAATGATACAGACTAATCGTTTGCATGTCTTTACCACTGTCTATAAATAGTTTACATACATGCTCTGAACACTGGAATGTTCTAAATATACTCTGCCTTCCCATTTCACGATGCAATTTATTTTAAAGATTTTTTTTATTCTGGCTAAACGAGTCTATAAGTTTCAGCTGTCAGAAAACTGCTCATAGTTTCCCTCTCTTCTTAAATCTTCCCCCAATAAAATGTTATATTTATTGTATGTGTAAATACATACTTGTGCAAATGTAGAGGTTTTTTGTGTGCTTTTTATCCACCCTACAGCTAATCATGAGTGCCTTGCTTTAAAAGCCAAGGTTATATGACAATAATACCCAAGCAAAAGTAAGTAGCCCTTGTATTTTAAGATAACCCCAAAACGCATATGTGCACAATTATTTTTGGTTGTCTCTTGCAGCATATGGGATGTCTCAAACTGATTTTGCTTTCATCTGAACATGTAATCCTCCTAGCATGAAAAAGGAAGATAACTAATTCATGCATTGTGGAATTTATTGCAGGGTTACACAAGCCTCCCTTACTTTGGAGAGTGCTAACTCACAGGCCGTTTGTTGCTGTCAAAAAAATTAGCATTCATGAAAAAAACAACTTCTCGGGTACCTGATCCCCTTGTTACCAGACAGATGAAGACAGTAAAAGTAATATTTACTCAGTTAAGGTAAAGTACTATTCATTTGACCAAGTAATGTGCTGTAGAGACTGGGTGAGATATTTTGAAATATTTAGCTCGCAGGGTACAGATCTAAGCTCTGCCCTTCAATCCATTGTGCAAATTTAAACTTCAGACCTGACATATTAGCTGCACTGATATTGCCAAACACATCGATTGTGCTTTTGCCATTGTCTACAAAACAAACAATCAAATAAACAAATGTTACATTTTATTGGGTGTGCTTCTACAAAGTATGCCACAGGCAACATTTTCCCTTATTCAAGGTGAATGACCTCAGCAATATTTATCAAAACATAACCTGTGGAGCTTGGTTTTTAAACGCCTTGTATTTGCAAGACTTGATTATGGATTTTCTACAAAGCAACAAAAAGAAATCTCAGGTACAGAAAAATGCACTCATCCCTGTTCCAGAGGATTCCTGTTACATACAAAGACTTGAAGATCTAGTGAAATTCTCTCCCAACCACCTAATGACTACACATAACAGCCATAAAGCATTACTGTATTTGTCCTTTGCTCCCCCTCCCCCACAACGCTTTTGGCTTCTGGTATCTTACTTTAAGAAGACAGAATGTGTTATCAGCCCAAGCACGAAACTGTTCTCTAGGATTCCATTATAGAATCATTAAGGATCCACTCCTTGTCTAATAGGGACCCCTCCCTCCCCAGTTCATGTATGTATGTATGTATGGGTTGCCTGACTAGTGGATTAGATTTCTATATGACTGATGGCTTAGTTCATGTTTGCTTCTCTGCCTATAGCTGTTATGATCATTGTGATTGCTACTTAATATTAGCATTTATGTTATTGACCCATAGCTATGTTTTCCCTTATTATATATATATATTTTAATGTTTTTTTATTTTTGGTGTATTTTTTTCCCCCCTTGAACCTCTGGCTGTAATTTAATAGTGAGGATGATCCAGAGGCTCCAGTTAAGTGTATGAGGATCTGGCTGCCACAGCATTTATCATCCTTGTGTTTCCTTATCCGGGGTCCAGGGGAGCGCTATGATTGGCCCGCCGGGTCACGTGCCCTGCTAACTTTGCACACTTGACAGGCAGTAGGAGGGTTCTGAGCAGAACAGAAAAACGACAACGCGAGAAAAATTAGTATTTTTTTGTTGCCCTTCCACAAATTAATGGCCATGAGTTCGTTTTTGATAAACTCCAACTACATCGAGCCCAAATTCCCACCCTGCGAAGAGTATGCCCAAAACAACTACTTGCACAGCCAGTCTCCCGAGTACTACGAGCGGCCGAGGGAGCCCGGCTATGAGGCTCCTCCCGAAGCTCTGTACCAGGGTCCGGGTACCTACCCTGAGACCAGCTATGGATACAACCACATCACCCCCAGCCACGAGCCCGGCTCCCTCCCGGATGGAATCACAGGCAAGACACATGGACAGCCACCAGCACCACCACCACCAGCAGCCTCAGCACTCCTCCAGAGCCACGTCCTCAGGCAGCCACCCCAGCACTGTGAGGCTATGGCTGTGCCTGGTGGTGACCCCATCCACACTGACAAAACTGCTCCAGGGCTCAAGTGCAAAGAGCCAGTGGTTTACCCTTGGATGAAGAAGATCCATGTGAACACAGGTGAGATAGCAACACCACTGCTATGAGTAGGACCACCACCACCACCAGTTTCACCATACACCATGCCATAGGGGAGGGGGTGAGGTGGGTTGTGTGTTGGCCATGGGAGCAGAGAGCCACACTTTAATAGCAAAGTGTCTTTAAACTAGTGGATTTATTAGAGTCAATCTGCTTAGAAAGTAATTACAGATCACATAAATGTAATTGCCCTACCAATGACACTGGGCCATGTGCCTTTGATGTTTTCAGTATCCCCCAAGCCCCATCAACATATTTTATGGCTTTCTGTTGTTTTCCTTTTGTCAGAAGCATGTGAATCACTTTCATTTCAGACTGTATGTAGCTCAACTGAACAATGGTGTCCAGTCATTAACGAATGATTATCTTCTATTTTGTTTCTTTTTTTTCTTTTATTTATTTATTTTTGGTTAGTTTCTACAAATTACACTGGAGGGGAGCCCAAAAGGTCTCGGACTGCATACACCAGACAGCAAGTATTAGAATTGGAAAAGGAGTTTCACTTTAACCGTTACCTTACCAGACGAAGGCGAATTGAAATAGCACATACGTTGTGTCTCTCTGAGCGTCAAGTCAAAATATGGTTTCAAAACAGAAGGATGAAGTGGAAGAAAGATCACAAATTGCCCAATACCAAGATGCGTTCTGCAAACCCTCCATCTTCCAGTCAGCTGACCAAAGTACAGGGTCTTCAGCACACAGATGGGCCAACTGACCCTTTATTATAATCCTTAATTGTATTATTCCTATTGCTGGTAATCATTTGGACCAAATGACTGTGGAGGGGGAAAAAATCTCCTTGCTAGAGTTGGATAGACACCAGGACAAATGTTCCCTTAATTAAGGAATTCAACTGAGACTTGCATTTTTTTTTAATATTTTTTTTTTATTGTTGTGCTATTTAAGTCATTGTCTCCATATAATATAACTAAGGGGTATATGTGTATATGAATATTGACATATTGTTGAGTGGCTACATAGGTAACGAACTATTTTGTATACAAAATACAAAATAACACAAATACGTCTATGAAATACTATGTAATAATTATATGGGCCATTTAATTGTATTATACTTTTTTATTATTATTATTTTAAATAGTTGTGGGTATTTAAGAAACCAAACTTTTTTATGATTTATTTAATGGTCTTTGGAACTGCTCACCTACGGACATTAAGATGTTGGACTTGTAAATATTGGTCAGAGTAATTGAATTTATGTTAGACACAAAATTATTGTCTCTTGCTTAGTTGCTTATCTGAGGCCAATATGTGTTTGACATGTCTCTAGAATCTTAGCATTACGGTAGAAGGCCTTTGATCGTCTGAAAGGCGATGACATAGTGTAGATACAGTATGCGTTATACATATTGTGGATTTTGTGCTGTATATTGTGGTGCTAACTTCTGGCAGTACCGAAGATTATTCTGTGAAAATTAAAGTTTTCAAAAACCTGCAAAAAAACTGTTTTTGGAGAGTACTTAAATTGTATCTCATTTATGCATTCAAACCTCCACTGAAACACAGTGATATATTCTTTAATTTAGTAAAGACTGGGATAAAAACAAACGTTGACGATCTGGTTAGATAAAAAAAACTAAATATTTTGAACCTTTACTCACCTTAACGTAAATTCTAAGCACCTAATATTTAGGAGGGGTAGTTGTAGGGTATTAAGTCTTAACAATATTAATGTGCATGCACTTTTTGAATATATATTTTCAGAAATTATATATATATATATAATTATATATTTATATTTTTATTATAAATATATATATATATATATAAATTTATTTTTATTATTATTATTTTAATTATTTTTTTATTTAGGCATTTGAAAATATAGTTGGTGTTCTTTTTACAAACTGATAACAGATAGGCAGTCTAACAGGGAGAAACTCAATTAATATTACATTTCTGTCCTACTGAGAACTCTTATTTAATAAATATTTGTGGATACATTGTCGTTACAGTAAATACAATGATTACAAGGCAAGTTAAATTAGGATTTCGTGATGGAACAATGAGATTCTCATTTTAAGTGTGTCTGCTCACGTTTTTAATAAGTTGCTATCAGCTTTTACTTTATAGTTAGCTAGATTTTCATGGGGAGAGCCATCTATGTAGCTACACACTTTTCCATATTGTCTGAGAGCTAATGACAACTTTAATGTGCTAAACGTGTTATTGTATTCTATTAACATTGTAATATTTGCCAACAATAGTTGCTCTGTTGATAACATATTTGTACTTTACCAGAACTTTGGAGGATTTCCTTTGGATAACAATGTCTGTGGAAGTGGGCTGAAATGGCTTCGAAAAATGCAGCTATCACTGATGGGTCAACAATATATGAAGCAGTTAAACATGTTCTCTGTGAAATTGAAGGATAAATCCTGATGTCCCATGAATACTAAGGTAAAGTAATTTACTTGTATTTATGTATGTGTTTGTTTGTCTGTGTGTTTGTTTGTGTATTCACTGCAAACGTGTCTATAATCATGAAAATGGTTACTGACCCAATGTACTTTTATTCCTGATATATTTAATTTTAGTCCTAAGATTTGTGTGCCTGTTCTTTACCCTCTCACATTGTCTGCCCTTTTCTAAGGCAACCAGGGTTCACAGAGAGGACACGGATTCTGTCTATTGATTGTTTTTTTAGAGATGCAAGCTGACCCTCAAACCCTTGACCTTTAGGGTAGAATTCCATGTAAGATGAGAAATCCCATTTTCTGTAAATTTCTGCCTTACAGTCACAATACTAATTATTCCATCCTTGTTATAATATTCGCTATAAATCAGGAGAATAAGCCCAGGTAAAATAAGTTTTGTTGCCCTTTGTATTGTTTAGGTTATTATTTTATTAGTCTCAGTATAAATGTTTTTGGTTTTTGTTTGTTCTTGTTGGTTGTTTTTTTTTTTTTTGTTTTGTTTTGTTTTTAAGGCAAAACATAATCTAATCCTCTCAGATCCTGATGTTACAACTTTTGATTTGTTTGAGTCAGATTTGAAAATTAAACACATAAAATCTATTTACATTGTATCTGCTTTTGGATGTTAAAGATAAAAAAAAAAAAAAAACAGTTAAAATGCATGAAAATCACAAGACTGTAATGCAGCTTGAACAGGATAGTGTGTTGGGTCTCTGTGCTTAGTTTTTTTTTTATCTCACTCAACAAACGGGGGTTCTGCCCCCCCTATGTATTATTAATGTAGCAGTATGGAAGGTGGAGCTCCAATTCTAACAAAGAGACATTGCAGCATTTTGAAGTATTGTGAAGCCAAGCCTTTCTGTTTCTGTGTAGCTGTGTTGTTTAGAGTTTTCTGTCATCTATATCCCCCTCTTATTCTCTCTGAAACCAATGCCACAGAATTACACACCCAACGAGCCACCATTCTCAACTTCACACGTGAAAGCTTCTCAGTTAATTATTTAACGAATTTTCTCTTCTTCCTTGTTTCTACTTTCTATGTCTCTCTTCCTCTGCCTCTCTCCTGCATATGCTAGATTTTATATTCACTTATTTGTTTTTATTTGCAAGTTTCAGTGTTTGTTCTAAAATGGATCAGTCCATTACATTGTTAGAAATGATTAGCAAAATATAGCTCAAAATAGGTTGTAAAAACAAACAAACATTAGAAGTTACAGTAAAATAGTAGATGCTCCCACCAGCTCAGTTCTTTTGGCCTATAAAAAGCTGGTAGGGTTTCAAGTAAACACAACACGTTGTTTGGTGAATACGTCCCATGGTCTATCTCTTCCATTATCGCTTTTTGCCTCTGTCTTTCTGTGTCTCTTTCTTCTCCAATCTATTTCTCTCTCTCTCTCTCTCTCTCTCTGATCATGTCTCTCCATAGATCTTTCTGTCACTTTATCCATGTTATTTTATCTCTCACTACCCCTCTTTACTCCCTCTCCCTTTTTAACCCATGTTCTTTTTATTAGGATATGACATCATATTGATCTCAGTCCTACTTGTAATGTAATGGTATTTGTAAAATAACTATATTCTCTTTTTACACTCCTTTTGTATGTGTTTATTTGTATATGTATGTAGTTTTCTATCACTTTGGCTGTCTATCTATCTATCTATCTATCTATCTATCTATATATATATCTCTCTCTTTCTCTCTGTCTGTCTGTCTGTCTATCTCTCACTCTCTCTTTGTCTGTCTGTCTGTCTGTCTATCTATCTATCCTAGATAACTCTCATTTTTGATAATACATGAATCCTATGTTTTCCTTCCACATAAAACCTATCCTTGTCTCAAAGTTCAGAGATCTCCCCCTTTTACATGACAATTTTAGACCCAAGGTATATGCTACTTACAAATACATTAAAAAATGGGATGTAGTAATCATTAAAGAAAATAAAGCATATAGCTGTGATTTAACTGTGATTTAACTGTGCTTATATATATATATTATAATTAGTTTTGCTATTGCATTTTGTGTGGTTAAACCCCTAAATAACATCCAGATTGGTTATAAAAAGGTCATATTTTAATATATAGCTAGGCAATGCACAATATAGTAATGTGATTTGTTTATGTCTGTAAATGTAATCCATTTGATTATATTGTAGTTAGGAAATATAAGGAAATAATTATGTGGTTTCCTTTGGTTTGGAAACCCTGAATAAAGCTGTAATCTGTTTTGGCTGGGAATATAAAGAAATAACTCTGTCATTTGAAGATAATGCTCTGATCTATTTTTGCCTGGAAATATAGGGCAGTCATTTTATCTATTTACATTCTGGAGGAGCATATTGCCCTGATTTATGTCTCATGACTGGGGAGGTGGGTTATTCACAGAATTATATTCCCTGAATATTGCAGTGCTGTGAAATGAAACCCTAATTACAAAAATTAGGCCAAAGCAGTCTAGCTAGGGATATACCTATAGTGTGGGGTTTATTTACTAAACGGTGAATTGTAGCGACTTGCCAAACATAATGGCAAAATTATGGGCAAAATAGTTGGAGTCCAAAGAATTCTCCACGTTCGATTGTATCATAGATTTTGAAATTCGGTTTTCAATTCACCTAAAGCAATATTCAGAGAATAAATCTGCCAATTACTGTACATCTCACTGGGGAAGCTTAATGCAAGATTTGTGTTACCCTTCTGCTGGACAAATGAACAAATCATCAAGGTCTGAAATAATTAACCCTTTCAGGGTTTATGATGTCCTACTAAGAATACCCATTATATGTATATAATATCATGTCGTATATCAGATCTCTCTGTCAGTCTGTTTGTCTATCCATGCTAAATGATCTGTGCTGCAAACTTTGGCTGTGACCCCTGGAAACTGAATGTTTGTAAGCCAAAACTATTCTTAGTGAAATTCTAGGGAAGATAATATTGATTATTGTTATAGTTTTTAAGAGGCCAGGATACATTTAATAAAAGTTAAAGATGTGATAAAAAAAAAGTTGTATACTTGATCAGATCCTACACAGATGTACTAGATGTAGTCTCCCAAAGTATCAAACATGGAGTCCTTGCCAAGTGACTTTTTCAATAATGATTGCTGATCTGCTGATTGGAACACGCCTTAAATATAACCACTAGACATTTCGGTCTTGTGTCACATTCCCACCCACTCTTAAAAAAATCAAAATAAAACCACAATCTTTAGTTAGTGTGACTATGTTTAAATATTGACCAAAAAGGAAACAATATAGAATGATAAGTAACAAGTATCAGTATTTGAATAGTAGAAATTTTATATTAACCTCTTGCATGCTGTGGGGGGAAAAAGTTGTTAGTTTTCAGGGGGCGTGGTCTTCTCTTGATGTTGAATTGCAGGCCACTCTGGCAAGTGATGGGTTAATGTGTGCACTGCTGGGTCACTCTGATATCTTGTATATATGATTGAGAACAGATAATGCTGTCACCTTTATTGTCACTTACCTAGAAGTCTGCATTGCTCACTTCGCTGGTGTTAATAAATCACCGGATTCTGAGCCTGAGGCCTATAGGGCAATGGAGAATCCTGCATACCAAATACTTGGGAAGTGTCATTACTCAGATCGCTTTATATATGTGTGGAGGTAAAAGTGTCTCTCTGAATATTACATAGCGAGGAAATTAACACCTTGTCCAAGGATTTAAATTCTGTCAACTGCTTTCTGATTTGTATCTGATTTTTTTCTGTGTCACTGATTCACTGGTCTCTTTAATACTTACATATTTTTTGGCGGTTTTGGTGATGCCTCTGTGTGTAGTGGTGGTGGGGGGGAAGGGCTCACTGACCCAAGAGAAAATGCTCAAAGTAGTGATTTGTGTTCTACATGGTCCCATTAATGTACTCTTTGCTTTAAGCTCCTTGCAGACCTTTTCATAAATTACCTTATCTTTGCAAAATAGAACCACATCTTGTACCTTTCTCACAATACTTGGGTTTTATTACTTAAAAATTAGATGCAACTTCCCTGAACTGAGACACATTTGTGGTGAATATATTATTTTGTCACCAAGTGTAGAGACTTGTTTATAAATTGAAACAACTCAGATCGATAACAGCATTTATATATTCCTGGATAATGTTTTCCTCGTGATTAATCACATTAGGTGTATTCTGCTCTTTGAATAGATGTGCATTTTTAAATATAATTCACTATTTTGACCATTCCAAATAGTGTAACTATGAGTGTATTTACTAAATAATGCGAGTTTAAGCCGAGTCTGTCACTGTTTACAATTACTGGAATACAAATCACTCAACAAAACACGTTTGTATGAATATATAGTTAACTTGGAGTTAAGATTTAGAAAATGCACTGAAAGATAGAATAGCCCATGTTTATTTAACCCGGTTAGAATTTTACAAATGGGGTCTTGCTTCATTGTCAATGTAGTGGGAACATTATTGGTCTCAAACCCCAAAGAGCAGGGAAGCTTCCAGTTATCAGAAAACCGATAAAACACTTAAAAATATCTATAAAACTCAAAGTGATGTATCTATTGCGATTAAAAATCATATTTGAAGGTCCGTGGTCTATTATAGTAATAGTAGGCCCTGACTCAGAGCTAAAACGCATTCATTGATGTAACGTGGTAAAAGGTCCTGTTCAAATACTGTTGATCATTAGACTTGTCATAATTAAAGAAAAGTCACAAATAGTGCAATATACAGACAACCTTCAACACCAAGGGCTCTTAATTATTATAATTTTTTTTATATATATATATATTTTTTTTTTTTTGCACTGCATAAGGAGTTAACGCACAGGCTTGAGGTACCCCAACCAAGGGTTCTTTTAATGGAATATTTAGTATAATTTAGTATATTTTTCAAATTAGAACGCAAAATCCCCTGCTGTTTTGTTTAGATGTTGTGTGTTTAGTTTTTTTGTCCAGGCTCTGTTTTGTGTAGTTTTCCTTACACAGCGTGCAAAAAACTAATTTGCAGAACATTTGGTTATTTTCCAATCTGTTCCTGTACTGTCCCATGTGATCTATATTTTTGCATTTAAAAACTTCTTGCAGGATCACTTGGTACCCAAATCGGCTGTTGTCTTTCAGAATGTTATTTAAATAAGCGATAAAAATAGACCTTCAAACACGGAGGTATAAAACCCTTAAGTACACCCGTTGACATTTTTATTGAATTCTCTTTGTTCACACCTGCCCTCTAATCGTAAGTAATCACAAGCTATAAATTCAAACACACATTCAGTGAAAATAAATATTTCTTGGCTATTGAAATCTTAATAATCAAGATATTTATCCCAAAATCTATAAAACTGAAAAAGCTATATATTAGTTTGATTGATGTCTAAGACACTCATGAAATATATTTATTGGTTTAAATATTCTGATGATTGTAGCCTGACCTTATTCTTTAATCTGGGTGCAAAACTGCCCCTATTGATTACAAATAATTGTATTCACTGTTATTAGATTATATATTCAACATTCAAGTTAAAATAGATGAGGTTGTAACATTGTGTAGAGCTGAAGGTTTTATTAGAACTTTGCCTCTTAGGCCTAGCTAGCCCAACCAAAAGTTTAGTGAATAAACCTCAAATAGTGGATACATTATAGTGTATTATAAAACATTTATATGCTTGAATTAAAGAACACATTAATTTTTTTCCCCATTGACATTTGTATTCAGTAAGGAACATTAACACAACTTATACCGAATACAGAAATAATGACATGACGAAGAATGCAGTCTTATTTAAACCCTCGACTTTGCTTGTGTGAAAAAGAAAAAAACAAAACATAAAATAAGAACATAATAGATTTCTGACACATTTACTAAATACACAATTTTTGCAGATTCATGCAAGACCACATCCCACCAGTCTCCCACGCACTCAATGTTGGCTAGATAAAGAACCTATTGTGCTACAAGAGTAGCAATGCAATATGGAGACCATTAGAAGAATTGCTATTTGTTTTTACACTTTGTATGAGCAGTTACTACCATGAGGGGTACCTACCCACCTTCCTTTTATTAAGTAGTTACGCCATTTACCTGTTACCACAAGTAACACACATTAAACTCTTACAGAAGTCAGTCCTCAATCAGAAGTTGTCAGTTTGTCCCTGTGTGAAGTTGTTATGGTCACACAGCCCATAGAGAATTGAAACAAGCTGTGTTAAGTCCAAGGGAAGTTTGAGAAGTTTCAATGTATCACCTTGCTGATCCCCAGTAATCTTGGATCCATATTTGATTTCAGAGACAGAACTTGTAAAAGTGATTGCAATTTGAATTTCTCACATAGCAGGACATCTCAGAGTTGTTTGAGAATACTGGCTCCCCTTTCACGTCTTCTAAAGTGACTCTCACAAGCTGCAGGAAAAAGAAAAGAGTTCTAAGTGTTTCTTTCTTACAGAGCTTCTCAACAACTGTCCAATTATCCATTAATTTCGATCACTCTTCTGGTGCAAGGCTTAGCTTTTTGTGTTGGGTAGGCCATTCTAACCCTGATATTCATTAACCAGCAGTAAAATGATATGCACAAGCCAGAAAATCAGCTTTATTCAGCTTCTTAAACTACAAAGTGCACCTCAGAGATGCCCCACACCCACCCCAAATCCTGATAGATACTGGTAGACCTAGTTAGGCATTTAGAAATGGGAGTTTGAAGGTTTAAACCAGCATTTAGCAAATCGATTAGTTTCCTTCTAGTTTTTTTTTTTTTTTAGTTTTTTTCATTACTTAGCTATAAGCTCAACGCTTTACTTTAACACCTTGATAAATATTTACATTTCCAGCTATCAATAATATTTCTTGTACATGGATGTATTGCTTAAAATGTGTAGGAAAGGGGCGAATTGGCAGGTTTGTATTATAGGTTAATAGGATAGGATGTTACTAATTTCACATTTTGGACTTTGGACTCAATAGACCAAAGAAAAAACTAGACCCAAGATCATGGACCCAAGAACATTCTGATTGTTTTTAAAAAAAAAATAATATATATTTTGGAAAACACAATTTTGCTGTTGTCAAGTAATTATAGGCCCTTTAAGTTTCCAGCTAGGACACATGTAATGCGTGGGAGTGAGCAAATCTTCTCTAAGGGGTTCTAATGGATGCAATGTGCAGAGCTCAGTAATCAAACACTCTGGTCCTCATCTGGATCTTGGGATTCCATGGACTGATCTACTACTGTAAGTTGTACATATGTACAATACATATTATATACCTCCAATGCCATATTTCCAGTCTAAGATTAAGATCTCCCCACATTTTACAAGCACATTGTATAACAATGATTAATCACTTGATCTTTCCAGGTAACCTAGTGGTTAAATAATTAAGATGCCACCCTGTCTCTATACATGTACAATTTAAAAAAAAAAATGTTAAATATAATATTTGAGAAGGTGAATTGTTGCAGTTTAGCAAACCCCATTCCTTACCATTGCCTTTTAGAAATAAAAGGATTTAAGTTGACGTGGGACCACGTGAACATATAATACAGGCATTATTGTGGCATTTGAAGCGGAGACACATCTAGTCTATGCCTCTGATTACGCCTTTCCAGTCCCTCTAAAGAACAAGTGCTATCATATCACCCCTTCTGCAAGAGGGTTTTCTTTATTATACCATCCCTGATCCCACCAAGGATATATATCTCACTGGAAGACTGCTAGGACCCAATGCTTCCTTAGCAAGGATGGATTTTATTTTAAAGTATATTCCTTGAATGTTCATTAAATGGGTGAGTTATTGCTGTTCAGCCAAAGGTCAGTGGCAAAGCTTAAGGGTTTGATTTTTTTTTTTTTTTTTTGCTTCTCTCTAATAATAGGCTAGTTCTGTCTCCCTATCTATAGATGTATTTGTTATTTATCAATTGTGTTTTCTGGTATATTTTTGATGTTTAGTATTTTATAGATATTTATATATATTTTTGGCATGGGTTAAACTGTGTTTCCAGATTTGTCTATCCTTATTATGCAATTGCAATCAGGATAAAACCCGGTGATGCTGATATATACATTTTATAAAATAAATAAGAAATTAAGCAACTATTGTTGCATTTGTTATGGCTACAGTTTTATTAAATGCACATACACATTATGTGCCTTTTATTATATTTCTAATGAGGACATGGTATTTTTAGCATTGTTATATCCATATGACTATGCATATGCGTGTGCTGTTGTAAAATGACTAACATGGATCGTATTGTTATTTTTTTTTTCTGATTCCATACATATATTCTAAATTACACAGAGAAAAACCACCCACATTTTGTGTAATTTTTCTAAAACACCTTTAAGCTGAGCATTAAACGCGAAGCAAATGAAAATAGCCAGCCTGGGTTTATTAAGACACATATGCTATTTGTATATTCCTAGCAGTGATTTTTTTTTTATTGATATTGTTCAATGTGAGGAAAATAGCAAATAAATATGTTTATGTTCGAAACGTTGTCTGAAGGGTTATTGTGTACACGCACTAATGAGTGGCGCTTGAGGAGAGGTCAGAGTGCTGAGATTTGATTTATGTTGCTGGTGAATTGGGGCAGAGGATCCTGATAAGATGATGTTCTAAAATGCTTATCTATTCTGCCTCACAGAAGGTGGCACTTAGTACTGATATACACTATATATACTCTCTATATACAGAATTGTGTCGGTGTGATACAATGTTTCTGTTAGCAACTTAGACTGGTTTGATTGTAATATTCTGTGTTATGATAGTATGCAGCACCCTAATTTGTTATATTGTAGCCAGTATTTGTTATTTTTTCATATTTGAGTGAGAATTAGGTTGTTATTGTTGGTTTTTGTACTCACGAGAAATTATTGTTTTCTCTCAATGAATTTCGTATTATTATTATTATTATTGTCATTATTATTATTTTAACTAACGCTTTATAGATGAAGGTCTTTATTTTATGCTCTTGGCTCGGATCATGGAGCGAAATTAAACCTGCTATTACAAAACAATATTATACAAACCCATTCACTGACTGGCACATGTCTCTTCGTCACATAATACATGTTTTAGAGATTTTTTTTTCTAAATGGCTTCTGATATTTATTTGCTGGTTTATCTATCTATCTATCTATCTATCTATCTATCTATTATAGATCTGTATGGTATTATATATATATATGTATATATAAACCAAATTATAGAGCAAATTTTAATTGCATAGTTTATTTACTTTTTCACTAAACACCAACAACTATATGTACATTGATTAATTTATAACATACACGTGTTAGCTAAATAATTCATAGGAACTAGCAATCTTCCTAGCATTTTACGCACCCCAGCTAACCCCACACAAAGGATAAGGCACAGCAAGGTGTATGTATGGACCTCTACAGAACAGAACGCTGGGCTCAGGGCAAATAATATCTACCGAAAACTGAATGGGAGGACAATTTAAATGCATTCAAATAAACATCAGAGTTAGCTCAAGATGAATTGATTTATCATGCAGTTTATTTTTTCATTATAGTGCATCATATCCGCCCAGAAGAAAAATCTCCCCTCACCAGTCCCCCAACAATAGTAACAATGTAGAAATTCGCATGCACAGTTTTATTCACCATGAAATCCTCCATATTTTTGCCAAGTACATTACAGCCTTATATTTGTAAGATGCAAACTGGGAACCAGTAAAGGCTCAGTCTGGAAGGGTCTGATCTGCTCTGCTTTAGCATGTAAGGAGCTGACCTCAGGACTCAAAAGAAACTCAGATCAGCAATTTAAGAAGTAGTGGGGTGAATGATTGACCAAAGCGAGCTTTCATCAAATACAACGCTGAGTATTGGCTTAAATGAAAATGCACACGGGCACTTTTTTGGCTATTTTCCCCCTCCTACGCTAGATCTTTCCCCCCTTTCATGTGGTCTTATTGCAATATGCAGTAAGGAGCAAGCCTCTCTTCTTTGGTATCCCGTTAACAGCCTTAGTGCACGAAGCCATAAATCTTGCTGACCATAAATGACAAAAAAAAGCCTTTGGTATGCACAGAAGGCCACCCGGTCTTATATTCCTCTTTAGTTTAGCTTTGTTCAATGCATTGTGATTTTTTTTCAATTTTTTTTCAATTATGGTTATAATGGCTTAAAATAATTCCTTTATTTTTTCCCCCCAAATCTTTATGTTATGTTGTTAGCACCTGGAGTGAGGAAATTGTATCTGCTTTGTGCATATAATATCTGAAAAATATCCCTCAAATCCCCCTAAACCATACTGAAAGACCGTAATAATGGTATGGTATTCTGGCCCACTAAACAGATATACCAGCTGATGTGGTTTTAATTTCAAAGTAAGACAGGCTCTAAGAAACAAATGATGAAATGTGAAATATTACTGTGCTGGTAGATAAGACAGACAGATTGCTCACACTAAATATGTGATGCACATGCTATAGTGCCCAGTACAGAGGGGACAGTCCCTACTCTGCAATAAGCTGTATATCATTCAGTTCAAGTGCACAAGGTTTAATAATTCAATGTATTAACCCAGTGACTAGGCTAAATCGCTGCATCTCACAACACGTTAAAACGAAAGCTGCTTGTTCTATTGCAAAATAAGGAAGAAAACATGACGAAATAAAATAAGACTTGGAAAACAGATTTTTAAAAGACCTTTAGTCTATGACTGGCTTCATTAGCATAATTTTCCCGAATACCAGTGACGCCTCCTTTAACAGGATCTTAGAACCTCCTCCCTCCATTTTTTTTTCATGTTATTTTATTTTTCTTTCCATGTATAACCCATCTCCCTAGACTTTAAATTTCTTTCTCTTTTCTCGCCCTTTCCCACATCCCTGTTCCCACAAGAATATACTCCTTGGAATCTAGAATCCTTCAGCACAAGATATTTGTAAGAAACCTACCATTTTTTAATGGATGTATATTTGGAGTGCCCAGTGAGTTGATATCTCTTATCTTTGTGACCGGGGTCGCCCATATGTAACCTTAGGGGGCTGTCCAATTTTTTTTGGCAGACATTTCTTCTTCAGATTTCCTGAGTGCTGTTTCCATCCTGGGGTCCTGTTGTGCTTGTTGCCCGTAGGTGAGGGAGCTTTAGACATCTATCCTTGGACCCCTTTCTTCATGCCTAGGAATTAGTTGGGAGACCCAGATATGCTGGTTCTGGAGTCAAAGTGGAGACTAGAGTGTTGTGTTCTGCGTCAGTCGTCAGAAACTAAGGTAAGCAGGCCAAAAAATCCTATATCACTGCTGAATGGTGGACTTTATGTCCTAGTGATTTATGGCCATAGTCTTAAATCTCGGTTCAAGAAGAGTTCACATGCTGAAGCTTCCTTTCAAAAAAGTGACTGATACGTATAGTTTGCCAATTCAGACTGCTTTCTTTCTCCTCTCAGCTCCCCTGCATATCCTACTAAATCTGGAGGGATTGATTTTTTTAATGTTTTTAATTTTATTTGTATTCTTTCTGTTCTTTTTTTTTACTCCGAAAGAGATTTTTTTTACTGAATGCAATTTTTTTTTCTCGAGAATTTAAAAGCCCAAACAAACACACACTACTCACTGGCCAGTGGCATAACCACTTGACATTGAATGATACATTGTTTATTAAATAAATGGAAGTAAGATTATAAAAGTTAAAACATAATAGACTTGCCAAAATGAATGCAAAGTGTTTTAGAAAGTGTTGTACAAAACAATATGATACTTATGTGTGAGGTTTTTAAAAAATAAATATAAATTATATATATAATTTTTCAAACGCCACACATAATTTTCTTTTGTGGATTCCTTAATTTGAAATAATAATAATTTAATGGTTGATTATCTATCTTTCTATCTATCTATCTATTTTACATTGATATAAATCCGATTTGTATTCATTATTTTATATTATTCTCAGTTTTCTGTTTATTGTTGATAGAGGCCCGGTATTTCATTTCATTGTAGTTTAGGCTAATGATATCTCTTTTCCATATGCTTTTCATTATACTGGCTATCCTTCAGAAGTCATTTATTTTTTATTTTGCATATATTTGAGTGTGTGTACCATAGCCTCTATAATGGCTAATATATTTTTTTATTTACACTTTCTGTCTTCCAGCCCATATAAATACTAATATACTCATATAAATCACCCAAAGAGAGACACTGATTTCATTTTCTTGTTTTTTTTATTTTTTTTTTTTAAATTTTTTAAATAATATTTTAATTCTGAGATTGTATTTTTTATTTTCATTCACTAAAGCAAATCACACATTTATATAAACCCAAATATTCGCTTTGGGCCTATTGCTTATTGTAAAATAATAATATTGCTTATACAAAAAACTTTTTGTGTGTTACAACTCTTTCTGTGGCTACATAATTAAAGAAGTATCATGTTTAATTATGCATAAAGAGCATAATTTTTTACTGCCATTTGTGCATTATATACATTAAACAGATATATAAACAATAATTCTTTAATAAATGAAATAAAATTATTAATAACGATTATATATTTTAAGGATTACACATCAATGATTTTATAAAATATATAATATTATAATTCCCTTTTAGCTTGATGTAAACTAACTAACATGTCGGGTTTTTTTTTGTTTTGTTTGTTTTTTGTTTGTTAATAATCGTTTTATTTACTTTAAGGGACATTCTGCCTGCTCTGCTTTTTGTGTCCTGGCTAAGTTTAAATAGTTATTTGGAGATAGGTAAACATTGAGATTTAACAATAGATAGACAGGATCTGCCGAGTATTTTACGGTTTGTGTTTCCATCATCTAGTCTCTCGCTAGCCAAATGACCCCCATACATCAAATTGCAGAGCAGTTGCAGAGACAGAACCTATTATCGTTAGGGGCTGCACAGAAAGTTCATGCCGTGGTCATGGAGATGAACGCTGGTTTTTCTGGTTCCTGGTGTTATTTCAAATCCATCATGTTTTAACAGGTAGAATGTGTAGATCTGACGAGGGCTGCCCTAAATCACAGAACTTTGTATTCGAATTTTAAATTATGAATAAATCTACATCTATCTAATTTATATGGAAATTATTAGGGGTATGTAAGCATTTTGGTTTTCAATCTATCTATCTATCTATCTATCTATCTATCTGTCTGTCTCTGTCTGTCTGTCATTCTGTCTATCTATCTATATAACTATCTTTTCAGTATATTTTTATTGTCCTGAGTTTATTGCTGCTTTTATTTTTGCTATACAGCCGTTTACATGGCTACAGTTAGATACCTACTGTATAAGTGGCTTTTTTTTCTGTTGGTCTAAATACAAATATGATCTTTTAGGCCTTGTGCTTAGAAAGCAGTATCTGCTGGCAGATAAACGATTGTTAGCTGAATCAATATTGTGCAATGCTTTCCAATCCACTTTTTATTTATATAGAACGAGCTGTGGTAGCAGGGGTTATCATCTTAACAAGCGATTTATCATATCCTTGGACGTGTACAATTGCACCATTTATTATAGTGTAACTTTAACTTGTAAATAATATACAGTAATAGCTTCACTGTCTGTCTATCTATCTAGAGGGAATCTAAAAGTGTGTGTGTGTGTGTGTGTGTGTGTGTGTGTGTGTGTAATATATATGTGTGTGTGTGTGTGTGTACATTTTCTAACATGTATATGTTCAGCTAAGTGTACATTACATTAATTAATAGTCTATATTGTTTATATATATATATACACACACACACACACACAGTACTATAAATACAATATAAATATATATATATATATATAGTATGAATGTGTGTGCTTATATTTCTGTGTGTGTGTGTGTGTGTATTTTGATGTGTGTGTATCTATGTATCTATCTTAATATACACATTTATTTCTTTAATTATAAAGATATAGATGTATGTATACTATATGTATCCCAGACACAGATGCACTGTGGGCAGATAATGTATTACTTTTTACACACACTGTATCCCAGCAGAGATGACAGAATGCCTGTGTGTAATGTGAGTAATGCAGGCTGGGATGCAGTTATTCAGTACACATTTAACTGCAATTTGTGGCCAAATGTGAATTAGTTGGACGTTAGTGAGAAGCCCTATCATCTTAATACACACTTCTCAATATTGCTGAACACTTTTTCCTTTATGGCTTTCATGTCACTGAGCTATTGTAAGTAAGATGGATCTCTCCTATTTCTTCACTGTAGTATGCCTCTTGTACACACAGGTCTGACCAGGGCGCCCATTGGAGGAGGAGAGCCACGTGACTCAGGGGTGCCAATGTTATTCTTTACGGGTGTCAAGACCCTGTCAGTTTGTGAAATAAATATTGGGAAACAACGAAATGCAAAAAGCGACCTACTACGACAGCTCTGCAATCTATGCTGGATACCCTTACCAAGGAGCAAATGGTTTCAGTTATAATGCAAGTCAGCAGCAATATCCTCCTCCTTCATCATTGCTTGATACAGAGTATCATCGCCCAGCCTGCTCCCTGCAGTCACCTGGCAGCACTGTGCCACATCACAAGGCCAATGACATCAACGAAAGTTGTATGAGAACCATTAACACTCAATCAAGCCAATCCCAGGTCATCTCAGAGCAGCAGCAGCAGCAGCAGCAGCAGCTCACACCACAAGGGCCCCCTCCCTCTGTGTCACCACCTCAAAATGCCAGTAACCCGGCCACAGCTTCCACCAACAAGGCCACAAACATTGCCTCACCTACCATGTCAAAGCAGATTTTTCCTTGGATGAAAGAATCTCGGCAAAATACTAAACAGAAAGCAGGAAGCTCCAGCTCAGGTAATCTGCAGCCACTATACACTTAATGGTAGGGGAAAGGGACGGACTTGGTTACATTTGGTTATTCCTGTAAGGGGACAGGGTCTTTGTAAAACCTGCTGTTCAGGCTGAAAAGTTCTGTTAACCTCTGCAACTTTAGAGGGGATGATGGAATACTGCCTTTGTCACTGTGATGATTGAGTTAAGTGCTTGTAACCTATTCAATACCAGGCTGGAGACTAACGTATGGATCTGCAACACTGCACACTCACATAGAGAAACACACACACACACACACACACACATACTGCACACTCACATAGAGAAACACACACACACTCAAATAGAGAAACACACACAAACACACACACACACTAACACACACAAACACACACACAGACACACACACACACACACACACACAAACACACAGACACACATGAAAACGTTAAATATTTAGCATTTTGCTCTACATGGATAGGAAGAGCTGTGGCCCAAATGCAGTGATTCAGTCGATTGCTGTAGCTCATTCTTCCTCAAGGGATGGAAAGGGTTAAACATGTATAATGAAGTAAGAAAGGTACTAGAGTCCCTTTGCACTGACCCAATGAAAAATGATTTAATTAGGTTTCAATACGAATTTGCAGACACTGCATGAGGATATGCAAATCCAGGGTTGCTTCCAATTCGTTCTTGGTAATTTGACCCCATCAGCTATCTGTAATGGAGCAGTATTGTGACTGGGTTTTCGAACATTCGAACTGGATCTGAATTGAAATGAAATTGTTCAGCCAACATTCTGTCTTACAATCCACAGTTCAGACTTTGTGGTGCTGTAATGACGTGTGGCTATACAGGAAGTTGTCAGATTGTGGTTGTGGTGTATGGTATATACTACCTAAAAGCACATTTTAATGAGTTGCTGTAAATATTTGAAGGTGTAACGCTCTCTTATTCTAAAAAGTATGTTTTTAGGGCTTTATTCTCTTAACGGCGAATTATGGGAAGTGCCAATTGACTATTTATTGAGTAAAATATAGATCAAAAGACATATTTGAAAGAAAGTCACGGAAACGGTCATTATGACCAGAGTTTTGTCAGTTTTAATACTTTGGTCTAAATCTTTGAAGTGTAGACAGTGGATACCACTTTAAATCCTTGAACTGTAGTTTAAGAGTTAATATGCTCCTTTTTGGATTTTATTTGGATGAACCCTGACAGATTTTATTGTCAATATTATCTCATTATAGCAATGTTTTTACAACGTTGTGGACTCCTAAAAGATTTGTAGCAACCAAGGGGTAATTTACAATGAATTAAATATAAAATAAAGTTAAAGTAATGGAATAGAGAGTTTATGTTCTATTTTTACAATAAGACACTATATCTCAAATTTCCCCAAATATCATTAAAATATTGCACTCTTTGAAATAGTTCTAAAGTAACAAACTGGTTCTGTATGTGGAACTGAAATACAGCCAGACAACACGTTGTCAGACTTCAAGCTGTGATAACGACAATTAATTTATATACAATTATTAGAGTAATTAGATTCCAGCTAATATAGATTCACACCAAACTGGAACTATATTGAAGCCTCACCTTGGATGATTTACTAACAGAAAAATATTAATTTGACCATTAGAGGTGGGAAATCAAATGTGACAAGGCTTTGATTATGATAATACCCAGATTCACATATTAGCAAGGTGGTAATTGTTTTATACCATTGTCTGTATTTCTTCTATTTGATAATTAGCACAGCCCTGCAATCGCTGAAAATAGGTAATTTTTAAATAAGGTTATGTTTTTTGACTTCTGAACTGGGTCCAAAATTTGAAAAAATGGCACACAAAAAAAGATAGTCTATTTAATCAAATTGGATATATATTTTTTTCAGTCTAATATTTTGTCCTGTATTTTTGGAAGTCAAATGTCAATTCTTCATTATTCACTGTTTAGTGAATATAGTCACTTCGTTGTAGTGACCTCTTCATATTGCAATTTGCTCAAAATTGAGAAAATAACTTTCCAATTGCTCCTCTCTGTTCCATCTTTCCCACCATTAATCTTTCTTGCCTCCCTGCCTCTCAATTCAATATACATTAACCTCTTCTCCCAACTCACTCATATACTCATATACCCTCCTAGCTCCTCCTGTGCTCTCTTTCTCCCCCTTAATGCTTACAAAAGGGAGTAACCCTTTGCACAGAACATGATACTTTATTGCCAACTATGTGGCCAGTACTGCTTACCTTCCTCAGAAAGAGAGGACTGGACATACACATTGAAGCAGTGGATGAACACACCCACACTTCTCCAAAATGGCTGCATTAAGCAAATGATATGCAGAGGCCTATTCTGTCTGGAGAAGGACTCTTAGAGAGGCGTATACACTAGAGTAAAAAAAATAATGGAATCAGTGCAAGCACAAAGTACAGCTTAGAATATTTAATGGCTTCATATCTTTTTTGATAAATATGGAGCTTCGGTCACACTATTCGGTCATATTGTGCTATCACCCACAATGCCTCATATTAGTGAATTGCAAAACAATATGTGGGGGGAGTAATCTGCATTGTATTAAGTGCTGTTACAGAGGCTAGAATTCCTACTTTACAATTTACTATATATACACTAAATGCTAAAATACATGTCATAAATACCCATTGTACAGCGCTACGGAATTTGCTGGCGCTATATAAATAATAAAATAATAAAAGTCATGTGTCTTAATTCAGGGTTTATTTGAATTGATTTAGTGGCCAGAAAATGCATTGTTTTATAGTAATGCATATAAAGTGTAGAATAAACTGTGACTTAGTCTACAATAATATATTAAATCCCATGACTGAATTCAATTTTCCCATTTGAAAAAAATTAGTTTATTAAGTAGTTTTGTGTAAATGCAGCACTGATTTTTGAAAAATTATCATTATTTTTACATTTTATTATTGCATAATCATTACACCAGCTCCTCTAAGTAAACAATACATTCCCTGAGTAGTGCTTATCCCTGGCTTTCTACCTGTGAAGAGGTCAGGCACTCAGTATACAGAGTTCTCAGTGTAATATTTTGTTAAATTGTTAAATAGTGTAGAACGTTCACACACACAAGCCCTCTTGTCCATCAGTCATTTATTTATGAGTGTACACTTAATCAGTGATAACGTTTTGACCAGCTCTCTGGTTCTTGATCAAGTCATTATGATAAAGTCATTGGAGATGGCTAGAACTTTGTGACTGCTGATATATATACTCTGGAATGAAGGATTGCTCATACAAACATGCAGGGAGCCAGATATTCCTTATTATGAAAATGTTATTATTGTTAGATTAGTTTAGAATCATGGGGATATGTAGTTAGCCAATGGTTAGATGGCTAAAACGTGCATTCTAAAAGCTACATAGATAAACCAGAAGGGCTCATGAATATTGTAAACTGGGTAATAGTTCATTCATTGTCTTCCTGTTGTTCTCATGCATTCACAAAGCCAAAGCTTTATATCTGCTATAGGCTGCAGCTCTGATGGTTCTCAAACAGAGGTCGTTTATATTATGATTTTTACGGTAGGAAACCAATTCGACTGTGATTTCAGATAATTGAAGATATTTTTTCAGAAACATGTACATTTATTAGAGAATTGTACAGAAACTGTGAAAAACAAACAAACAGAATGAACAAAACACACACAGTTTTGGCAATAATATATTTTTGATTGATGATAATGTATGATGTTATGATGTGAGCTTCCTCCATGGTATTTGCCTATATTTAATCATTAGGTATCTAATAGAGTACTGGATCATCATACAACACATATTTGTATTTGTATATTGATAAATGTGACACCTATCAAAATGATTGACTTTTTATTAACTGACAGTGATAAGGGGTAATTGAATGATGTGAGGTGCAGTTACACTATATCATTGTTAACCTGAGCCTTCTTAACCCTTTCTCTGCCAATAGACTTTCCTGTAGACCCTTGCCTGGCAGTTAACCAGTTAATGATAGAGGATGACTCAGGCTGATAGTGCTGTCTGTGTATATGAAGGTGTGCAGGTGAGGGTGTGTGTGTGTAATCAGAAATCCAGATCAACGTTTGTTGATGTTTTGCTCTTGTGTGTTCTCTTGCAGGTGAGAGCTGTGCTGGGGACAAAAGCCCTCCCGGGCAATCTTCTTCTAAGAGGGCCCGCACCGCTTACACAAGCGCTCAGCTGGTAGAACTGGAAAAAGAGTTTCATTTTAACAGATACCTGTGCAGACCCAGGAGGGTGGAGATGGCAAACTTGCTTAACCTAACAGAGAGGCAAATCAAAATCTGGTTCCAGAACAGGAGAATGAAATATAAAAAAGATCAGAAGGGAAAATCTATGATGACGTCTTCAGGAGGACAATCACCTTGCAGGAGTCCTGGACCACCACCATCTATTGGAGGATACCTAAACTCTATGCATTCACTGGTGAACAGTGTACCCTATGAGCCTCAGTCCCCTCCTGCGTTTAACAAACCCCATCCAAATGCCTATGGTGTACCTGCACCCTACCCCAGCCCCCATAACACCTGCCCACCCCACCAGAAGAGGTACACAGGAACTTCTGCAGTCACACCTGAGTATGACACCCACCCTCTCCAAAACAGCGGTGGTTATGGGAATCCTCACGTACAGGGAAGCCCCGTTTATATAGGGGGCAATTATGTGGATACCATGACTAATTCTGGGTCCTCCATGTTTGGTCTATCTCACCTCCCCCATGCTAATTCTAACATGGACTACAGTGGCCCAGGACCAATGAATAGCAGCCACCACCATGGACCATGTGACACACATCCAACATACACAGACTTATCTTCTCATCATAGCTCTCAGGGAAGAATTCAGGAAGCACCTAAACTGACACATTTGTAATTAGATTGGGAAATCAGTTGCCTTTTTTTTTTTTTTTACATATTTTTTTATCCACGTCTTAATTTTGAGTTAATGACTTTATTTTATACTATCCAGTTGTTTTGTTTTGTTTGTTTTTGGTTTTATTTTGGGCAATCTACATTGCTATCTGGTATGTATTGTCCTGCAAATCTCCTCCTGGACCAGTTCTATTTGTATTTTATTCTACACTTTTATCAAACAGGGTAAATAAGCATATTTTATATGAAAAAAAAAAAAAAGAAAAACGTCTTAAATGTGAATTTGTTCGTACATTTCTTACACAGCTGGGAAACGAGTTATTATTGCACTTCTTTTAACCTATTGAGGCCCAGGCGAATGAACATTGCAGTAGAACACCCTTGCAAATCAATAGTCATTCATCTGACTCTCAAGTGGTTACATTTAAAGACAAAAAAAAAAAAAAAATCGCTTGGGCAGGGTCATCTTGGATCATAATTATAGTTGTAAGTCATTTAATATGTGTATACTGGTGCATATACTCCGGTTAATTTATTGATTTTTTTTTCTACAAACAGAAATATCAAACTGTTTACATATTATTTATCCCATCGTTTATATTTATAAACAATATATATCTTAAATATTCAGGTCGTGGTACTAGCCTTCTGTTAGATGGCGTTATACAGGGAGTGCTGTTTGAAATAAATCTCTTGAAAGATGCAATAAAATCTGAGAGAAAAAATAATAATAAAAAAATGTCAAGACAGACAATTTGTATACTTGCTTTTAAAAATTCTATTGGTAGAATCTACATCTCTGCCTTTTGAATGGAACTTAGGACGTATAAAAATAAGGAAACGTATTGAAGATAATTCTTAATACAGCATGGGATTGATCACAATCATAGGAAAACATGATTTAGGTTAAATGGCTGAGATTTTTGCATTTTAAAGATTGTTACCTTGTAGAGCAAGCTATGGCATGGGGAAGACTATCCTCTGGTAAAGGCACAGGGTTGTAGACATTGTCTTTGATTTCAGTTGCTAGTGATTGATAAGATGCCTGATAATGGGGGTGCAATAGGTAATAGCTTAGTGCTGATGGCCTCTTATTCCATGTTGAGATCAGTTTTATTTTACAATCTGCAGCCCCCTCTCCCAGCATCTGCTCCTCTGGAATGGCTTCCTTCTGGAGATATATGAAAGAAACTAAGCATTTTCCTCCTACACTTTCTTTCCACTGGCGATTCAGTGGGTGGTTTTAATTATTATCAAACAAGAGGCTAAAAAAAACTTAAAATAGGTTTCTGAGTGAAGTGACTGTGGGCGCACACACATTTTCACACACATGCACATACACACAAAGAGACAGATACATACATGCAGACACATACAGAGTGACAAAGTAACACATTTATAGGGCTCCCCTATTCTCTCTGATTGATAATTTGTTCGTTTATAAAGCACAAACTGAAGTGAGGTTTACATCTGCTCTTCTAACAACTGAAAGCACAAAAGATCACAAATGATATATTTGGAATTTGATTAACTAGTCTCCTCATATGGTATTGCTATTAATCATCCCATCCCCCACACTCCCACACTCAAGAATGAGCAAAATCTAAATTCAGAGACACAACCCTTATTCTGGACCATGCTTAGAAATCAAATATAGAAAATCAAGTCAATTGCACCTATAAATGTAGTATAAATGTAATATATGCAGAGTTGTCTGTGTCTGTGTGTGTGTATATATATATATATATATATATATATATATATATATATATATATATATTTATATATAAATTATACACAGACACATATATATTATACACATGTATATAAGGACTCACACACAGTTGTTTAGGTTTAATTTATTAATTAAATATTTACAGACATATTTTCTCTCTTTCACACAAACACACAAACACTACACAGATTACACATTATGTAAAAACATAATTTCATACAATAAGTATATTCATATCAGCATTAGAAACATTCACACAGAGAAGCAACGGAAGCAGTTGAAATATTTTTTGACAAAGAGATTTATTGGAAATTAAAAATTAAAATTAGACATACTAAAAAACGAGTTATACAACAAATTAGCATTACAAACAGTTAATACAGGCAATATATTTAAATAATGTAAAATGTAATCAATCAAATGAGTGTATTTGCGTTAGATAATCCGTATATTATATTTTCCATTTCACTTACTCTATTTTCACATGTGAAATAACTGCATTTATTTTTGATGACGATATTAGTTGTTAAAAATAGACCGCACACAAGATATGATTTAGTAAGCGATGGCCGATAAACAGAATAATTACTCGAATTACAGTTAATATAATCTACTCAGAGAGAGAGAGAAAAAAAAAAGCGAAATCTTAAAAAAACGACTGAAGGAAACTAAAATAAAATAAAATATTAATATAGTTTCACCACTAAAATCAGTTTAATATGAGCGAATGATAAAAAACAAAACAAAAACAAAAAACATATATATAAATAAATAATCTAGTGCGTTTGTTTCGTATTGACAGACATACTGCATTGTTTATGCCTAGATACCTGGCTACCATATGTCATTGGCACAATTGACATTGTTTCAATCAAATATAATACCTCTGACGTTTTCTGTTCTTTATCTGAAAGTCTAGTTAGACATTAGATACATTTTACTCGAATGTTTAATTTCTTTATACGAATAATGCATTAGGTTTGATGTGTGTGTGTGTGTGTGAATGTCTGTGTGTATAGTAAAATCCTTTGTTCCTTGCTTCACAGACCCAATGAGCAAAGAAGAGATTGCAAGAATACCCACACCCACATTCATTTAGTCAACAAAGCAACCATTAAATCTCAAATGATCAGGCTATCTCCCATTCCCTCCAATATCCCACATTTTAAAAATAATCGTAAGTACCATTATTACCCCTATTTCGTAGAATGTGTGTGGATATAAGACAAAGGCAAAGGTGCAGTACCTGTGCGTCAGGGAGACAAATACATATCCGAGCTCACAAAGGAAAGGAAAGTAAAAATATTCTCTTCTGTACTTGCATTTCTTACTCAAACTGCTTTCCCAGTAACATATGATCTTGGAAGAAACAAGAAGCTTTAAATGTGATCTTTAAGGCCAGAAGCTGTCAAGCCATTTGGCAAGCAAGATTGATCACACACAGACTTCCTTCCAGCTTTGTTTGGAGTATAAGCAAGAAAATTAAAAACCTTCCATCTAAGTCCTGTCTTTCTCTCTCCAAAGCCTGGAACAAAAATGCAAAAAGAGTTTATTTCACTAAAACACAGCCTAGGATCTCTCCAATGTTTAAAATATCTCAGCATTTTATGTTTACACTTAATAACTGTCTGCCTACCTAGATTTGTATGCTAGTGTCTGTGAATGCAAACAGATTTTATATATATATATATATATATATATATATATATATATATATATATATATATATAAATCAAAATAGATAGTGTGTGTGTATGTATATATATACATTTATTTATAGTGAGGATTATGCTTATGAGGAAGTGTACCTATAATTTTTCACATATCAGGAGGTATAAATGTGTTTAAGTAATAATATATACACACACAAAACATTAATAAGGCACCTACCTTTATTTATCTTATGTTTACAGTCAATGCATTATTTATGGTCATCGAATAAAGCTAAATGAAGTGTGTATGTGTATATATATTGGTGTATTATATCTGATTGCGTGTGAGAAATATTAGATTTTGCATATTTATATGTTTAGTACACACATATCTATGTGTTTGTGTGTCTGAATATATGATTGTGTATTAGTATATGCCTATATGTATATGTCTATATCTGTGTGTAAATGGTTAATATTAGCATACAAATAATTTATCATCAATATTTTTGCAACAGAAGTAAATTAAGTAACATGCACATATTTTTGATAGGGTGTGAAACCTGACACCGTGTGTTAAATAATAGCCATGCATTCTAGTTTAAAAGCTACACTAAGTTCACATTTTTGATGAAAACAGAAAAGAAAAAAAATGTAATAAATTATTTAAAGGGCAGCAGCACAGATAGAGCATAAAGAGACAATAGTGCATTTATTTAATGAAAGCACTCACCTTGTACTGTCTATTCACAGAACACCCATCTACCTTTGTTGTTTGTTAATATTATGTAGCAAGTTCCCTTATGTTTTTTTTTCTGTTCAGCCATTTTGAAGTCTATTAAATTCACAGTCAGAATCTTCCTCTCGCTTCCCATATGTGCTTTCATTGCTTACAATGGGATCTGTGCCTAGTCCATTGCTGAGTGTACAGTAGAGAAATATATAAATATATATATATATATATAAAAATATACAGCTATATATAGAGATACACTTCATGCAGTTAACAGTTAAACCTACAATCTCTAGGAAAAGTGCAGCAAATGATTGTAGATTCTGTTTGAGTGAAACTCCTTATTTATCTTTATTGGTAGAGTCTTTGGTGTCAAAACTTAGAAGATTAATGGATTACATTGTTAATGACTTAAGGCGTCAGATTTGGGTTCTTAAATGATTTGTGAGGCTTAGAACGCCTTTCTGGTAGAAACAATGCAAAGGGACAGGAGTTACAAGCAGGGGCAGGCAAGAGAAACCAAACAACACACAAATATAAAATATATATATTTCACAAGGTTCTATATTCTTCTGCATGTAAATAAAACCTTGCTGGCTTACAATGAGGCGTTCCTTCAAGACTTTTTTTTTTTTTGGATCAATCACACAGACAGTGGCTTCTTTTGATTAAACCCCAAATTGTCATTGGGCAGGAGCAATCATGTGACAGCCAATTCGGTCCAATTTCAACCTTGTCTCCATGAATTCAATAGTTTAATAGTAGCACAGTCCCCATACGGCTGTAATCAGTGAATTAGAAAAAAAAACTGCAAAGGATTTTTATGATTTTTTTTTTTTTACTTCATTGTTGCAGGGCCTTTAAACCTAAAAGTAGGGGCTAACTTTTTTTAAAAGGCTTTGAGGAGAGGGCCATGAATTACGAATTTGAGCGAGAGATTGGTTTTATCAATAGTCAGCCGTCGCTTGCTGAGTGTCTGACATCTTTCCCCCCTGTCGGTGATACATTTCAAAGTTCATCAATCAAGAATTCTACGCTTGCACACCCGACACATATTCCTCCTCCTTTTGAGCAGACCATACCCAGCTTGAATCCAAGCAGCCACCCTCGCCACAGCCGACCCAAACAGAGCCCAAATGGGAGCAGTGGTAGCCCAGTGCCAGCAGGATCCCTGCCTCCGGAGTACCCCTGGATGAAGGAAAAAAAAGCCTCCAAAAAGCTTCCTTTGCCTCCAGTCTCTGCTGTCCCCACCAACACTGCAGCATGCTTCAGCCACAAAGGTCAGTGTCCTGCCTGCAGCTTCCCAGCCAAGACTTGGGATTTCAAAATTATCCAGGAGCTAAGGAGATTTTCGGGAGGGCGACTTTTAAATTATTTTTATTTCTAATTATTTTTGAAAGTATTTATTTAATTATTTTCTCACTGTTTTGGATGCTATTTTTTTTTATTTTATTTTTAACGTGCCACAACGTGGCTATTTCTGTATTATCCACCACCCCAACCACAACACCATGCCTTGAAAGTTAGGTTTATCTTGCAGTAATTAATAGATGGTTACCGCTCTGCTAATTTGTTTTTAAAAATAAAGAACTGGTTAATTAAAATATCATGATTTGTAGATATGGAATTAATTTTTAAGGATTATTTTATTTATTTTCTCTATATTTTTTTTACATTTATTTTTATAAGTGTAAAAAAACATTTTTTTTTTCTTAGCACACAAAATTACACAAAGAGAGTGTTGCATACTGGGCGGCCATTTTGTTGCAGTGGAGAGAGCGATCTGTAGTGTATTTAGAAAGAGAAATCTAGAAATTGTGTTGTTTTTCTTATCTGATGGGTGACTGCTTGTGTGCTTTGTGGTTTTTGCAGAAATCATTGAAATTCAGGACAACAGCAGCTCAGGATCCAGGAGACTGAGGACAGCTTACACTAACACTCAGCTTCTAGAGTTAGAAAAGGAATTTCATTTCAACAAGTATCTGTGCAGACCAAGGCGAGTAGAGATTGCTGCTTTGCTGGATTTAACTGAGAGGCAAGTAAAAGTCTGGTTTCAAAACAGGAGAATGAAGCACAAAAGACAAACCCAGTGTAAGGAGAATCAGAATGGAGAGGGGAAATTTAAAAACCTGGAAGACTCCGAAAAGAGTGAAGATGATAAGGAAAAGTCTCTGTTTGAGCAAGCCCTGAATAATGTCTCTGGAGCTTTGCTAGAAAGGGAAGGGTACAGTTTTCAGCAAAATGCTCTGTCTCAGCAGCAGGGCCAGAACTCACATAATGGAGATTCTCAAAGTTTCCCAGTTTCCCCACTATCCAGCAATGACAAAAATCTGAGACATTTTCAACATCAATCACCCACTGTTCCTAACTCTTTATCAACAATGGTACCAGAGTGTGCAGCTGGACTCAGCAACGACAGCCCAGATACCTTAGATGATGTTGCATCTCTCACCGACTTCAATGTATTTTCCACAGATTCCTGCTTACAGCTTTCTGACACGGTTTCTCCCAGTTTACCAGGATCTCTCGATAGTCCAGTAGACATTTCTGCAGACAGTTTTGATTTTTTCACAGATACATTTACCACAATCGACTTGCAGCACCTCAATTACTGAAACATTTTAAGATTAAACTGAATTATGCCCCCCCTCCCCCCCACCATCCATTACCATGGTTTTACTGATCAGAGTTGTTTTTCTCTTTTTTAATTTAATTTTTTTTTTTTTTTACTAATGAATTGCATCCAACAGCCATTTCCCTATTTAATTACAGAGCATTGAAAGCAATAATTGAGGCCTCAAAGAAAGTGATTATAACTAAAATGTATCCTCACTTTCTTTTTATTTTTGTACTGCGTTAGAATGCGTTGTCATATAAGTATTTTTGGTAGAATAAATAATTATTTCCCAAAAGTCCATTTTCTTTTTATTCCCCTCTCAGTCTGAAACCACCGCCATCATTATGCATTGAACCCCCCTCCCCACCCCCCAAAAAAAACAATCACAACTTGCACCGAACGGTTACGACTGTTGAGTGTGTAAAAATATTTATTATAGATCTATCTAATAATATATGTATATATTTTTTATTCTTTATAATTATTTTTCCAAAAAACAAATTGCAAAAAAAGTTTAGACATTAAATATTTTTTTTCAAAACCAATGTTTTTAACTTTTTATTAATATGTTAACACGGTACATTTCAGATAAAGATTGAAAAATTCAACATGTTTTTATTTAATGCAAAAGGAAGATGGGACTATATATATATATATATACATATTTATATATATAGTACTATGCAAATACAAAATGGCTTCTTGTTCATTAATGTGATTTAATTTCTCTCGGACGATCTCGATCAAAATAACCTATAAAATAATAATAAAAAAAACCAAAAAAAAATATTTGAACCGATTAAACTGCTGTGAATGGGCATTTAAGAACAAAAAAACAAAAAAAAAATATTGTTTATATGGCTGTTACTCCAAGTCCTTTGCAGGATGGAAAGTTTAAATTCACTCATACAAGTTATATCACCCTCATTGTATATGCATACACATTCTATACATACATATATAAACGAGCACAAACATACACAGGTGCCCACATTACGTACGTACACACACACACACACACACGCACATATATATTTTTATGTGCAATATTTTATGTGAATATATATGCGTTCCCAGAAGCTGTTTGTTTATGTATTGCTGAACACAACACGTTAGAAGGCAGCTACAATAACTAGACAGACTGGATGCAATTCTTCCTAAACTCATAAATCAAATGCTCTCTATGAATGAAAATGTCATCATCTATATCAATTGCAGTAACTTGCACACAAATAAAAAAAAAAAAAAAAAAGAACTCTTACGTATTAGTCTGGACTGGGGATTCCATCCAGAAGGTTTGGGCTTGAAGGCGTTTAGCCATAATTCATTTTTATTGCTCTATTTAAACAACAGCTTGACTTTACTGAGGCTGTAGCAATACGACAGAAGCGTGCACCAATCTCACCATTACTGTCTGTGGGGGAGGACTGAATCTGCAGCTAAGATTTCTTTCAATAATCCCAGCTCATCATTAAAATACAAAGCAATTGGCAAATGCAGAGAAGCGTTTTACAACTTTTATTACATAAATAAATGCAGTAATCAGAAAACAGACAATGTAAGAAAAAAAAATAGCTGCAAAAGTTTTATCACGTTAAATAGTAATGGAAGCAACATGCTTTTTTTTTTAGATAACACATAATTATATTTTCTGTTACAAATTCACAACGGGGATACTTTGTTGCAGAATTTTTTTTAAATAAGATTTGATGATTGAAACATTTTATTTTACAATAGAATTCCTAGGGGTCTTGAGTATAAAAAGACACATTCTTTGCATAGTTATAGGCAAAATCCATTCTAATTCGCATTGAAGTGAAAGACTTTGTAGTAGCAGATTGGGAGGCTTTGTTAGTGACAGTAAACACAAAAGCTGGGCCCTTTTTTCAAAGCACACCAGCAGCAAGACTAAACACCGTGTTTCTAATACTGTATTTCTCATTTTAAACTATTTGAAATAGAAATAAATTCTCCAAAGTAAAATTAAGCATAGTTTGAATACTCCACTCAAACTATGTTACTAGATCTGCTACCAAATGTTGAAAAAAGAAAGTTTAAGTGAGAGCTTTCTTTATTGTAATTCCACAGCCTTCTGTCTAACATTTTCCCAGTCTTTCTGTACTTTATAAAAAAATATATTTAATTTATGTATGCATTTTATTTACAGTTACAATCTTTTTCTTTTTTAAATGAAGAATTTAATAAAACACGTGGTAATATTATTTCCTAATTATAAAACAGATATAATAATAATAATAATAATAATAATAATAATAACTATAATAACATCTAATAATAATACTACTACTAATAATAACAACAACAACAATAACAATAACAATAATAAAACAATTATTATAGTATTAGTTCTACAGTATGATGGAATTATGTGTATCATAAAATAAAACTAGTATAATTAAATTAAATAAAAAGACTTTAAATCTTGGGATGTGAAAATTGCTGTTGTGTTAAATGGTGGTTGTCAGAGATATCTGCAGATTGCGTTCAGATTAGCAATTAACAGACGTCTGACAAAAAGACCAGGAATCCTCTCTCACTCAGGCACGCCTGCTGCTTGTTACAAAAAGGCTATTCGGTATTTTCGATAAAATACATATATTTATCCATGATCTATGCACCAAATCCCTCATACATCCTCCGCACACTACATGAAACCTGGAAAATAGATCTGAGTAGAGGGTGGGTTTAGTGTCCTTCAGGATGCTAATTAATATCATGTGGAAGTCATGTTAAAAGGCATTGCCTTATAGACTTATATAGTGAATAAAGACCTCCATCACATAACGCCTCGCCACTGCTGTAACATTAGCCTGTCCACATTGTAGAATATTTTCAATATGCTCTTTATTTATTTTTTAATTCTAAAAAACGTATTATTGAAAAAAAAAAAGTAAAGTGCCAGAATTAAATCAGAAAAAAAAAAAATCTATTCTATATGATAAATGCTGTCATATGCTTTCAATTTTTATAATCATAGACTCAGGCCAATTCTTACATTTATTATACTAATTATCTGTAAAAGCCCCTTCTGTGCATTTCTCCGGGTTTATTTCCTATTGGTAGCGAAATGTCCAGAATAGTTTCACTCCCCCCTCCCCTTCATCTTGTTTATCATTACTTATCTATGATGCAATTTAGATTAGAACAATAATACTAACTACATGCATTTGATGATGCAATCAAACATTTCCTAAAAAAAGGAGAGCGTTTGCACCAGTTAAACCCCCTTATCCCCAGCCAGATCTCAGCCTCTAACATGTTAGTGAAGGCAGTACACATTCACACAATACAAACTAATCCTTTGTGGACATGACACTGGGGATATGGGAAAAGTTTTAGTGCATGACTCTTCCACATAGAACACGCCTTTTCCTCTGACGTCACCAGCACAGCTTCCTTTAGCTATTGAGGCCTGGTGAAGTGTGGGAACAGTGCAAGCAGGCAGGGTTATTCAATAAACTCTGGGTTTCAGCAAATTTAATCACTAGGGCTAATTTCAGATTAAAATAACCAAGTTGGGCCTTTATATGAGTTAAGAGTATTTGTACAGGTCAGTCATTTCTATGCAATTGTAATCTGGATTTTACTTTACTACAATTAAAGAGTTCAGTAAACAACAGTTTTTGGCCCCTCAAACAGCCTGGGGTTTATTTACTAAACAGAGAATTGTAGCAGAGTACAATTTTACTGCAAAGCGTAGGCAAACACTGCTGGGTTATTTTATCTCTTAGTTTTGCAATTTACTGTTAAGCAAAAAACAAAATGAAAGTGAATCATTATAGAAACAATCTGGAATGCACACATTACTTTGCACAACAACATTTGTTCTATTTTCCTCTTTGCTCAGAGTATTACATTTGCCAGAGCTGGTGAGAAAGTTTGCAAACTTTTCACTGTTCTGTAATGTTAAACTTTATGCATGGATTTAAAGTGGTGAGTTAGCCTAACAGAAAAAAAAAAAATACATTTCCCTAAATTTAAATTTATGCCCAAATTTCCAAAGTCAGTTTACAAACAACCACTGCATATTGTTTAGTGGAACAAAAAAAAAAAAAAAAAAAAGATCTTTAGCTTTGATTAACTATTTGGTCTAAAGTTTGAAAGCTGGTTTTCAGCTCACTACAGCTTACTGTTACATTCACAGACCATAGTGAGTGCTTTCTTTTCCCCTGACCATTTTTAAATAGTCCAGACCTTTTTGTGAAATTCCTCTCTTATCACAACCAGTCAGTTCATATGACTGTTTTAACTTTCATGTCTGGTATTTCAAAAAAGACAGAATTACCCCCCCCCCCCCACACATATAGGATGCATATATTTTTATATTTATGGTAATGTGTTATCTTATCTGTATTATATTTACTTTCCTAAGGAATACATTCATCAGTTATAACCTGAAAATGTATTTGGCTAGAATCATTCCTGAATGAATTTAATTTAGCTTCTTATTGCATAATTTTCACTACGGGTGCACTGAATTCTTATTAACATGGCAGTCTTAATTTATTAATATTAACGTAACTCCAGATGATAATATCTGAAATATCAAAATATATAAATATACTTTGAAATATAAACATATATAAGCAGAGACTACAGTAGAGTTAGAAAAACTTTACCTAAATTTAGAAATTCAGCTTTGAACTCACTACAATTTGCAGGGTTATTCACAGTGAGAATTCATAGTGAATTTCAAACTTAGGTTTAAAATAGTTGAGCTTGAAAATTAAATATATAAATCAGCTATGCTTTTAATGTGGTCAATCTATCCTTAATTTTGACATTCACTTTTCTTTCTGATTTTGGAAGATACGCCGTTGGTGTTTAGTGAATAGGCCTCCCTTAATGAAACATTCCTGGGGATCTGGGGAAACAACAGAAATTCTATTTGCATTAAAACTACTGCGGGTCTTCTGTATACAGCCTTTATAAAAATCACAAACTAAGTGATCAGTCATGTTTGTCATCACCCCCTATCAACAAATGGTAGAGCATTTTACCTTGGGGCTTATTTACTAAATAGATAGTTATGGTCATTTGAAAACCTTTGTCCAAATTATAAGCCAAAAAAAAAACCCTATCTGGAAAAAAAACACCACCTGGTTAAGTGAAAGATTGATCACTAATTTTAAAAAGTATATTGTCAGCTCACCTCACCTTGTTGTTTAGTGAAAATAATTGTGAATGCTGATGAAGTTTAAAGGTGGTGAGGCACTAGTGTACACTGGACACTCATGATCCAATGAGATGTTATGCTCTGTTCAACACAATAAACATATACAAAAATGCATTGTGGAAAGGAAAACCACTTTAACTATATGTGAAAATTCATATCATCTTGATCAAAGCTGGTTGAGTTATATAAAAATCCAAGTGAAAGTAAAACAGTATATAATAACAATGGATGGACGAAAGGTGGTGGAGTGCTGCCTGGATTGTATAAGCCTACAATGGCAAATAGACAACTTTGCTAAATAGGTGCGCGCACATTTCATAAGGGCGTGAACTTGGCATTCCTTTTTCCAAAAAGTAAAATATTTATTACAAACTCAACATTATAGGAACTATTTCTATTCGTCAAACAAGCTGAAACATAGCTAAACAATTTTATACATTGCCAGCCGAACCCTTACAAGACAAACTTCATAAATAAAACAAGAACATATTTGATCTAATAATGAATTTTATTTACCAAGACAAATTAAGATAATCTCCGTCACTGACAAGATAATTATACATAACATAAGGGCAGGTAGGGACTTCAATGGGGGAAGTGCGGACAACTGAGCCCTTGATTTAGGGTGTGCTTGGGTACAGTTGGCACACCCCTTCGGTCATGCCTATGATGTGGTATTAGTTTTAGTAAACATTGCTTTCTTTTATACAGAGGGGTTTTCCAAGTTGTGCTGTGCATGTCCTGTACCTTTCCTTCCAGCCAAGAGGTAGTCAGTGCCACTTTAATTTCAACATTTAGTAATAGGGTCATACTATGGAAGACTAGTATCAGGTGAAAAGATGAATTTGGTAACTGGTTAGAAGAAAATTGCTACTAATATTTAATAGAATCATTACTTTAAGGGACAAGTAACGCTTAATAGGTGGTAATTTGACAATTTGAGCATTAATCAATACTCATTGCTAATTTTATTCACTATTGATATATAGTTTTCTTTTGGAGTTTATTTACTATTTTAGTACCAGTTTCTCCACATAAAGGGATTATATTCACTGGACAAGCATGACAAGTTTTAACCTTTCTTGCAAAATTTAGGCTTAAAGGAGCATTCCAAACACCATAACCACTACAATATGGTGTAGTGGTTATGGTGCCAGGAGTGGCCTGGCGCCTCACCCCAATGTAAGTAGTCAAACCGTTTGGTAATGGTTTGACTTATTGACAAGCACCCTTCCATGCGTCTACCTACAGCAAGATGCTGATAGAATGTACCTGGATCAATAACATCTCTGCATCATTTCCCTTTTTAGGTCAAGAATAGGTGACCTCTTGCCCTGCAGATGTGGTGGCCTAGAATCCCTATCACTTTCAGTCAAAATAATGTAACTGCCCATAATGGATTTTTCAGCTCTAGTGCTGTGTTGTTAAATGTGTTGTGTTTCATGATCACCTATGTCAGTAAAACACAGCATGTTCATAAGTTGATTAATAAATCTTTTAATACTAATGTTAATGGACAGTCACCTTCCACCAAAAAAGCCCAATAATGAACTTATAATAAGTCTCACTTAAAGGGATACTGTAGGCACTGTAACTGCATCATCTTATTGTAGTTATCGCTTTTGGAGTCCCCTGTTCTTCCATTCAGTGTTAAACAGTTCATAATGTTTTAATGCTAAACAAGGGAACCAAACATCCTGTGCTGCTTGTGCGAACGAGGAAACAATAGCCTGAACAGCAGTGGAAGGTTGTGATTGGATGAGAGTGTCAGCTGAAAACCTATCACCACATCCATGTATAATGTCTGCCTTTGCAATACCACCAATAGGGGCTGGGCTCTGGGTGGTGTGTGGTCCTTATTTAGTGTCACACATTTCAAAAATGGTTTAAACACACAATGGAGTGACAGCTCTAGAGGATTCTAGGCATTGTAATGAATTCAATGACATGAAATGGGTTTAGTGATTACAATGTCAGTTTAATTACTATGGTATGGTTCTAAAACTGCTCATTAGGTGCCCAGCACTCTTGCCTTCTCCTCCCCCCCCCCTAATATAAGTGTTTGACCTTATTTCCAGCAACATGTAGATCTTGTCGTGGCTGGCCCCTCCTGCCTGTCTGAGATCATCAGATTTAATGATCTCAGCCAATGTAATGCTTTTCCATAGGAAAGCATTGGGAGGCTATTGTGCATGCTGTGACAGAATGCCATCACTGAGTACCATACCCACATGTGCCCACTCGCTCGCTTGTTTTCAGGTCATCATTCTGGGGATCTCCCTATCTGCTCCTACAGGAGCTATAATCACAGTCAAGAGGAGGTTCAGGAGTCTCATGCCTGCAGCCAGACTGTCAACGAGGCAGGCAGGGACTGCAAGGGCTCCCTACCCAGGAGCTTCGAGTCCAGGCTAGTAGCTGCACAAAGAACGCTCTCTCTGGTGCTACCTAAGTGGAGAAATCCACCGGATAGAGATGTGAGCACTAGCAGACCTTCTGGAGCTATGAGTCGGTGTCACAACTGCAGAGTCCCGCTGGCCGCCTGGAAGTCCATGCTGACCAATAGGAGAAGGAGCTACTATGCAAACTTGGTTCACTCCTTTTCTCCCGATAGGCTGGCACGCGTTAGAGAGCTTAGCTCGGAACGCCGCCCCCCCGGGCGCTGATTGGTCGCTGCGTGGTTTAGGCACCAAGTTTAAATCTACCGGCCTAAACCAAGTGATTCTGTTAAACTATTTGCGGGTATGTACAGAGCCTCAAGCCCAGACTTTATACAATGATTGCTCGGGCTCTATATATCCAATAGCTCCGCTATTTGCAGGGATCCTGGCTGGGACCAGGAGCTATCGAGTGATATAGGTTTTAACTATGTGTCGTCTAGTTACTGGGAGGGGAAAGGGCTAATCACTGTTCCAGCTCATGGAGAATTTAGCAGGGAAAGTCCTTGTAAGGACTATAGCTCCCAGGACTGTGTGTCGTCCAGTGCCTGGGAGTAAATAGAGCTAGTCCCCTATCCTGATCCAGCTAGTAAGCGGTCCTTTGGCGGAGGTCACAGCCGAGGTACAGGGAGCTCCTCCACACATGCATGGAAAAATGTAGCCCTGTACAAATCAGCATCTCCTCATAGAGAGAGTCAATGCATCTCTATGAGGAACATTAGGTACCTCCAGCACGTCAGTGCTGCACATTATGGAACACTGACCCAGGATGCACCTCTAGTTACTGTTTGAGGAGTGGCCACTGGAGGTGTTCCTAGGCAGTGATGTAAACACTGCCTTTTCGCTGAAAAGGGACAGGCTATATACTTTAGAACAACTACATTAAGCTGTAGTTGTTCTGGTGACAATAGTGTCCCTTTAAGTGAAATGTTTCCAGTGTCTATTTCTTACACTAGTTTGGTGATTTCATGAGAACTAAGATTTTAAGAAAGGGAAAAGCCACGAATGGCTTCATATACGTGTATTTTACATGCTCTGATAGAAGATCTATCTATCTATCTACTAAACTTATGCATGGCGCAAACTTTCGGTTTGTCTGAATACGTTTGGCCAAGAATTTATTTTGTTTTGTCCAAAACTAATTTTGGACATTAGTTGAATAATTTCAGATGAAATTTGTGTGAAATTTTTGTTCTGATCCTCCATTCGGACAAATGGAATACTGTGATTGCCGACAAATCTTTCAGTGGTTTAGAAAGTAGATAAGTCCCTAATTGGTACCTTATGTGTGATTGTCATATTTAAGGGTACGACATTATGGAGGGACTTGTGTTTAGTAGATAGCTTCCTATTTTAGTATCTTTAAATAAGGCAATCTCACATAAGGATTCTAAATTAGTTAGCTATCTACTAAGCAGCTGAAAGAATAAAAATTAAGTAATCGGCTTTCATCTCTTTAGTAGAACTTCCTAAATAAAATTGCTATCCATATGTGGGATTGGCATATTTAAGGATACCAGATTAGGAAACTATTTAATAGATAGTGCCCTTATTTGGAATCGACTAAAAACAACAGCTTCATAATTTTGTAGTGGTATCCTTAAATATGGATTGGTAATCCCTCATAAGGGTACCAGTTTTTTAAATTTAAATGAATTAACGATTGAAGAAAGATTCTTGCTTTGTGCGATTTGTTCATTGGTTCATTCTTGAATTGCGCAATTTGGAATTCATACAAATGAGTCAATTTTCGTCTGAATTGTGATTCTTCCATGAAAGCCCAAGCCCACAATCTATCTATCTATCTTTCTATTTATATGCAGGTATTTTTTTTAAAATTTGAACTGGGGGAGGGGTTATTACCCTGCTTGGTTTCAACACAATCTTTTAGATATCTATATGATATCTATTATATCTATCACTATGCAGATATGCTAATGAGCACAATTTCAAGTCATCACAAAGGCTTGCATAATGGCCCAAACTCTTTACCCATGCATTTCTTAAACGTGTGCTGTGTACTGGACTTCAGATTCAGGGGGTTACCTGCCCTTCTAAAATATTGAGCTAGATAGGCATGTTTCTGACTACATCCTTTATTTCTTAGCAACTCAGTGCCGATTTGAAATGCAACTTTTTAAACTTTTCTTAAAGTCTAATCTGAGATATGGGATTGATGAACTACAGGAAGTTCTAAATTTGCATCAATCAGAGGTGATATATACACATTTATTATTGCTGCAATACAAATTATGATCAGTGAACAGATATAAAATTGTGCTGAAGGGACAACCACTAATGACAGCACACATACTGCTATAAAATGATTTAGAAACAGAAGTGGAAATTTAAAAAAAAAGTCCCACTGCTTTGAAATACACACTTAAACTTCTAAATGTAGATTCCTGTAAAGATAACAACAAAATACTGCTATCCAGTAAAACTAAATCCATTCACATAATGAAAAACTAGCTAAAATGTGAGAAGACACCTGCATCTAAGAGGGGCATTGTAATATTAGGTATAATTAGACTCACATTATGTCACAATACTAATTTAAAGTGACCTGCATTACTATGTGATAGCACCTTTTCTGGTGAGCTATTACAGGTAATGTGAGGTCACTCCCTCTTCTCCCTGGAAAATAGCCAATCTTCTACTGTAAATACAGGTGATTAATGACTCTGAAGACTACATTAGTTCTTTGAAGAGTAGGTATGTTTCATGTGAATGCAGTTATTTAAAGCTATAGCACCTATTAACCCTTTCTCTCACCAGAAACCTCTGACTCTCAATGCAAAGCTATAACAGGACATTTAAAATAATAGCAGCATATTATGTTATTGACTAGGAAGCTTGATTGATCATTAACGATTTAAGTGTTTCTCCAGACAGCTGGATTCATTTACAGCTTATATTCAGAGGGATTTGACAGAGAAACCTTGATAACCTGTGTATCAGACTAGAAAGAGATTTTTTTTTATCCCCTCAGGAACACAGTGAAGATGACTGCACCCCCCCTGGTACTGAGGTTGGTTTTTCTCATAGAATGGTTAGATCTATATTGTCCTGTAAGAGTGCTGCCCTATTATTGCAATGAGACTCTCTCTCTATTATTACCATGGCAATAGCGAGCATTATCTCCCCTGGCACAGTCTGCTTCCGTGTTCTCTGGAACAATGGACATATGTCTGTGTTACAACATTAACCCTTTCAGCACCACACTGGAGTGCAGAGACAAGATACCTTGCTATAACACACGATCCAATTAACACTGTATCAGCACTTGGCTGCACTGATCCCAATACTGCCTTACAGTAAACTGCTTTCACATATGCATTCCATTAAAGGGAAGGCTGATACATTGTACTGTGCAGAGAACACAATATCCCTGCTCTCACATGGTGTGTATGTAGGTAGCTCTTACAGAAGAACACACTGTAATGTAAAACAATATATTATACATGTGTGTGCACTAATATGTATGTGAGTAATAAATATGAATAAAAAAATAAAATAAATAATAATAGTAAAATAAATAAATAAAAATGCATACATATTGTTTTCTCCATACACGTAAATCCCAATAGGTCACAGCACACCCCAGCCTTGCCCGTATGAAAGCCCTGGCAGTATACTGTATAGCTGTACTTAGCGTATACTGACATGAATGCTATGAAAGCCCAGTCTCTGCTAGCCAACATTACTAGCCCACACTACTAGCTCGCATTACTAGCCCACACTACTAGCTCGCATTACTAGTCCACATTACTAGCCCACATTACTAGCCCACAGTAGTAGCCACACTGCTAGCCCATACTGCTAGCCCACATTAGTAGCCACACTGCTAGCCCACATTAGTAGCCACACTGCTAGCCCGCTTTACTAGCCCATACTGCTAGCCCACATTAATAGCCACACTGCTAGCCCGCATTACAGTCCATATATCGCCCCATTGTCATAGCTTACCAGGGTCTCGGTGTGTCCGGTGGCGGTCCCGGCACGTCCTGCCCGGTGTCTGTGTACCCGGACTCGCAGCCCCGAGCTCCCCGCGCGCCGCCTGCACTGCACTGGGACGGAGGGTGGAGGGGGGGAGCGTCGCGTGCCATTTAAATGGCTGTGGAAGGGGCGATCCATCACCCGCAGCGCGAGCAGTCAAACTTTATCAGAGCGGCGCGCGCCCATTGGCTGAGCGGAGCACGTGACCCCACACCTACCCACCTTCACTGTACATTCATATCATTTCCCTGCTGGACCTATGGAGGAAGTGAGAAAGTTGGCACGGGCGGGCTCTGCACACACACACACACACAGACATACAGAGAGAGACACCTGAGTGACAGATGGACCATGCGAGGATGAGCTCCTTCTTGGACTATCCAGGCTTAGTTAATGGAGGAGACAATGGAAGCTGCTCCTCCAGAGCCTTCCACCCTGACCATGCTGGGATTACAACTTTCCAGTCCTGCGCAGTCTCTGCCAATAACTGTACCAGTGAGGACCGGTTCATGGTGGCCAGAGGGGTCCAGATAAGTTCCCACCATAACCACCACCCACACCAAAGCGGTGCCTTCCATCACCCCAGCAACCTGGGCATGTCCTACTCCCACCCCAGCTGCTCTGTGGGCTATGGGATCCAGAATTTCAACACTACCTACTCTCACTTCCCCATCAGTCAGGACTCAGAGGTCAGTGCAGGGTACCCCCAGTGCACTGCTGCGGTGTACACTGGGAATATCGCCTCCTCAGTGGTCCAGCACCATCAGCACCACACTTACGTGGAAGGTACTGGAGGGACAGCTCACTACATCCATCACTCCTATGGACCAGAGCAGCAGAACCTGTCCATTGCAGGGTACAGCAGCAATGCCTCCAGCATGCACCTCAACCACCAAGAAGTGTGTCGCTCCCCTTCCTCAGAGTCATCTCCACCTGCCCAGACATTTGACTGGATGAAAGTGAAGAGAAACCCCCCTAAAACAGGTAAAGTACTCCTCAAACTGACTGTTTTCTTGAGATTTTATGTTGACATAATCTATTATTGGGAAACTGTGTGTTCTGTGCTCATGGGTTGATACATTCTGATACTTACACAGGTGGTGTTCTACAAGCTACATTGTATCAGATGATGTATCAGGGTGTGAGAATGGCTCTATCTGTGTCTAATCTCATGCCACCCAGCCTGCTTGTGATTCCACTGACATTTATTTATTTTTATTGCAGGTAAAGTGGGAGAGTATGGCTATGCAGGGCAGCCCAACACAGTGAGGACCAATTTCACCACTAAGCAACTCACTGAGTTGGAGAAGGAGTTTCACTTTAACAAGTACTTGACAAGGGCCAGGAGAGTGGAAATAGCAGCTGCCCTGCAACTCAACGAGACCCAGGTGAAAATCTGGTTTCAGAACAGAAGGATGAAGCAGAAAAAGAGGGAGAAAGAAGGTCTCTTGCCAATCTCCCCATCAGCCAGCACAGGAAGTGACGAAAAATCAGAGGAGCTTTCAGAGAAATCCAGTCCTTCTCCCTGTGTTCCATCACCTGCCTCTTCTACCTCTGATCACCTTAATTCTTCCAATTAAGTTGCTATTGCTCATTATGAAGTGTTAGTTACATACTCTATGAGACGATAGCAGCATGTGACAAAGTTCTGTTTTAAACTGTGTTTTGAGCTGAGCAACCAAAAAAGAGACAACAAACTATTTATCAGTATTGGCACATAAACTCCTTTGAGTTCCATAAAATTGAAGGATTTCCTGGCGATGTAGCAGACAAAGTGTTAAAGGAAATGAAATATTCTAATTATAAACAGCTTTCTCATGGACATATTTAAAGGGAAATATTATCTTTAATGGGATGTGTTGTTTGGTCAAGGCAGGGTACAACACGCTGTAAAAGCGATGCACTATTGATTAACGTTTACAAAAGTTGAAAGACTTAATGATTAATTTAATGTTTTATTATTATGTGTCTTTATGTTGTGTAAATAATTGTTGGACAGAATTTATCTCTGAAGCATTTTTGTAGATACTATGTATAATTATAAGGTGGTGGTGGTATTATCAAAGGTACTTCAACATGTTATATAGCACAATCAAATCTAATGTTTGATATATCAGTAAACCTCCACAGTGCTAGCAGGGTATACAATAAGTTGTTACAGTGTATCAAAAGTAAAAATGTTATTTATTTTTGTATGAGATAAAAATGGGGCAATCTTTTTACCCTAGAAATATAACAGAAGTGTCCATAAACTATTGACAGGTTATCCATAGCTGTTCCATCATCAATCATCATTTCCATAACAAATTCTTCCTAAGGGATCTTATTCAGCAAACGTTGAACTGGGGACCGAAGTACACAATTTAGAACAAAATAGATTAACATTAAAAAAATAAAAATATCTCAGTTTTGAGATAGACGTTTTTGACATTATCTACTTTGATTTTTATTTGTAAGTCGGTTGTCAACTCAGTATATAACTCACTAGTTAGTGAATAGACTCCCGATTTACTGTCTGCATGCCTATTATACCACAAATTCGATGTCTATTCGGTATATGAATGACAAAACCAAATTACATAAAATGTGATTATAGGTACTCACTGTCATAAACAACTTACTGTGACGATTAATTGAAAGTGTTGTATTTTGAGCCACTGTATGATAAGGTTTCTGTACAAGTCTTTGCATGTCTAATGCTTCCATGTGTATAATATACACTGAGTTTTATCAGTTGCAACTTGTGGTTTACAACATATTTCGATAGATCAATTTATGGCCCTACGAAATGTGATTGCTTTTGGAAATTTCAGGGGCAAATACGGGTCCTAAAAAGTATAATAATAAAAGTATGGAGAGTTGAATTTAATTACTGTGTCTGTGTCACTTTAATAAAACATTACTCTAAAATGAATTATTGTAGATAGCCTAAAAGTTTAATAACTTGACAATAATTGCAGAGAAAGAAATGGTTCAGTCAAACTAAACAATTAAACACGAAAAAAAACCACACAAACCAACATAAAAACAAAAAAGACACAACAAAATAAAATATATACTAATTAAAAGGACACATTTTAGATTTTTTTATTTTTTGAAACAGTCTATTCCACTTAGCACCTTCTAATAGAAGCACATCTTGGGTCAAGAAGTGATGAACTTTTCAACTCACACAGAATGTTGACATGAGTAAACAGAGAGAGGCTGACAAATATGTGAGACTTGTCTTCAGTCAGTCTTTCCACACATTGCTCCGTATAAACATGAGCATTCATATCAACCGGTTGCTATGCTATTAATTTTATTTTTATTTTACAGTTTGTGCTTTCATATTAACCGCAGTTTTAACTTAATCCGGGCAAAAAGAGCTGAAAAAATTTATATATTAAAAAAAAAATTAAAAAAAATCTAGATGTATAAGTTCAGAACTATAAAATGATATTTTATCCCTTGTGTTTTTAATCTAGGAGCAGGCTCCCAGTTCACTTCTGCAGGCAAAACAAGCTCAGTTCTAAAACGCAATTAGCTGTTAGCGTCATGGCGCAATCTTTGCGTTCTTATGATGTGAGTAACTTAGGATCACATAGCTCTGTGAGCACTGCCAAACTTCAAAGCCAAACCAGAGACTCCTCACATTCATTCTCACTTCTTTAATGTATCCTTTGTTTATTGAAGTTAGAGGCAAGGTGGGACAGATGGCTTTCTCCTTGTACTGTACTTTCCTGTTTCAGAACAATTTGCATATCAAGAAAACGGTCCCATTATTTCAAATACTATCTAAAGGAACTGGCTACACGGTAGCAGTGGGGGAAAATGCAACTACAAAGTACAAATGGAACTTAACATTAAAGGAGATAGTGAATGTATGTAAATGGGAGCGAACTTCAGCAACTGCAACTCTCAAAAACTAACGTGAAAATTGTACAAAGACAGGGAGGTCACCAAAAGGACACACATTGTATTACATAACGGATATCCTATAGTCATACTGACAATTCGCCTTATGCACACAGCAACGTGTTTAATCGAGTAATCTATCTATCGCACATCATTTACACGAGGGATCTTTTTTTTTTTTTTAAACTTCATTTATAGGTTATTTTCTTTTGAATATTTGGGATATTACTTTGAGGGATAGTTTGGGCATGTTTTTTTCATTCACAGTTTTTTATTTATACGAATGTGCGTTTTTAATTCGTTGTCAACAAATAATTCAAATCGTCTCGAAAGCTATTCAAGTATACAGTTTGTTTTTTGTTTTGAAAAATAATAACATCAGAAATTAAATAAGCATATTTAGTAAACACAAACATCACTATAAGTCCTTTCTTTCTCTAATTTACCCTACAAAATAAAACACACCTATTTATACATAAATAACACACATTTTATATATTATTTTATTTATTTATTATTATTTTGTAGTTAGTTGCTTCATTAAGAAACACTTTTAAATCTAATAATGCTAAAATATAAAGGATAAAATGGCTAATCCCATTAATTATATCCAGTCTGGTTTGATATGATGATGTGGCCTTATAGCTTTCCTCGGAGTCTCCTGAAAAGTTTGCTCTTGAGAAGAACACATACTCCAGTGTGTTCCTCTTGGGTATTCAGATTGGAACTGATCAATATTTACATTAGTCTAAAAGGACTGTTGAAAAGGCATCTTAGCAACAAAATGTTTGGTTGCCGACCCTTGTTTAATCTCAGGTTCACAGAGAGTTCAGGAAGGCAAGCATTCACTGGTAGGTCCTATTAGGAGCCAATTCTAAAGGTTTATCTGGAAGATCAGTAAAAGGCTGAATTACCCACCACTCCTGATTAACAACATCGCTCTGTCCCTTCTAATTATCACTATGGAGCAAACAGAACCTGAGACAGAATTTATATTCACCTACTGAAAGAATCCCATTATGTTTCGTTCTGCAGACTGCGACTAGAAATCTTTCATTCTATTCATTATTTTTTTAATTGACAGGACAGGTGAACTAAACTAACTGTCCTAACCTATATAGAGACAACAGCAAAATCAATCAATCTCCCCTAATCTGTATTCAGATTTTAAACAAATAACCCCATAATCATAAATAATCCTAAAATAAAGCATGGCATCACATAACCCATGGGGAAAATGGGTTATATAGGATCAGGAATAACAACGCGTTATTACAACCCGTTCTGGCAATCTAGTGTCTGCATGAAAGTTCGTGCAATGTTGGCTCTTTCAGCACATAGATTGACTTCTGCCATTGAATAAGTCCTGTCAGTATACTGACAGACACTTTGCAGGAAACCCTTTAGCTGAGTCCAGGCTGCAGCCCAGCACTGTGCACTGTATATGCCTCTGTACCTCACCCACTTGGTGAAAGACATTGAAGGCTACAGATCTTGGTAAACAGTAGGTTTTGCAAAGTTTTTTTTATAATACCACATGTGTTCTTCATCACTGCTTACCATTTGAAGACTAAATTGAAGGCAGTTCCCTCATCAGGCTGTTAATCTTTCAATATGCACAATCCCAACGTCCAGCTAAATTAACAAAGTATCTCTCACACACTACTCACAGTGAAGAGATTCACCTAAATTTAGTTTTATGGAGAGGTCAAACCCCAAAGAGTTATGTAAATCTCTGGAACACATTTAAGAGTACAGACACATGTCAATCATGAATTTGTAACTATTTGAATGCCACAGGCACATTTCATGTAATTTAATCATTTGCATACAAATATAAATGGACACATAGATCTACATGTTTACACGGGGAAAAGCCTCAGGAAATATATTATGGAGTGTTTAGTATCTCAGTTTAATAATGGTCCAGTTTATAATGTTGACATAGAAAGAGATGCTGAAGTACTGTCCCTCCCCCATACTCTGCAGTGGATTCAGAAATGCAACACCTGTTTGATTTGAAGCCTCAAGCAATACATTTAACCTCAAATAATAAATGATTAATTTCCAACAATTCTATCAAATTGGCCATGAAAAGCTCACTTTTGATTCAGTGCATATATATATATATATACACATGAAAAATTACATCACGAAAATAACATATTATCATATACAGTGGTACCTCGGTTTACGAATTTAATGCGTTCTCCGGGATGTTTTTTATTGCAGAAAATTTGTAAACCGAAACGTGGTTTCCCATATGAATGAATTTCCAATGCATTGAAAACCAATTAATCCGTTGTGGAGGTCAGAAAAATGTCAAAATGAGCCGGCATGGAAACCAACCCACAAGGCAGAACACACAGTAAAAGGCATGCAAACGACGAAGTTCAGCTCCCTACCTTTCCACCACTCGAGAAATGCACCCAAAAAGTTCCAAAAAGTCCCAAAACCGCTGCAAAAAAATTCCAAAATGGCTCCAAAACTCAATGCAAAAACCACTCCAACACCTCCACACTCGATGCCATGTGCTACCCACAGGCTTTAACATGCATGGGGCGGCGCTATAAACCTCCCAGGCGCAGTGCATTCTGGGGAAAATTGCTTCGTATTGCGAAAAAAAATTGTAAACCGAGGCATTATTTTCAATGGATTTTCATTTGTAAACCGAAAATGATGT